TAATAATAATATATTATATATAATATTTATCCTTATTCTTTTATTATTGAATTATTTTAATAAAATTACGTTTCTTTAATTTTTGAAATTTAATTATCATTTAGATCATTTTGAAAATTATTCTATTCAAACTGTTAGATTTAAATAGAATAAATATTATTTAAAGATATAGGGTTCTTATTCTGAAAAGATAAATTACATTTAAATGGATTTCATTCCAAATTTTATAGATTGGCTGATTTAACTTTAATTTTAATTTCCTGATAAGAATTTGGATTAAAAAAAGAAAATATATAAAATAATTTTAAATTAAATAAATATCTTTAAAGATTTATTAATTTTAAGATTTGATACATTTTTATACAATTTAAATCAAAATTAACATTTAAAAGTTTCTTAATTTAAGAGATTTTAGAATTATTGAATTTCTATGGATTAACTCATAGGAATGTGAAATTATAGGGATTATATATATAAAAAGCTAAAACATGATGATTGACAAAAATTAACAAACAGCAAATATTTAGGATAAAGAAAGACCAAATGAGTAAAATTTTTGCAAGAAGTCATTTCATAGGATGAATATTTATGGATGAAATAGACCAATATCAATAAAAGTATTAAGCTACCTTTAAAGAGGGGGGGGAAAATATATCATCAGAGTCATAAATGATTATGAGTATTGAATTGTAATCAGGGTCTAGTTCTTTTAATGATTTAATTGAATATATAATGTTTTAAAAGATGAGGATTTTAAATATTAAAAGAGTATTAAATTTCATCAAAGGTAATTGATTATTAAGAAAACCTTTGTAAGGTAGACGAGTATATTAAAAGATATTAAGATTTAAAGAATGTATCTCAACTAATTTTGGAAAAAAAATAAAATTTGATACAAGAAAAGAATAGAAGCTGGCTATTTGCTAAGATAATAAACCTCGAAAAGTAAAATATAAGTCGATATTAATTTAACTTATATGTTTGGATTATAATATTTAATATATTTTATTCTATTATTTTAATTAAATAAAATATAATAGCAATACTTAAAAAAATAAATTTATTTAAACAGAAATGAAATTATATGATTTTAAAATAAAGATAATTTACAAATATAAAGACCTTTTATCTATATTTTCTTTATATGATTGTGTATTATTAAAAAATTACAAAAAAATATTAAATATTAAAGGAGTGAAATAAAAGAGATATAGAGATAGATAAATAATAATGAATATGATAGGTTTAGTATAGAATGAAGGATAGATAAAATGTTGAATAAGAATCAATATGAATGATTATATTGCATAGTTATGATTCATTAAAAAAAGTCTTTAGGAAATTTATTACCTGCTCTTACTCTAATTTTAATTGGCATTTTTTCTTCTGATTCATTTCTAATGAATTAAGTCTTCTTAAATTTATGGTTTAATTCTTGAGTTGAGAGTAACAATAATTCGAGAATGTTTTCGTTTTAAACTTTTTCAAGTTCAATTTTAAGATTACGTGCCAGTTAAATATTGCTTTTACTATCATGTTCAAAAGCCATGGAATCATTATTTTATGGAGAGTTAAAGAAATATTTTTTCTTTTTTGTGATAAGTCCTTCAGGTTATGGATTATTATTAATTTTTGATGTGTTTATTGAGTTTCTTCTCATTTATGATAATATATCTCTAGATTCATTAAGTCTACTTGAGATAGGATATTTAATACATTATTATTATTATTATGGATTATTCTAAAGTATAAGATATATTTTACAATATGAATGGAGATTTAAGTTTATTTATTTTATATGTTTTAGTGTTGTTATTTAAGTTTAACTTTTAAGATTTCTTTACTTGTAATATATGTTTAATAAGATGTTGGTTATTTATTATGTTTAGGACTTGAATTGAACACATCAATAACTTTAATTCTTTCACTTGATTTACATTTTTCTTCACTGGATTATCTTTTAATTAATTGATTTCTTTAAGTTTATGAAACAGATCTATATTTGTATGCTTCATCTCTTTTGGTAATAAGTAAATCTAATCCTTTCTTAGGTGTATTATCCATAGATGATTGATTATTATTCTCTAAGATGAATTTACTTAATTACTAGACAATATTTGCTATGCATATAAACTTAGATTAGTTTATTTAGTTTAAGGCTTTATAATTTTAGAATGCTTATTTTCAATAATGGATCCCAAATTAAGTTGTATTTTAGGAGAACTATAATCTATAGTTCTTTATGTTAAATCTTAATTAATGAATTCTAAGATGGTAATAGAATAATACTTGCTTTAGTGAATCCTTAAAAATCTAATTTTGGTTTCAGATTTATTTTCTTTGATCTGATTTATTCGTTAGAATAATATGATGAGAGATATTTTTTTAGCATTATTTTAACTATTATATTAATATATATATAATTATAATAAATGTTAAAGTTAACATTCAATTCTTCAACTATGTTTATGAAATAGTTTTGATTTAATCAAATAACATCTTCAATTCTAAATGTTTAACATTTAATATTTCATATTCTGTTATTATTTCTTAATTTTAATCTTCTAATGATTCGCATTTTTATAGAGCTTCTTTACATTACTCTTAATAATAATCTCTTTCTTCTGTTATTGGATCTACTACTTTTTTTAATTCTATTTCTATCTATTATCTAAACCAGTTGTCTAAAGATTATTAAAGTTCTGTAAATTAAGTTTAATAATATTTAGTCAATTCACTAATCTTTTAAGTATTTGATTCATTCTCCATTTTAGCGTTCAATAAATCATTTTCTTATTATTCTATAACATATTTCTAATCTTAAATTTATTATTCATAATTCTATTTCTCATTATCCAAAATCGATTTTAATTAATTTATCTCATTTTGTGATTATTAATATTATTACCTTAATGTTTCATTAATACTACTCAATCTTTTATATTATTCTAGTACATTCTCTTATTATTCTTATAAAACATTCTTACTCAATTCTAAATTCTCAATATCTAAAGTAAGTTATTAATTAGTCTTCATTACTTCTTAAGATTATAATATTGCCTATTACATACTCTTAATTTCTTATTGAACATTCTATAATTCATTAAATAATTTAAGATTATCTTATTTAAATTTTAATAATTATTCTTATGCTGTTTGTACTCTATTTTTTAAATACTATATTTCAGCATCTTTACTTTCTAATGATTTTATAAATCCATCTTAATCATTTTAACATACCTCTACTAATAATTCAAGTTCTTTTACTTATGTCACTTAACTCTTACAATTAGATAATGATTATTATAATTGAATTAACTCATTTTTTAATTGTTAATTTTCAGTTTATAATCTATTTTATTTCATTTCTGCTTCTGCTTTTTATTACTTTAGTGATTATATCTAAAACTAAACTACTGAGTATTCTTATAATTTTTCTTCATTTTATAATAATTTCTCTCTTAACTATTTTATTGTCTATTAATCTGATTCTTAATTATTTGATTAGTATTACTATTATACTCTTTATATCTATTAGTATTTAAGTTATAGATCATTATATGATTTCTCTTTCTCTTATAAGAATCTATGTTATAAATCATATTCCTCTTTTAGTTTATCATACTTAACTTAAATATCTACATTATTATATCCATGTTTTGTTGTATGTTGACTATGACTAATTGATTATTGAATATTCTCATCTCTAACAGATAATCTAGTTTATTGACTTTTAAAGTCTTATTCACTATTCCTATGCTTGTTGAATTTTATTTATTTAAATTGCAACATATTTCCATCTTACATTTTAAGTCTGTCTTCACCTGTTTATTAATTTACAAGTTGAAGTGAAAATTCAGATAATCTGTCATCCATTCCCCTTTCGGTAACTTAAGTTTTTGAATTATATTAACCTATTCTAGTTGGTGAATTTGTTGATCTATACAATTCAGGTGCCTTAGGTGGTAAATACTTGATATAAAGTATTGATTACATTTCCAAATACTTAAGCAGGTGATTACAATGATAATTTTTTATAGTCATTATCAATTTATTATTTAGATATAATTGCTAAAGAACTAAATGGTTGTACAAATTTGTTCTTTTGATTTGATTATCTCAATGGAGATATAGAATTTTAGGTATGCTATGTTACTAAATAATCATATTTCAAAGGTGAGATAGGATGAGAATTCTAAACAGAATGTTGAAGAGATGCAGTAGTAGGTCTTCTTTAAGTGTGTGTTTCAATATGTTAAATATCAGAGTTGCTCATTAACGTTCAAATTTTAAAATTATATTAAAGGATTAATATATATTGTGTTTAAATAGATTTGATGATATGAATATTTAGAGTGATAAAATAGATTAGAATAATTGTATGAATAGTTAGAGATTGAGTAGATAATATAGTAAAATTTAATGATATTAATGAATAGTAGTAATAATAAATAAATAATAATATGTTAGATAATAGTGAAGCTATTATAAGAGAATCATTAGAAAATTATCTCAACTATCAACACTCAGAATGTGTATTAAAAAGTGAGATGAGTAAACCACATTTAAGACAGAAGTATTGTGAATGTTTATAATTGGAATCATTTGTTGAATTCGTATTGACATGTTTAGAATTAGTAAACACAACAGTGTTAATGAAACAGAATTATTAACTAAGTCATAAATTACATTTATAATATTGGAAAATATTCAATGAACTACCATAACCAAAAGATGAAATGGTAAGTTTCATATTAATAGCTGTATGGTTCTTAATTCATAGTACTATATTTAAATAACAAACATAAGAAGAGAGAAATAAAATAGATCAAAGATTCCTCTTTAATTCCTACCATGTATTATTATATTACATTAATGGATTCTATGTATCTGATGAATTTGTATAATAATAAGTTGAGATGTATCTCAACAATAGATATTTAGATTATAGATTAAATTCATTCTAAAAGAAGAATCTTAAAAAATAGTAAATGCAATAAACATAAACTAATTTATTCCCAAATGTAAGTATACCTGAATTAACATAAATTCAAGGAGCAACCTAATTCTAAAAAGAACTTAGATTTAGAAAAAAACAAAAAAAATAATAAAGTGATCCTCTTGTTCTTGAATAAAATCAATAATAATAATAATAATAATATATGAATAGAAGTGATAGAAGTGGTAGATTTCCAAACTCAATTAAATTTAATCTTAATCAATTATCACCATCCATCAATTCACTTCTTAATCTTAGTAATAAAGCTACACCAAGAGCTAAACTAATTACACATTAAATTATATCACATAATTTTAATTAAGTTAAAGTATCAAATGTATTAAAAAGTTTGGATGAACCAAGAACAACATTAACATAAATGAAAGAAAGTAGAGATAATACAAAAGGATAAAGATTATTAGATAAATATAGAGTTACATAACCACCACTTGAATACTTTAAAAAACATCCTAAAGTTGATCATCTATTTAAAGATATGTTAGAAATGAAACTTGTTTTATAATCAAGTCATTAACATATTTATACATCTCCTAGATTAATTAAAGAGGATTCTACTGCATTAAGAGAAAAATTAGCATAGTATCTAGAAGAAAGAACACTTAAATCAAATTTGACTCCCTAAGATGATTTAATTTAATAAAGTTCATAATTAGGATCTAATATGATGATTACATATTAACATGTTAGAACTCCTAGTGATGGAACTAGAATCTAAGATACTCATTCAGTTTTACCAACTGGTTAAATTAGTTCTTTTCTTTAAACTTAACTCTCATAATCCCCATAACCTAGAATTACTAATAAATTTGCATATGAAGATAAAAGAAAACTATATACTGATAGATTTAACAAAACTACTAATGGATAAACTACAGATGATAAAATACAAAATTTATAACATAATTTACTAGTCAAATAACACATGATTTAATAACATTTGAAAAAATAACATTGAATTTTATTATTATATTTCAATATTATTTTACTTTATTCTATTCTATTCTTATTATATATTTATTACTCATTTTATTATATAATTATATTCTAATTTTAATTTATTATTATTTTATTACATTCTAACTATTTCTTTTAAAATAATATTTTATTATGATTGATAATTTTCTCTATTAATCTTAATTATATCTAAGAATAGAAAAACTTAAGAGATTTTTTTTATTTTATTAATAATCTTTCATTAAATTAAATTGGTAAAACATTGCCTTTAAATCATTTATTAATATCATATATATATATTTTCTGTAATCTAGATAAAAATATTAAACCAAATAGTATTATTTCTTTTCAAAATAGTATTTGAATAGAATTATTATCTTGATTATAATCTTTTATTTATTTAAAAAAAATAAAAAATGAGTATTCCTTGTTTAAAACATGTAGGATCTCGCTTTCTTTATATTAATTATTCAAAAGAAAAAGCAGAGTATCAATGTGAACTATGTTTGGAAATGGAACAAGAAAAAAATGAAATTTAAAATAATTCAAAGTTAATCCATATTAGAAGGGTATGATTTTATGTTATTTTATAAAAGGCATTAAATTCACCTGAATATTTATTAGTAAAACTTAATCTATCACCCTTTTTGGATTAATTTTTTAAGGAATTAAATACATTAGATGAGACAAAAATGAACACTTTTATGAAAGATATCGAAAATAAAATATTAAATCTTCAAAATGCTCTATAAGCAATTTAAAAATAACTAGCTTAAAATGTAAATTGGTTTTAAGAGTAGAGATCGAAAATTAGAGATGAATTAAAAAAAGTAATTAAATTTGAATAATTTATACAATTCACAACTAAACTTGAATAATTAGGAGATTCAATTAATCCTTAAGCCATAGAATAGAATGAAAAATAACTCCATGAATATTTATAAGATCTTACAAAAAATAATTCTAAAGATCTGAATAACAATGTAGAAGATATTATTATTAGAATAATAGAGCCCTCAAATCCTAATTAGAAATAATTATAAATATAAATATTTGATCTTTAGCTTGACTAGTTCAAGTCTAGTTAAATTGAACTCTAATACTAAATAGATAAAATAAATCTTGGAACAAGAATTGGAAGTTGTGTATTATAAAGAACTTATTCTATGCAAATTGATAATTAGATATCATCAAGATTGAATAAAAAAATAAAGAGCTTTTAAAAAGTATATTAGGGTTCAAAAGATGGATTAAATGGGTAGACTTTTTGGAATAAAATAAATGGTAAATCTAATTTATTAATGATATTTAAATCTAAAAGTGGAAACATTTTTGGCGGATTTTCTCTATGTTAATGGTAATTAAATGAGGGTACTTATGTATAAGATAACACAATTTCATCTTTTTTATTTTCATAGACTCATAATTAAATTTATCCATTAAAAGAAGCCAATAAATAATATGCTATTTATTGTAATTAAACATATGGAGCTGTTTTTGGTGGTGGTCATGACATTTATATTCGTTAAGATTTTAATGGAGGTTATTCTAATCTAGGTCATTCATATTAGTGGGATTAATATTAAAATGTTAAAAGCACTCATTTATTTGGTTAATAAACTCCAAATATAGTAGAATGTGAGATTTTTTAAGTCATATTTGCTTGAGAAAAAATAAAATACATTTAATAGATATTATCAAAAAATTACATTTATTAATCTATAAAAAAAATTTTTTAATAAAATATATTAATATGATGTTTCTATTAATCATAGCAAATTAATTTAAAATATTTCACATTCAATAATTTATGGTTTGCATTAACCAAACAAATGAGTTTTTTTATTCATTAAATATTATTCACATTTATAAGTGTTTCCTAGATGATAACATGATCCATCTTAAAAATCTGATGATATTTTAATGTCATATCCACCTCCAAAACATGGTCCACAATCATATTTACAATATATTGCTTTATCCCTCTAATTATACTTTATAGGATAAATTTAATCATGAGTTTGTGAAAATAAAAATGATGATAATAGATCATCTTAAACATATTTACCTGTAAATGTGGGACTCCATAAACAAGGAGAATATCCACCAAATACACAACCACTTTTAGATAGAAAAATCATCAATAAATTAGATCTACCTTTTATATAATACCAAAATTAATCACTTGATAATCCATCTCTTGATCCTTAATATATTAATTCAGTGCTTTTTAATTTTTTTTCTGATCTTTAAACTATTATCTCAAATATTTTCTATTTGTATAATTCTATGTTTTATCTATAATTAATAACAACATTAGGAAAATTAGGTTGAATTTATTAAATTAATTGATTGTGTTTATCAGTTATATTATTAAAATATTCCTACAATTTTTAGAATTGCTCTTATTTTTCAAACTCTACCCTTTTCTTTTCTAATATTTAATAAAGTTTCTGATTTAGTTTCTCTACATCTTTTTCCAAAAAAGTCTTAAAATATTTATTCAGACTTTATTAATTCTAGTTTAAATTTTGATCAGTTAAAGTATCTTTTAATTCTTGCAAATTTTCAATTATTGATTTAAAATTATTAAATTGAAATTCCTATAATTCTTAATAAAAATTACATTTTCTATTTCATCACTAATATTTTATTTAAGTTCTAAGATAAATTTCACTTTGCTTTTTAATTCTTTAATCATTCCTTAGAGAAATAGATTTATTTCTTCCACTCTTTTCTCAAGTATTTTTATTTAATGATTAAGTTAAAATTCATCATAATTAGGTTATAATAATACAAAATTCAATATATCCTTTGATATTTTTAATATTTTGAGTAGAGTTTCTGGAGTTCTATAGGCCTAAGGGTATCTATAATAAATACATTATTCACATGGATTAATTCTTCTGGATCAAATTTATAATCTGCTTAGGTTAGTTCTGTTAAACAAGAATCACATAATAATTTTGTTTCTTTCTTACCAATTAGAATATACTTTTTGAGGGATCTATCATGCTAAAAACAAGGTAATTATAACATTTAATAATTAACAAATTATAAGTATGATTTATGTATTATTTACAAAAATTATAAATAATAAACAAATATTTATATGTTTTTTTGCCTTTAAAAACAATGAAATATTTGTTAATTTTAATTTATAAACAAAAAGTATTTTTAATTAATAATTTCACAAATAAGAGTAGCTCAAATGTTGATATCTACTCAAATAGTTTTTAATTGAAATGGTATAAAATTAAGTTTTTAATACATGAAATATAAATTATATGCTTAATTTTATAAAAAAATATAAAAATGATTTAAAATGTGATTAATGTTAAATAGATTTATAAAAAGAAAGCTTATTTAATATATTTGCATATATATATGGTAAATTATAAATAAAGAAAAAGTATAAAATTTTTTTAGTTTAAAATATTTAAGTATTTTATTTAAGATTGTCTGTTTTAAGTACTTTAAAATAATTGAATAAAATAAGTTGGAATAGAATTGTTATAAGATAAATTTGAAATAGATAATTATATGATTATATAATTATAGGATAAATTTGGTATAGTTAATTAATTAATAATATAAGAATTTGTTAAGGGAATATAAATAGTGATGCAACTCAATAAGCTGTTCTTTCCTAGTTGCAAACCAACTTATACCAAAGTATCGATATCACTTATGCCAAATGTTGAATTGCTTTAGATCTAATCAGGGAATTCAGAATAATGTTTTAAATGCAGTAATCAGTTCGAATAAAGACTCAGGTGTACCTTAGAATCGTTAAGTTCCAGTGCTGCTAGTGAAACATGATAATTTCCTTGATGATAACAATAATAAATACATCATGTTTTTCCACTCTAACAGTGAAGATATGTAAAAATATTATTTTATCTAGATATAATTGTTATGAATATTTGTATCCAATAATTCCTACATTTAATGTAAATCTAATCTTAGTTGAGTATCCTAGTTATGGAATATATCAAAATTAATCAGTACTATTTTATTTATAACCTAGGCATCTGCAGATATCATTTCTGAAGATGCAATAGCTGTATATCAATATTTTATAGATAAAAGGAGAATCAAATAAGATAATATTATACTTATGGGTAGAAGTATGGGATGTGGTCCTGCTTGTCTATTAGCTTCTAAATTTAATCCTGCTGCTCTTATCACTATTAGTGCTTATACCAGTCTCAAAGAAGTTGCACAGAGTTTCATAGGTAATTAATATTCTATTTATATAGGATCTGTATTGGCTAAATTAATTGATCAAAAATTTGATAATCTTAAAATCATTTCTGATGTCACTTGTCCTATGTTGGTTATTCATGGATAAAAAGACTTATTTATCACTTGTGATCACTCCAAAAAATTAATCTCATAAACTAAATCCAAAATCAAGTAATATCATCTTTCATTAAATATGGTATTCTATTTTTATATTTATCTAGACACACAATGATTTTAGTATCCAAGATGACATTATTCAACCAATTAAAAATCTAATCGACAAAATTAATTTCATTTCTATTCCATCACCAAAATAATCCAATCTACTTCCTAAAATACTTTTGAGATAGTAGAACTCTAAAAAATCAACTAATTTAATTCTTTGATATTTTTATTTTATTTTTATTTTTCATTCTTCTTGTTTATTATTTAAACATTCTTTATAACATTATTAATTTCATTCTATACAAATAAATAATTACAAATATAATCAAATTAGATTAAAATTACAATCTATTAAACTTTAAATATTTTTATATAAAACTTTTAAATATCTAGATTTAAATTGTTTATTTCAATTATTAATAGATAGAGAGATCTTTTTTATAAGAGTTAAAGTTATTCTCTAAGAAATAATTTTGAACTTCCAAAATATTATAAAAAATTATAATAGAAGGTTTATTTTAAGATAATTATAATTAAAACAAAACCATAATTCATCGATATAAAACCCATCAATCAGACAAGTTTGGCTTCTTTTCAATACTTAATTAGATATTGGATTATTTGGCTATATCCAATATAAATTAGATAATCACACACAAAACGACTATTAGTACAATTGACAAAACAGTGGCAATGACTATTCGTTTTGTTTCATTATCTTTATTTTCTAAATCTAAATTAATAAGAAATAATAAGTTACTCAAAAAATTATAAAATGGGGTACCTTGGAAATAATCCGCAATTTCTAATAAGAATACTTCCTTGGTTTATTTGGGTTAATTTTCAGGTGTATCAAGATTGTTAAGGAATGTAGGTTGAATTTAATCTGAAATAGGGATTGGATGAACAAATGCTAAGAGAAGCAATAAAAACATTAATACTCTAATAATATATATATTTCAAACATCCAATTTAAATCGATGAAGGGAATCAAGGTCAGCTTTTTTGAAGGCTTTTTATTTTGAATTATAGATGAAGTCTTAAAATACTTTGGAATCACGAACTTAAGAATCCTTAAAAATGGCCTATATATAAGTAGAGATTAGTTTAAAACCTAAAGATAAATATCCAGTTATTATTTTCTGGTTTAAATGAAATTTTGATTAAGGTTACCAAAGAGTCTTTTTTATGGAAATTCTGGTAATTGGGACTTGATCACTTCACCAAGGGTTTAATGGAGCTCAGATAGCATACTATATCTAGTCCAGAAAGACCATACAACATTGTCAACTTTAAGTCTAATGAGGTATTAGGTATAGGAATTGCCTTTAATTTTGTGGTCATGAAGAGAAATCCAATCGCTGGTTTCAAGTGAACGACGTTTACGCTTCTTAGATTTACCCAAGAATTGTAAGACTGGAGCTTCTGAGGTATGGGGTTATGATTATCCAACCTAGAGAGTAGATTAATTATAGTATTTACATGAAGGTGAACTGACATCATTTTTGTGGGTAAGATGGATTTGCAGTTTTATTTAAAAATAAATATTTATGACAATATAAGTTAATGTAGAAATTGATCATTAGGAATAATCTTATATGAGTATTTAAAAGGAATTGGATACTTGTTAATCCAAATTACCAAATTTTAATTTTCTTTGCATTACATTCACTCTATTTTCAATCTTAATTTAACAATAAAATTTATGATTACTTCGTTAATTTTCTTTTAATATTATATATTAAAATATGATTATTTTCTTGGTTGAGAATAAGTATCTCTGATTTTAGATTTCGTCTATTAAAAATCATGAACACTAGAATTCTTATATTGAGTTTGCCTTGCTTAGAAAGGCTTCGAACTTTATTGTGAATTGTAATATTCACATAAATATTGTTATTTTGCCTTCTTGATGCTAGAATTAGGAAAATCACTTTACAATTCAATATTATTGCGTGTTTGATTCCATTTAAATAATTATTACTCTATATTTTATAATTTATGATACAGTAATTCTTTTCGATTATGTTTATAACGTTGTTATTTAAGACTTATTATTTATTCTAAATATTTATTTCTTTGTTCTAATTCTAATTTAATTTATTCTTATTTTGATCTCATATCAACTTTATTTGGAGTTGTAGGTTCAGTATGACTCTCTGTATAAGTATTAAATAAGGGTTATAAAGATGTTATCTTTGGAATTTAGAATGAATGTTATCTAACTTAATTACATTTTTTTTTCATTCTAATTACTTATTTAATTATAGCTAATCAAATATTCAAATAATCAAATTCATTGCATTCTAATTATACAGTTTAACCAAAGTTCTAATCAAAGAACTTGGATATCTCTTACTTTGTATTTTAATACACTTAAGAAACTCTCACAAAGGTACTTAAATTACCAAAGAACTATCCAGCAATTTCCTACAATTATTGTAATGTAATTAAGCCTAATGGTTAGATTGCATTCCACTCTTACAAAATCTCAGGTTTCTTAAACTAATTGGATAATTAATACATTAGATTCTTAAATAAATAATAATTTAATAATACTTCTTTTTTAGATAATAAAGATCTTAACTCTCCTAGATTACATTATATAATAAATGGATCATTTGGTAACTTATAGAATATCTACTTCTCTAATAATTTAATAGATTCAGCTAAATCTTCATAATGTTGTTTATTCAAAGTATTCCAAATTTATTCTCTATTGATTAAGATCTGACTATATTTCATTAGTAATTGAATTTCATGAGTATTACCTTTCAAATTCTTTTTGCCTATTTATTTAACCATCTTGGAATTCTCTATAGGGATTTCTAAGAGGCATAATAGATTGGAACAGTTTATAAGACATAAAATGATTGTTTTATACAATTCATATAGAATCTCTAAGATTCATAAAGAATATTACTTGATTGTTGTAAGGCTTATAATTTTATAAACAAGGCAAAATATTTCTTAAACTCAGGATCTTCATTCTGTTTATATTGTTTAATATATTCAATGTTATCATTAAATTTCTAATAGGTTGTATTTGGATACTTTGTATTGTTCTTCCTTCTATTTTAAAATAATTTAATGAAGATTCACTTCATTAGATAATAATGTCATTTATTGTTATAATTGTGTATTCTTCTCCTGTATGTGTAACAACACTTCACATAAAGATTTCTTAATCTTAGTTTAATCAAATTAATGAAATATTGGATGTATATTGGCTCTGATTTATGTAATCCTTTCATTACCCTAATTTATAAATTATTCACAATAACTCCATTAAATAAACGATACATGTTCAATAAAAAATTGATTTAATAATCCAATTGCATTGTTAATCAAAATACGTGATCTATTTTCTTATTCAAAATGTTTATCTAATTCAATCAATAACTCTATCATTCTTTTAGCAATATTAAAGAATCGACCAAATTATTTGAATAATGATGTCAAATAACAATCAGCTTTCAAATTGAGTGTTGTTTATAAAAAATCACTAAACTCATCCACATGAAGAATTTACATTTATTTCTTTTATATTTAAATATAAAGTATATATATTAATTAAAATAGATGATGATATTTTCTTAGATTTAAAAAACATTCAATAATACTAATAGAAAATAAACAGTTCTCTTAATAAAAAAAATCAATATAAAAATAATTATAAAGATATCCTATATAAAAAATATTTAAGAAATCAAACAGTTTAGTATAGACTTAAATTAATACAGCAATTAATTCATCTGCATATACAAATATAACACAAACATTATCATAATTGAAGTCATTTTGATATTTAAAAATAAGTAAATTAATCTAGACAAGATTTTTAAAAGAAAGGAATGAAATTTAATTTATTAAAAATAGAGAAACTAAAAAATTAAGAGAAATAAGAAAAACAAAAATTCAATAAATCAATTATAAATTATGATGTGTAATATCTTAAGAGAAATAAAGGATAAGTAGACAAAACTATCATTAAATAAGATTCAGAAAAATATAATTTATCCATATTATAAAGAATATAAGTAATTAAGTAGATTATGATGAATGTAATTAGAAGAAAAGTAACTAAATTTTTTTATATTTTCAATAGAAAAATGAGAGAAAGGATTAAAAGTTAGGATTTAAAAATGAAATTCATAAACCTATTTTCCCTTCTAAATATAAAGGGAAACAATTAACTTTGATAAATTTAAATCAGAAAAATTCATTTGTGTTCAAAATTACNGTTGTATTTGGATACTTTGTATTGTTCTTCCTTCTATTTTAAAATAATTTAATGAAGATTCACTTCATTAGATAATAATGTCATTTATTGTTATAATTGTGTATTCTTCTCCTGTATGTGTAACAACACTTCACATAAAGATTTCTTAATCTTAGTTTAATCAAATTAATGAAATATTGGATGTATATTGGCTCTGATTTATGTAATCCTTTCATTACCCTAATTTATAAATTATTCACAATAACTCCATTAAATAAACGATACATGTTCAATAAAAAATTGATTTAATAATCCAATTGCATTGTTAATCAAAATACGTGATCTATTTTCTTATTCAAAATGTTTATCTAATTCAATCAATAACTCTATCATTCTTTTAGCAATATTAAAGAATCGACCAAATTATTTGAATAATGATGTCAAATAACAATCAGCTTTCAAATTGAGTGTTGTTTATAAAAAATCACTAAACTCATCCACATGAAGAATTTACATTTATTTCTTTTATATTTAAATATAAAGTATATATATTAATTAAAATAGATGATGATATTTTCTTAGATTTAAAAAACATTCAATAATACTAATAGAAAATAAACAGTTCTCTTAATAAAAAAAATCAATATAAAAATAATTATAAAGATATCCTATATAAAAAATATTTAAGAAATCAAACAGTTTAGTATAGACTTAAATTAATACAGCAATTAATTCATCTGCATATACAAATATAACACAAACATTATCATAATTGAAGTCATTTTGATATTTAAAAATAAGTAAATTAATCTAGACAAGATTTTTAAAAGAAAGGAATGAAATTTAATTTATTAAAAATAGAGAAACTAAAAAATTAAGAGAAATAAGAAAAACAAAAATTCAATAAATCAATTATAAATTATGATGTGTAATATCTTAAGAGAAATAAAGGATAAGTAGACAAAACTATCATTAAATAAGATTCAGAAAAATATAATTTATCCATATTATAAAGAATATAAGTAATTAAGTAGATTATGATGAATGTAATTAGAAGAAAAGTAACTAAATTTTTTTATATTTTCAATAGAAAAATGAGAGAAAGGATTAAAAGTTAGGATTTAAAAATGAAATTCATAAACCTATTTTCCCTTCTAAATATAAAGGGAAACAATTAACTTTGATAAATTTAAATCAGAAAAATTCATTTGTGTTCAAAATTACGATTAACTCCTTAATAATAAGAATATTTTATAAATCCAGCTATTTATTTAATTAATACAAATTAAAAGTTTTAAAAAAAGAATATGAATAAAATAAATAAAATTTTGTAAATTACTATACTGGTTGACCGAAGAAAATCTGAATATATGCAAGCCATTAATTTTTAGAGAATTGAAGAAGAAGAAGTTAAATCAAATTGGCTAACTTCTAAGGTAGAATTGATTGCTATAAATAAAATTAATAGAGCATTAAAGTATATATCTCAAAAAAGAGATATCTTAATGAGAAAGAAAAAAGATAATAAAAGAAATATTAAGAAAAAGAAAATGATTCAAAATTCTTTATAATTCATAGTAGAATGAAATCGAATAATTATAATGGAATTGATACCAAAAATTTTACTAGAGTCTAAAATAAGCTATTGCATAAAGTGCTGGAAATTTCAAACAATAATTATAAAAAGGAATGCAAATAAATTATTCAAAAGTTAAGGTGCCTCAGTCAATAATTGAGATTATAATAAATAAAACTCTTAAACCATAAGATATAAATTGTTATGATACTAATATGTTTTGTCCTTTCTATCATGCTGCTTAATCGTAAAGTTTAACATTCCGAAACTTTCTATTAATATGCCTCGTTAAGCAGGTTTTACTCCTACACTTAATGCATTCAATACTAATAATATTGTCTTAATCAGTCTTTTTTATCTCGAATGAAGCTAATATAGATATTTTAAATGATAAAGGCAAGTATCCATTAAGTTATTGTTCCATCTCAATACTTAAAAACTTACTACTCCTCCTTCTATTTTTAGAAGGCCTGCCCTTATTAATAGAATTATTTATTTTTTTATTTTAATTTTAATGTATCTTTTTTTTTATTAAATTAATGAAATAATTCTCTTCATATATTCATTTTTTCTACTCATTTGATATATATTTCATTTTTTATCATAATTATAATAAAAAATGATCAATATAATTATAGTCTTGCAAGATTCAATAAATTAATTTTAAAAAAACTGATTTATTTATAGGATGGTATAATGTGTTCCAATAATGATTTTATATATCTATTATTTTTGTCACTATTTATTAACTAATTTTACTCTACTCATTTCTTTAATGAAAGATAAAAATAGGTTTTCATTTTTTTTTCATTTCTTTGGATTGACTTTTTTTATGAAGAAAAAATATGCAAATTTGTTCTTCTATCTTAATGTATTTTATTCTAACAATTAGGTTATTATACACAATGTGTAAAGTAGAAGTTGTAAATTCTGGATAATGTATAATATATATAATAGTATTATAAATTGAATATAAAAAAGTATAAATTGATTTCAATTGAATAAAAGCTTAGAAATAAGAAGTGTTTAAATTGAAGAAGATATGATAATTTTAATATTGGTGTGTTGGAGGAATTGTGAGAGAGGGATAGAAATGATAAGATTTTTATTAAGAATAGATGGGTGAGTGAAGATTGGATAAGGTTATATTGTAAAATGAGATACGGTTGTATTTAGAAATAAAAATATAAATTATAATTGAAATGAGTGAATCTGCAAAGAGTTCTTATTGGACAGAGATGGAACAGAAAATTACAAATGAGTTAGTGTTGCAAACAATGAGGAAATTTGGATAGTTTGAACATAAAATAAATGATGGTACAATAATGAATGAGTATTGAAGTTATTTAATAAATAATTGATTCATAAGAATTAAGTAATAAGAAGGATGTAGTATTGGATAATGGATCAATGTATAGTGGAGAGATGAGAGATAATTAGAGATGTGGAAGAGGTGTTTAGATTTGGAAAGATGGTTCAATATATGAAGGGTAATAGATATGAAATATAGAGATAGAACATGGTTAGATGGTTAGGCATTTGGTTTTGGTAGATTAATTCATGCAGATGGTGATTTATATTAGGGAGAATGGAATGGAGATAAATCAAGTGGATATGGAGAGTATTTTCATTTGGATGGAGCAGTTTATAAAGGGGAGTGGAGAGAAGATAAATAGGATGGTAAGGGGATAGAGAAATGGCCAGATGGAGCAATATATGATGGAGAATATAAATAAGGTAAGAAAGATGGTAAAGGGATGTTTAAATGGATGGATGGTTCAGAGTATAATAATATATAAATGAATATATAGATACTAAGGAGATTTCAGTTAGAATGATATACATGGATAAGGTGTATATAAATGGGCAGATGGTAGAATTTATGAAGGAGAATGGAAACATAATAAGATGGATGGATAAGGTAAATTTGTATGGTCAGATGGTAGAAAGTATACAGGGAATGTAATTAATATGATAAAGTTTAGTACAAAGAGGATAAGAAATAAGGATATGGTATATTTGAATGGCCGGATGGAAGATCATATGAAGGATTATGGGAGAATGGTAAATAACATGGAGAAGGAGTGTATGTTCCAGCGAATGGAAAGAGAAGAAGAGGAATGTGGATTGAAGGTAAGAGAACTAAATGGATAGATGAGGATTAGTGAATTTGTATGTTATTTTATAATGGCTATTTCATTAAACATCATGTTAATAATAATGAATATTGAATTTAATTGAAAAATCTTGATTATTATATATTAATTATAATTCTGAATATAAATGATAACAACTTCATAATCTTCAAGTGATTCTGAAGTCAGAAGAAGAGTTAAAGAGTATATTTGTGGTGATTCATTGTGTAGAAAGAAATATGGAACAAATGCTGCATTGTATACTCATATCAAGAATAAACATCTTGGAGTTACACCTGTATCAATAATTCAATTTATAATAGAGTGGCACTAAAAGACCATCATCAGAATCTATTAAGGGAAGAAAAGGAAGACCTTAATAATTAAAGGCAGAAAATAAATCACAAGATAGTGTAACAGAAGAAAAAATTAAAGTTGTCAAAATCATGAGCACTTAATCTTTTTAAGATTTCATTTATCTTATAGGATAAATTGGTGATCACTATTTAATCAGAGATTAAGATGAACAATATCGTTATATTGTAAATGAAGAGATTGATAAAATCAAAAATGATTGTGTATTCTAATTAATATCTATCATAGATTGGAGATTCATTTTAATTATAAGATTTACATAAATAATTCATGATTCAATCCTCTCCTTTTTGGAAACCCTAATACTTCTACTGTATATATTATTTTATTATATTTTCATTGAGTAAAGGAAGCTTTTAAGGTATCAATTAATTATTAATTAATGAGCTTAAATAAAAGATTGAATCAAATGACAATCTTATCTTACTCAACGATCTTATATAATAGAATCCAAATCAAATCAAACTGATATTCCAATAATTGAAAGAATTATGAATAATATCTATTTCCATTATTTAATCATATGATATTATTTAAATATATACATATATAAATATATATATAGAGATTATTATGGGATTATGTCTCTTAAAGTAGGAAGCAGAACATCACACAACCTTATCCTAAGAAAAATTGTAATAAGAAGATTAATTAGATGGAATTCAATTCGAACAAATCAAATTAAGTGATGAAGATAAAGTATCACTTATGGATTTTGAGTTTCTTAAAGTATGAATTCTATAAATGAGGTACTTGGAAGAGGTGGCTATGGCAAAGTAGTCTTAGTTAATCATAAATCTAAATCCAAATTATATGCTATGAAAATTTTAAGAAAAGATCTTATACAATAAATGAATTCTCGAATTTATATGGAAACCGAAAGAAATATCTTAGCTTTAGTTAAATGTCCTTTTATTGTTAATTTACATTATGCATTCTAAACTAAATAAAAGTTGTATTTTGTTATTGATTTCATGATTGGAGGTACTTTCATATTATTATGATAGGAGAATTATTTTATCACTTAAAACGTATAGGTAAAATGGAAGAATCCTGGGCTAAATTTTATTGTGCTGAAATTATATTGGCTATAGAATATTTACATAGTCAAAATATAATCTATAGAGATTTAAAACCAGAAAATATCTTACTGGATTAAGATGGTCATATCAAAATAACAGATTTTGGTTTATGTAAAGTAGATATTAAAGAAGGAGATTTTACTACAACTATATGTGGTACTTATGATTACATGGCACCAGAAATCTATTTAAAAAAAGTAAATTTAATTTCATATTAAAGGGACATAATCAATCTGCTGATTGGTATTCCTTAGGAATTTTATTATATGTTATGTTATAAGGAATACCACCCTTCTACTCATAAAATAAAAGATAAATGATTCGTTGTAGATTAGAAAGATAAATTGAAATCAAAACACCAATCTCAGAAGAAGCAACAGATCTTATTAAACAATTACTCAAAAATAATGTAAATTTATTCTCTTTCATATTTTCTAAGCCAAAAGATAGACTTGGATATGATGGATCTAATGAAATTAAATCTCATCCATTCTTTAATGACATCAATTGGAATGAAGTTATGGACAAAAAAGTAGCTCCTCCTTTCAAACCTAAATTGTTTGGAGATAGAGATCTCAGAAATTTTGACGTTGTATCAACTTATCTATTTCTCTAATAGACATTTACATAAGAAGCAGTATAAGACACTCCCATGCAATCTATGGCTTAAGAAGATAATTATGATAAATTTTCCTATTAAGAACCACAATTGTTTGTAACTATGAATGAAGGTTTCTCACTTAATAAATGATAATAAATATTTATATTTTCATTATTCATTTTTCAAAAATAAAAAAACATAATTTATTTGTCTAGAAAAAACATTTATCGATCATTAATCGAAAGATGCAATCAATATATTATATATTTTATCTATATTTTATTCATAATCAGGTATAGATCAATAAAAAAATTAATCCACAAAGCGTCCCAAATAGAATTAGAATTGTACAAATCTAACTCTAATCTAACATTTTATAATTGTCTATTTATACCATTTGTTTTTAATAAATCACCTAACTTTTTTTATACAAAATTCATCTTCTTCTAAGTTTTATCCATCTCTACATCTAATTAACTTATTTATCTATATTTTATAATAGTTGAACTTACTTTCCTTATTGATCAATTACAACATTTATATTTTATGCATGACTATGTAATCTATTAGCAATATCTGCTATCTCATTAAGATGATCATCTTATTCATTCAAAATATGTTTGTGCTATTCCATTATAATAATAATAATTAATATAAATTGTATTATAACTCTTATAATTATTCAATTTCTGATCAATTATACAATTCACAATTTAAATAGATTATAATTACAAGTCTGTCAAACCTACTAAATCTCTTTCAATATTTTAATTTCAGTGCTATATTACAAAAATTTAATTTTAAATTCCTCCTCTCTATTTATATTCTTTAATCTTAATCTCTTTTATTTTAATACTTAATTATGATGTTTTCTAATTAGAATTTTCTTTAAATTTTAATTATGAACTAACAAATTTTTGAAATAAGATTTTTTAGTATAATTTAAGTTGATTGATTTCTTTTTTGTCAAATTAAAATTTGATTGCAACTTTCAAACTTTTTTGTTTGATTATCCTAAGGATTATTATGAAATGTTTTATGATAAATAAGATTTTATTAAATTTGATTTTCAACAGAATTTTGTATTTCTAAGAAAATATTTAGATTTTCTATTATCCATTAAAATAATTTCAGATTAATTAATAAGATTGAATTATATTTTTCAATTTGATACAATTTATAATACTTATTGTTAAGAATTGAATAAATAACTAGAGGATAATGTTGCTAATAAAATATAATAAAAATAGAGAGTGTATAAAATTTGTTATTAGAATATTAAATTAATTGATTAATAATTCATTTGATAAAATTCAGATTTTAATTACTATATTCCCAATTAGTCAATTTAGGTACAGAAAAGCGACAATATTATCGAAGATTTTATTTCCATCCACTACTGAAAGGTGATCCCAATTATTATGGAAAATCTTTAAGATATGAGATCCTTTTCCAACTCTTATATTCCCAAGTAGTCATATTTTTGAAAGTCAACAAAGAGTGAAAAAGAAATAAACTAAGAACCATCAGTCCCATAGATATTAATAGAAGTAGAGTTATAATGACTAAAACAGAAAATAATGAATTATATTTAGAGAAATCTAGGTGTGGTAAAGCCTTAAGTAATATATGTATATATTTACCTCATTCATAACATAAGCAATTTCTTAGATTTAGAAAAAGAGAAACCAATAAAAAACACATCTATTTCTTTCTCCTATACAATTACTAGTCTTAAATATATTTATATATATTGTTATACCCATGGACAATGATGATCATATAATGCAATACATCTATTACATTTTCGACAATGTTTAGAACGAATGATTTAATCTTGATTACAAATGGGACAATATCTCTTTTCTATAAACATACTATTTCCATGATGCACACTTTAATCTATATTCTTCTCATTGTTAGCAGATTTAGGAGATTATTAATGTTCTCCTTATTCAATATTGATTTCTTATTAAAAATGAAATTGAGGTTCAGGTTATGTATTTGGAGTATTATTATTATTATTATTATTATTTATGTCAGGTTTAGTACTACCTTAAGAAAGTACTTATGAAGTTGCATTATTTTAATGAGGACTTTACATTTATGAAATCATTTTTGAAGGAGTTTTACATTTTTCAGGTGTTTTCTCATAAGATTTAACATTATTTTCTATATTATGTATATCAGTATCAGGAAGGTTTTATTCATCAATTGATGCCTCGCATTCCATTTCAAATTCATCTTTATTCCTATAATTATGCATATCATATACTTTGGTTTCTCTTTTACTTAATTATCCACTTTTAAATCAATATGTTCTTCTACTACTTATTCTTTTGTTCTAAATTGAGAATTGCCTGGAAGTACATGAAATTATTATTTCTTCTTTTAATATGGATTCGAACTATCTGTATATTAATAATCACTTATTGTAACAAATCCTGGCTTATCATATCATTAATATTTACATCTTTAAATGCTGTCAATCCATAAAATATTAAAGTAAAAATTATCATCAAATACAAATAATATGTTCCTATATTTGATTTCTCAAATAAACCATCATCTATTATACTTAAAATACTCAACGAATATATTTGCATAAATCCATACAATATTGGTGCTCAAAGATTCAATTAAATTATACCTAATTTAACCATAAATCCACTTTAATAATTATATTTATCTTTATAATTATATTAATTCGTTAATATTATCATTCTTACTAATTAAATCTCTAAGTCTTCAAATATATCATCTTAACTCTACAAGTCTCAAAATCGTATAGGATTTACTTGATTCTAGTATAAACAAAAGTTCAATATTATTTAAATGTTATATATATACTCATTTCTAATCTTTAATTTGAGATTCAGTTTTACATTTTTAATATTTATTAATATTAGCATGTATTTTTAAATTTTATTTCGATTCATTTATTGAATCATTTTATACATGATTAAATGATTCAATATAATTATTCTCTTGAGGAATCAATTTTAAAAACATTTCATTTACAGGTTTCAAATGTATTTTCATCATCAAATTCATTTATTCTATGCTTTTTCTTAATTTAATATTATCCAATTTGACTTATTGAACAGACTTCAACAAATTATGATACTTATTCATTTATTTATGCTAAAATTGTAAATCCTAAGTTTTTATCAAATTAATCAATACCAAAAATCCGATCTTCTATTGAGATTTTAATAATTGATTCTCTTATTTTAATTCTTCTATCGTTTGTTCCAAATGTCTAATTTGTTGTAAAAGATAGTATAAATAAGAAGTTTCTGATTGAGGTTTATTTATAAGTGTCTTTGAAATAGAAAGAGAAGTTGATAAATTATTAGGTGATCCATGTTATTCGAGTTATTTACGATGTGATTTACTAGGAGATTATTCTTATTTGAAAAAAGTGTTCTAAAAATGATGTAAACTTTTATTTTAATGCAACAGTCTTAAATCACTCATATTTCTTAAATAAATTTATTATATAATTATACTCTCAATCAAAGCAGAAAAAAAATACAAAAAAATTGTAAATTCAAAATTGATCCAAATCCAACACCAAAAGGCTTGATTTAACGATTGGATCTATTTGGTTTTCTAATAATTCATCAACACTCTCTATTGGTTCTTCATAATGGATGAGAACCAAAGTTCGAAAACCTCGAAATTATTGTTTGGAACATTTCTTATGCGGCAACTTATTACATCGATTGCCTTGTCTATTTTTATTCAATATACATTAATTTCGAAATGAGAAGTTTAAGTTTTTACATACACCACAAATCCAATCACCAACTCTTTGTTTTCTTTTAACTATGTAGGGAGAACTATTCATATATTTTTATTATTTGAAATTCAAAAATTAATAACGATATATGAATTTAGAATTTTTTATAATATATTTTTTATGTACCTCATAAAATTTAAGTCTCTTGCTTAAAGAAAATAATTTGAATTTGATGTAATCCTAATGAATTAATAATAATTTCAGAATTTAAGTCCAAACGAGAAACAATTCAGAGTTCAGTATTAAAACTAAGCGAATATACAATGATTCATCTTTCAATTTATAAATAGCAATTTGGCTCTTTAAATTGTTATTATCACATGACTTTGTTACTTTTATTCTTTATATATAATTCAGAATTCCAATTCTATTTTTATGTATTGGACATTTTTGTTACTGATAAAATTTACATTACATATCATCAGATTTATAATCATTTTTATAAAAGACAAAGAAAGGAACAATTATAATTATGTTGGGTATTGGATTTATTACTTATTAAATATGTTTTATTAATAAGATCATCTTTGCTTGATTTATTATTTTGTATTATATTCTTTTCTAAAGTATCTTGAAATTCAATAGAAAAAACCTTCATAAATTATCAAAATAATTATTTAATAAATTTAAAAAATAATTTTTAATGTAATACTTTGCAATATTTTAGGTAATGTATAAAATTATTATATATTTAACGCGTTTACTATTCTTATTACAAAGGAATAAAACTATGTTTAATAAAGATAAATAGGCATTAATGCTAATAAAGAAAATAGATTAAAGTAAGATTTCTTATTATCATTTAATTGATATTCATCTTCTATTGTAACGGTTTTAAACCTTAAAATGGAAATCTCAAAAATAAATATTTATATAATCGACTTGATTTAAATGGCAGTATTAATATAGAAAGAATTCGGATCAATTTACTATTATAGAGTATTTGTGATATTCCTGTAGATAAATTATTGAAAAGGAGTTATTATTTGGATTATAAATAGAAAATAATTATGTTTTATTTATTGTAAGCTATTTTGATTGGAGTATAGCAAATTAAAAATCGAGAAAAATTTGAAAAATTATTAGTTTTCCCAAAGTTTTAGAAATTAAAAGAAGTTTGATCATAATTTTAAAGATAAGTTTTAAATGATTTTTTAAAAAGAAACTATAAAGATACATTATTATCTTCTTTAAGATTCAAATGTAGCGTAAAAATGATGAAATAATGAATCATTAATCAAGTCCGTACTAAATAAATTTCTTAGAGATGTTCAAAATGTGCTTTAGATAAGAATCAAGAAATGAACAGAATGATTAGGTATATGATCAACGAGCCAAATTAGTAGATATAATTCCATAAAATTGATTATTACATAATAATTAATTTAATGAATAGCCCAAGTATCTAGATTTCTTATAATAATACAAGTGACTTCCATTTCTAATTATATAATTAAATTGAACAACCATTCACTTAAAGACAAAATTTATTAACTCATTATAATATGTTTTGAATCTACTGCTAGAAATAAATCTCATATAGAATGATATATCATTTAACTATTCAAATTGATTAATTATATCCATGCATAATTATAAGTTTTATACTCAAAAAAAATTAACTGTTCTTATTAAACCCATAAATAGTTCTTAATAAATGTCAAATAATTAATTCAATATAAATGAGCTACTTGGATAAACTTAAACATCATCAAATAACTTTTGTCAAAAAATTATCAAGAGCTAAACTCGAAAAGATTTATATTATTTTTACTAAGTTCAATCATTAAATATTTAAAATTAAATTATACTCTCAATCTACTTATAATAAATATTTATATTATATGTAGAATCTATTGAATTTGTTATTTAAAGAAGTCTCAAATAATTATTATATACTTAAAACTAAAAACTAAATATATATGATAATAAATTTGATTCCAAAAATCAAAATGATAAGTTTGAACTATGCGCTTATACTTTATAAATAATTAAAAAATTGCACATTATTTAAATAATAAAATGGCAATTATTGATTAAGAGTCTCGGTTACTAAGTCAACGAATCCTAAATGAATTTCATATTAATGAAATCCGAAATAATTTCATTAGTATTCTAGGAATAAACAAAACTCATTTCGGGTAATACTTTATGTAAAAATTATCTAAAGAATCAACGATTTCGCCAATCTAATCCATCGATTAGCTGAAAATAATCAAGTCTAATAAGTAACTATCCAATAATTGTTTAACATATTTGATTAAAACAAAGATGGAAAACTTGATTGGAATGAATATCTGAAGTTATTTGTAGATTACATTGATAAAATGTAATGCCTAACATATCTGAGATCATTGTCTTCTTTAGAGGAATAGAGCCAGTAATTGATTTAAATTAAGTTGTAGATATCTGCAATAATTACAAATAGCCTTTTTAGTTTCACCATTCAAATAACTTTTTACCACCTAAAATTCAAAATAGGTTGAACATACTCTAGCTAGTTTAGAAAATAGATCATCAAATAAATAAATAAAAAAATATTACTTTATTTGCAGAGATTCTTTTGAACCTTCTCTAATTTAACTTCATTAAGATATTATAATATTTTAAGACTTAAATATTTTGCCAACCCAAATTATATAAGTTTTGAAAATAGTCTTATTATAAAGATTACCCCACGTAAAAATAAATAAAGTTGATTATGTAACATAATTGATTTCATAAATCATAAATAATGGATATTGCAATCATCTTTTCAAGTTATTGTTAATTGACGATGAAAAAGATCAAAATTAGATTTTGGGAATGCAAGCTCTAACATTAATTGTAGCTACAATCCATATATATAATATCCATATCCTAATTCCTATATAGAGTGATATATTGGTAGATACAATTCTAAATATCATCTCAGAAAGTTAAAATGATCTGATTATTGAATAAGGTTACCTATTGTTGGGACATTTAATTTTATATAATTAAAGTTTTCAACAAATATTGTTTACTAAACGATAAGCAATCCTTAATGTTGAGTTTACTGATGATGAAAAGATATTTTATCATAGCTGGTTTATTGGATGTCTATTTTATAGATATGAAACTCATTAAGCCAGTAAATTTATTACTTAAATGAATGTTTTACCTGATAATTTACTTTGGCTTTAAAGTATTCTCAATTATTATCAACAATATGGATTAATTAAATCTATTGAATAAAATCAAATCAGAATTCAGATACAAATTAATATGCTCATTATAATTCAACCTCTATTGGCTACTCAAATTCATTCAGATATTTTGATGGCACTTTTACATTAATTAAAAAATTAAACTACAGATAATAGACTTAAATTATAAGTTATAAGCACTCTTAAAAAAATATTTAAATTACCTTATTAATTAAATTATTAAAATTTTACATCATAAAATATCCTCTTATCTAACAATCTCTTGAATATTTTAATGTAACTCATTGCAGATTCTAATCCATAAATTAGTTATAAAGCCAAATAATTATTTTTCAAGACTCTATGTCTCGAGAATTCAGGAATACTTTTAAAATATTTATAAGAATCTAATAATTTATAGTAATTCCTCTTTGTTCTTGAAAGTCAATTTGTATAAAATGTTGATACTAACTATTAAAAATATTAAATACTTACAATCTTACGAATAATGAGTTAAGATAGCAATACATTCTAGATCTTATCAAAAGATTAATGGTTCTTTAAATTACTAATTAAGGCATTAAATGCTAATCATTAAATTTTTACTTCAAATAAATAAGTTATGATTAATTGTTATTATGATTATCTTGTGATTCATGAAATAAAAGAATATTGTGTTACTTTTAATTTACATTTTTAACCAATGTTCATTTAAAAACCTTAATTAACATATTAAGTATTAGATACTATATATTCAATACTCCCAAATTAATAAATAATTAATGAGATTAAATAATACTTTGTTAAACTTTTAGAAAATATAGATAAATATCAACCATTAATATTAAAAAGATATTTAAAACATCTTTATTAATCAGTTAATGAGATAATAACACAATTAACGCACTTAACTTTATGTTTGAATGAACTTGTTAAGAAACATCAAGTTTATAATAATAATTTTATGAGTTTCTTATAATATTTAATAAATGATCTTACAAAGTTCTAAGATTATTTAATAAAAAAAAAAGAATTAATTGATGATACTTTATTAATAATTGGAACTGAAGCTACTTATGATGGTTGTGTTGTAACAACTGTTTATTTAAATACTTATTAAAATAATTCAAAATGTAAAATAGTTTTGAAACCTTAACTTACATTATTAGAATTTGAAAAACATGTTGAATAAGGTCTTAAAATTACTAGTCCTCTCCTATATTTAGTAATAAATTAGAATCATCCTAATAAAATACCTTATGATGATTTCTCTATTATTGATGAATTATCTTTTAGAAAATTCAAAGAACTTTCAGATTAATTTATAGATACTCAATTTGGAAGTGTCAAAGTCTCCCAAGAAGTTATTGCTGTAGAACTCTTTAGATTGAAAATGGAAGATTATTCCATGAAAAAAATTTATGAAGTCTTAAATAAGGGATCATCATATATTCAATTCAAATAAATTCAAGACAATAAAATGTTATGGTTTTTGGAAAATAATTTAGGTAATTAATTTATCAAACTTTTAGATATTAAAGATAAAGGATAATTATTATAATAAATATTTCAACTCACCAAACTCCCTTATGCATAAATAGAAAATCTTTATGATGTATTTTTAATCCTCATATAATCATTAGTCTATCAATAAATTTTTTGATAAAAACTAACTACCATAATAATATAGATAAATATCTCAAGACAATTTTGTTGCTTATCTAACAGATATGTAGATTCCAATATAATTAGCTAAAAAAATTGGCACTTTTCTTGCCAAAAATGTACAAGGCAGTCCTATTGATTTTTAGGATTTTATCTGCTTTGTTTCCATTTTCTATTAATAAAGGTAAATTTATTTATACTATTTATTATCAAAAGCTTTAGTGAAACCATTATTATGAAGTTTACTTATCTTTTGTATGCAAATAAACAAGGAATCTTTGGAAAAGAACAATTATGTGATTATTTAGAAACCATTTTTGTAATTCATTCATCTTACCAACTTTTAGGTTATTTAAGAATAAAATATTAATATATAACAAATCAATGAATGGGGTTCAAATTTATTTACAAATATTGATTAAAATTAAGATGGTCATGTTTCTTTTTATGAATACCATGCCTTATTAAAAGAAGAACAATATCGAGCTAAACTATTAGATCCAATCTGTGCTCTATTTACAAATTTACCATTTTAAAATAAAACTGATCATTTCTTTTTTGGCACACCTTTAAAATTAATTAGAAGTTGAAAAATAATAATTTTAATCAAACAATAATTATTTTTAATTACAATTTTTATTTTTTCATTCTCTCTACTATTTTTTGCACTTAAAAGGCCAATTATGTCTTTCTCTTATTATTCACTATATTTTCCTTATTAAAACTATGATTTTTATTTACTTTTTAGTTATTAATCTTTCTTATTTATTGAGTAAATATTTACAAATTTTTAATTCAATTGATTTATTAGATTAAATTTACTAAAAATTTAAAGATCTGATCTTAGACTAGTAATACAAATAAATAATAAAATTATATATAATGAAATATTAAAATTATGAAAAAAACAATTGTAAAGCTGAATGATATATGAAAATGATAATAATTACAACATTCATTATTTAATTTCATCTTTAATAACATCTAATAGTGTTTCTATAATTTCTTATTCATTATAATTATATTTTGCATCTTCTTTAAATTATAGATTATAACAATATTACATAAAAGAACAAACATAATATCCACAAGCATAACTATTTTTTTATTATCCTGAAAATTGATTTTTAATTTATTCACATGATTCTAAATTCAATAATTTCGCCAAAGTTTTTATTAAATTTTGGTCTATATTATGAGATAATGAATCAAATAATTCTACTTGATTTCTTTCAAAATCAAACAAAAGAAACTACCAATGAAAGTTATTTTTATTAATAGGAAATCCAATTCTTTTATATATAATATTTAATTCGTAATTCATTTCTTCAAACTATTATAATTCTTCTTAAAATAACTTTTGAGCTTTTTTGCAGTCATAAGACATTCCAAAGTTGGTAGTTAAACTTGTTGGTAAAAATAGAATTCTATTTATTTATTATTTATCATTTTAATTTTTTTCAAAATACTCTTTTTCACTTTAAATTTTACTTTATATATTAAGATATGAAACAAAACTATCTATTATACTACTTGTTAACCACTTACCATTTTTTAATATATTTTCATCATTTTCATTTATTTATTAATTATATTTACACCAGAGTTTTGTTGGTTGATGTTACTTTTTCTTTTTTGGAGTTATGCAATCATTAATAATTTTTCCTTCTTCTATAATTATTATTTTAGATATAACTAAACTTTATGATCTAAATTCTGATTTAGTTTTCTTTTTTTCAATACATTATTAAGTATTTCTATTAATTGATATTCTTAACTATTATTCAACTTCAACTTTTAATTAAATTTTTTTCTCAAGCAAACTAACAATAAATGATCCTTCTTATGTAAAAAAATTTGGGTTGTAATTTTTATCATAGTCAGTTTTAAAAAGTTTCCCTTCAATTTCAAAAAAATCAGAATCCAAATTCATATTGCTTAAATTACAGTAAAATAATTGATTCTATAGCTCAATTACTGAATCGTATTTCTTCAAATTAAAAAAATGAATGAATATTTTTTATTCCTTTAATTTGTTTATTATTTATTATTTATTTGAATATTAAGGATCATAGTTCCTTTTCGGCTTTCTTAACCCATCTTCTAATTGAATAAATTATTTTTTTCTTTAATCTCTTTTTTAATCGCTTTTATCTTAAATTTCTTCCTTTAATTTTTAGTTTTATTTATTATTGTCCATATCTTGATATTTTGAATCATTATTTGAAGTTTCTTCATAGAGTGATTTTTGCTTTTTATATTCGAATGGGATTTTAGAGCCCTTTACATTCTATTATTATTATATTTATTACATTATAATTTTATTTGGAACCTTCAAATTAAATTTTATAATATGACTTATTAAATATGATTAATTGAATATAGAAAGAAAGAAATTTATTCAATTTATGACTATTATTAAATTAGATAAAATAATCAGCTTAAGACAATATTTTTGAGGAACTTTGTGTTTGTATTTTATTTTTAGAATTATAATTGTATGAGGAACTTCTATTTGGTTAACTTTTCAAAGAATATTCTTTTAATCTGAAATTACTGTTATCTTTTATTAGATCAAAGCAAGACTTTTTAAGGAAATCTAAGTTTTTTACTGTATTGAATCTAAAATGATTATTTGAAACTGTTTGAAACTCATCCAGAGAAAAAATATGATGTATTTTATTTAATAAATTACTTAATAATGATAGAGGGATTTTATATTAAAATAATAATTTAGTATCTTCCTTTGACTAATAGTAATATATATTAGAATAAATCAATAACAATTTAATGAATAGTTAATAATAATTTAATTAAGAATAATTAAAATACGATTATTAATAAATATAAGATAACGAGATTGATATTTTATTAATAATTTAATTAAAATAGGTTAATAAAATAAGACTATATTTGAGATTGAATTTAAGATATGAAATAAATTAAAATGTACATAATTGAACATGTTATTATAGTTACAATATCAATCATCTTCATCGTTACCACAACAGGCTATCACACATTTCTTCTTTTTAAGTTCATCTTACTCAATTAATTATTATTAGCCTGCAAAATACATGAATACTGATTCTAATGTTGCTTAATTAAGTTAAAAATCTTTAATATATTTATATTGATTTTAGATAACTTACAAAAAAAAGCTAAAGGCTTTATAAAAGGAAAATCCTTATTTTTATAATTGGACTACAATTTTATAATTATTTTCTTCTAAGATTTCACAATTAGGATATTATTATTTAATTAAAGATATAACTTCTAAACTTGAAACATTATCTGCTAATTCTAAACTAACTCTATAACCATCTCCAAATTTCTATTTTAAATGTTAAGGAGTTCCAAAACAAGAAAATTAACCATTAATTTAAATAGCAATTTTTGAACATAAACTTTCAGCTTCATCCATTGTGTGTGTTGTCAAAATAACTGCTCCATTTCTTAATTTAACTCCATTTTAAATAGCATTCCAAAGAAATCTTCTTGCTATAGGATCAACACCAGAAGATGGTTCATCAAAAAATTATAAATTAGTACCACCCATTAAAGCTAATGCAACACATAATTTTCTTTTATTCCCACCACTCAATTTATCTGAATGAACATTTTCATATTCTTCTAATTACATAACTTTCATAAAATATTCTACTGATTCAACAGCATCTTTTCCATTTAATCCTTTTAAATATGCCCAAATAAATAGATGTTATTTTACAGTAACCATTTCAAATAAACTATCAAATTAGGGACAGATTCCTACATTCTAAAAAAGTTCTCCTTTACCTTTCTCTATTAATTAACCCATTAATTTTATTTCTCCTGTTGTTGGTTTGAGTCTACAAGTTATCAAATTAAAAGTAGTTGACTTTCCTGCTCCATTTGGACCTAACAATCCAAAAATCTAACCTGATTCCACTCCAAAAGAAGTACCTTTCAAAGCTTAGAAACCATTTGCATATACTTTAGAGATTCTTTTGGCAATGACTTTATCTTGACAAGAATGATTTTAAATTCTTTTTGCTTCTTAAATAACATCGTTATCTTTTGATTCAACAATGGCTGATTATTAATCAACAGCTAATAACTTTCTATGATCAATGAGTATAGCTAATATTAAATAGAGTAAGGTTTAAAATACAAGGATAAAAACAAATACCCAAGGTTAATCAATAAAAAAGTTAGGAATTTCCATAATAGGTAGATTATAGTTAAGATCTAAAACAGCAGTTAATCCTGATAATAAAGAAATTGATGGGAATAGGAAAGTAAGTATCCATTTGATAATATGTTATTTGAGAATGAAGTAGCAGATCATTCCTGGCATGTAAAATATAAAGACCATAAGTAACATCATATATTTGAGAGAGGAAAGATATTCTGTAAATAACCATGAAAGTAAATAAGATAAAGTAACATATGCTTAAAAGCAAAAGAAGAATAAAGCATATACAACAAAGTAATTAAGTTCTTCTACTTATAGTGATAATGCAGTAATAGAATATATAACAAATAGAATTGTAACTACACAACCATCAAACATTAAATTAGATATCCAATAGGGTTCGATTCTACATCCCATAACATTAAGTGCATATTTTTATTTTTATTATCTTTCTTAAACAGGAACACTTCCAATACTAGTACATGATATACTCATAGCCATTACAAGTTCTATAAAAGCACAAAGATAAACAGTAAATGACATTATATATTCTCTTATATAATATTATTTTTGATCTTTATCATCATCATTAGCAGGTATATTATTTTTTGTAAGACTTCCTAATAAAGGACCAAGGAAACAGAATAACGATGAGAAAAATAATTGAACTGCTAATCTTTTACCTTTCATTCCATAAAGTTTTCTAAGAAAACATGCTTTAAATTATAAAGCAAATGAATAATTTGGATCATTTTTAAGACAATCAGGTGGAATAATCTTTGCAAATTCATCATTAAGATTTATTTCTTAATCAGATGAATAATTTATAGGTTAATTTCCATTATTTTAAGCTTTCTTAAGAAATGCTTCTTCATCCATACCAATATTAATAAATGCCTCTTCTAATGTATTCATCATAAGATTTATTTGAATAGATTGATCATTTTCTAGAATTTCAAATACATTTAATAAATCTGATTTTCTATCAAATGGTACAGAATAACTGATACATAAATTAGCAGTCTATGGTTATAATCGTGCATCTTTTATTTAATTGGTAACTAAAGATTTTATTTTCTCAACTTTATCTTCCCAAACCTCTAAAGGATTTTTTAAATTATAAATATGTAAATGATATCCTATTCCAAAGTTTTTTTTAACAAAATCTACACTTCCTACAGTCAATAACTTACCTTTAGCCATTATAGCAATTCTTTCAGATAAGACTTCAGCTTCATCAAGATGATGTGTTGTTAAAATTAAACATTTTCCTTCATTTTTCATTTATAAGAGAATACTCCATATTTTTCTTCTTGTAACTGGATCCATACCAGAAGTAGGTTCATCTAAAAAGATTACTTTGGATCCACCAATTAATGCCATAGCTAAACATAATTTTCTTTTATTTCCTCCTGATAATTAATGTGCTTATTTAGTTTTTTCTAATGATAATGCACATTTTTCAATAACTTCTTCAATTTAATTATTTAAATTTTCACCATCTAATCCTTTAATTTTTCCATAATACTTTAAATGTTCAACAACAGTCATTTTATTATATAATACATCTTTTTATGGACATATTCCTAAGAAACTTCTAATCCCATCTAAATCATCATCAGTTGATGTTCCATAATATTTAATTTAACCATAATCTTTTTTAATTAAACCAGTTAATAATGAAATAGCTGTAGTTTTACCTGCTCCATTATGTCCTAATAAACATAGAATTTATGATTCATATATAGATAAGCTTAATCCATCAACTGCTTTAGTTTGTCCAAAATATCTTCTTAAATCTTCTATTTATACAACTCTTTATAATTGACTTTTAATTTATTCATGAAATACAGCTGAACTATCATCTTATCCTTCCTATGCTTCCTCATTTAATGGTTCCACATAATGGGTTTATATATTTTTTTTAATCTTTTTATTTTCATTTTTTACTCCTAAAAAAAACAAAGGATGCTTATTAGTTCCATATTAATTTGGTACAACTTAATCTAAATATTAAGCTAACAATCCATAAAATATAATATCAAAGAGAAGAACTCCAAAATATTCTTTCTTTCCAAAATCAAATTCAACCACCCCAGTAATAGATACATATGGATAAACATTATAACAAAATGAAGGAATCAAACTCAATATATAAACAACATATGAATTTCTTATTATATTATTAAAATTATACTTCTAAATATATGGAATAGTTAATAACTAACTTCCAATTGATCCAAATACATTTATTACTACTGCTAAATCTGCACCTGTTTTTGGTGTCTCAAATATTGCAGCTATCATGTAACATAATTGCAATTGTGCCAAACCATACATTCCATAACCTAAAATTGTTTCACTAATTGTTAATGAGTTATCATTGATCAAATTTGCCTTCATTACTCCTGTTGGTACCACCAAAATCAAAAAGAAAAACGATACTGCAAACAATCTTAAATAATTGCTTAATATCCATCCAAATGAATATGATTTAGATTTCAAACCCATAATCTACAATTTTACATTTCAATCGAATACCTTTTATGTTTCCTTCTATCTCTCTGATTTCTCACTTATCAGTGCTGTAATTACATTTCTTGTCAATAATAACAAACTCATAGGTAAAAATTATGCACTACTCTAGGATACAGCATTATCACTGCTTGATTCTCATTATCTAATATATATTGTACTTGCAACATATAAAAGTATAAAACAAATAAGTGGAGGTATAAAATCTCCATATATCTATTTCTCTCTTATATATAACAAAAAGTTCTTTTCCAGAACTATTTTGCATTAATTCATAAACGATCGATTGCGACTTTAATCATTCTCCATTATTATTATAATTAAATTTTCTATAAAAATCCATAATCTATATTATGAATTTAAATCAATTTTTTAATATATAATTAATAAATTCAATTCTTTCTATTATTTATTTTTAATTGGAATTCCTCTAATTCCTAAATTCTCATATTTATAAAAATTTACTTTAGTTCTTATCAAATATCAACTCATAATTATTTCAATTAATACTTTCTATTATATTATTAATTCAGTCTAACATTTATTTTGTATAGAAGATTATTAATTATAGATAGTTCTTATTGCTATATTGGAATTTTGATTAAAAATAAAGGTTCAATTTGATTTTTTATAAGGAGGTTAATATATATTAAAATTAATGTGAACTCAACACTGTTTCCTCAACCTTTGTATCTACTTTCTCTAAAAATTTTGACATCAATAGCCTTATTTATTTTCTTAAACCTTCCATATATACAAATATTAATCATAAAGACTGTTTATTATAAATAATATCATTATATATTTAAATAAATAATATACTATGTTTAGATTATACAAGAAGCTTAAACTCAAAAGATTGATTTAAGTTTTAAATTTAATAATAAATAAATTAATTACATTTACTTTATCAAAATATTAGAATAACCTGATAATCCAAAAAAGCCAAATACTTAAGATCATTTGTACAAATAATTATTTGTAATAGAATGGAGTAAAATCATTGAAATAATAATTCAACAAAATATTATTATGATAGCATTTAATCAAATATTTTTTATTTTTTGGTATTTAAATCAATTCTTAGTACTTAGTCGACTCAAACATTTTAGTATTAGATCCAATCCTATCGATTAAGTGTAAAAGACTTATAGTTAACTTTGTGATTAGTTTAATCACTCATACACTTCCTCTATGAATAAAGACGAAATCAGTCGATTTAGCAATTTTTTTCTTCTGAGAAGGGGTCATAGTTAGGTAAAATATATAATTTATTTAAAATTTTAATTTGTTTTAGGGAAGTTGGCATTTTTTTGGCAAAATAATACAATTTTTAGAAAAGAACAGTTATTGCTAAATAATCAGTGGAAAAAATTTGAAAAAGTTTGCTAAATCGACTGATTTGATTGATATTTATGGCAAGGCATTAACTAGTATATTGCTTCATTTTTGAGTGAAGTTTGGAATAGTTTTAGTCCTTACTAAAGTCCAAATTTGCTAATGAGATGCGGTTCAGAACATTACTGATATTACTTTCTTTTTATCCTTTTTATCACTAGCCCTCCTATTTTCGATAAGAATCAAACAAAAGATAATTAAAGGTTTTCAATTTAAATTATATTATAGTTCTAATTTAATCACTAATAAAATAATTAATAATAATCAATTAATTTCATTATTACTTTTTATAGATTAAACAAATCATTTAATATTCTATATGTTTTAATTAACTACAATTAATTAGAGTGAACTTATGATATCCTTTTATGATTTTATCTTTTTCTTTAATTTAATTTTAAAGTCATTAGCATGCAGCTCACAAAAGAATTCAATCAAATCTACAAATAAATTTATACATAGGATGGTTGAAAGCAAGAATAAGTATTAATAAATTTTAATAAATAAGGTGGGAATTGATAATACATATATTGCATCGATGATAGGATTAGAGCAAATCAATATATTAAAGGAAATTCCTAGATTCCAATTAAGAACGATAATGCTGATTGCATCATCCATTGATATGATCTAGGTGAATTTTTCTTTTGTTTATTCTGATAATATTTACAGAAATAATTTTTAAATGATACTTGATTTTGGGTTATATCTTAAAGTCAACAATGGATTCAGTTATATTATTGTCATTCAATATTTATTTTTAATATCCATCTTATTAATTTTCACAAGAATCGCATAAATGAGTATGATAATCAAGTATAAAATATTCTTAGAGGTTAATTACAATTACGGACTCATTAAACTCAATATCATCTCATTCTTCAAATTCTTATGTTAATACTCCATCCCCACAAATATTTATGCATGTATTATTGACAAATTAGAACATCACAAATTAGAAGATCTTATAGTTTTATAAGTAGATTTTTATAAGTTCAATAAATTTAAATTACATGATATAAAAGTTCTAATTAAATAAGAAGCATCTTAAACCACCTTATTGATCGTTACAAAGCTTGCAATAATCAGTGCGCTTATAAAGTTTACAATTTCTACAATTTAAGTTTTAAGGATCAAAATATTATTAATTAGACTAGCCAAAAATCTACAAATATTATCCTTTGATTAACTACACACTCTATTTCAACTATTTTAACATTTACAATTTAGGATATAAATTATAATAAAATAATAAATATCTATTCTACATATTGTTTACGAGTTATTGAGGAAAAAATCTGTAGCTTGGTCCAGGAACTCATTTTAAAATACTGCCCATAATAATAACGATTCGATTTTAATTGAATCCAAAATCAAGATTTAATTCCTTAATTAGAATTAATTATATATTAATTCCAAAATAATAACCACTTTTTACCACAGTATCACTTATAAATCTCGATATTCCTATATTATATAAAAATATTCTGATAGTGCATTTTAAATTGCTTGTGGTTTCATCATCATTTACAACAGTTAAGGATAATCAAATATTTATTAAAGTTTTGGATTAGTTCATATCATTTACAATTAAGAAATCATTTGGATTTTAAAAGATCTAAATCATCATTTATAAATTCATTCCCATACCGCCTTATCCTCCTATTTCTCTGGGTCCACCAAATCCTCCCATTCCTCTTAGATCCCATATTTTCAGTACCTTCTACTCCTCGAGCAACTGGAATCCTACCTTAACATCTTCCTACAGTTTATAAAGGTTATTATTATTATGGAGTTGGAGCTTATTTATATGGTAGTTATTAAACTTATTCAATTTGTTTTATTTGAACTGAATACATTTTGAAATAACTAGATGCAGTGATGAATCAACCTTTACATTTATATTTTAGAGAACATAGAGGATTTTACCTTAAAATATAATCTTTATTTAAGTATGGTTTGGATTAAACTTCGAAGTAAGTTTTTCCTTTAATTCTTCAACTGTGATAGGGTCGATTTCGATAATTTCTGTCTAATATGTCCCATTTCATTTTTGATTGAAATTGCTATCATATTATATTATTTATCATTTAAATCTAGAGCAATTTCATATGACTTATTTTATGAATAAGTAATATTAATAAAAACATTCAAGCTAAAATTACTTAACATAAATCTATTAAATCAGAGGATTAGAATAAATTATTTTATTAAAAGATAATACATTAAATACAATTATTATTTAGTGAAAAAGATAAAGATAAACTTAAAAATATTATTAGAAAAATATTCTCAGCTTAATCGAAAATATATAATTCTCGTAATTATAATGGAAATTTTAATATTCAAAATAGTTCTGATAACTATTAAGAAGGAAGACTACATTATCATATTATTTAATTAGTTTTAATGAAATATATTAATGAATTGTTATCATTTATAGATAAATATATTTGTTGTAAGTTTAAATTAAAAAAGGTTTTATTTATATTTATCAATACAATTATTATTTTTTATAGTTCTTTTTAATTATTACAGTAAGTAACAAAATGTTTAATAAATAAATACATTTATTAATTTATTATGGTGATTATTGACATTTATTTATAATATTGTTAGATCCTAAATATTTATATAATTTTAGCATAATTCATTTATATTTATTATTAGTTTAATTGAATATGGATAGTAAAGCAATAAAATTTTATTATTTTTTAAAACTACTTTCTCTAAAATCACAAAAAAATGCATTTTATTAACTTATAATTTTAGAATTGCTATCTATATTTTTTTTTAATTTAATGTATTATGTTTCACTAATTATATAGATAGTTCAAAAACACATTAAATAAGTTTTGAACTTTAATTTTATAAATTATTAAGCCCAGATTAAGTCATTCTCATTTTGATCATTCTATAAAATTAAAGTCGACGAAAGTGTTTGAAATTTGAAATGAAAAAATCTATTTTCAAAAGTATTAAAACGATCCTCTTTATTAAATATTAAATACATAATTTAAAATTAAAATTTTTTTGATAATAATTTAGTTTCACTTATTCAACATATAAATTTATTGTCAATTTAATGATTTAATTGAGTATATAACACTTTTATATTTTTATACAATATATTATATAGTTTATTGTATGTATAAAATAATCTTTAAAAATTCCCTTAAAAGGTTATCATATAGGTTATAACAGCATAATATATTATTTTATAAACTTATCATAATGTTTATCATATCTTTCTAAAATATTCTATAAAAAAATTTCAATATAATTTGATTATTTAGTTTATTAGATAAAAAAAATTCTATATAAATTTCCATAGAAATTTATCATATTGTTAATTATGTAAATAAAATAATAAATATAAAGTTTCACTAAGAATTTATCATACTGTTTAATATATAAATATTTTTTATAAATTTTATTAAAGCAATACTATAAAGAAGAATAAAAAGAATCTAAATAATTACAATAAGAATTCTAATGCTTTCAATATTAAGATAATTAAAAACTTAATACATCGGGAGTAGATGTAGATTTTTAATTAATAATAATATTAATAATATACAACATTCTGATTATCATAATAGTTTTTCTAAAATAGCTTTAGATGATGCAGAAGTATAGATATAAATGTATACAAGTGATAAATTTAATCCTCCTTCTTATTAAAAAATAATTTGTATATATAATTTACTTACAATCAAATAAAAACTAATTTTGAAGAAATTTAAGATAGGCACTAGAAAAAAAAATATCTTTAGGTTACTTATATTTAGGTTATTTACATGATTAATAAGTTCAATCTTAGTACTTATAATTAGTAAATGAGAGATGATAATAATTTTAAACATATTTATAAATTGACTAATTCTTTCCATAATAACCTTAAGCATTATAAGTAATGAGAGAAGCCATATTAATAAGATAAAATGAATTTGAATAAAATCAAAAAGCGTTCATCTAAAATGATCTAGACTATTTTGATCTTCAAGATTTGTAACTCTTTATGCTTGAAACAACAAGATGCTATGATAGAGATAATTATTTTATTCCCTGTTAATATTACATTTCTCCCTTATATAGAATAGAATTTAATTTTACATACTATTTAATTTGTTGATATATTTATATAAATAAACATCAAATCTTTTATGTAATACGATATTAACCATGCTTTTCATTAAATTACTAATTAGAATATTATTAAAATTTTTGCAAAAAAGATTTAGAAAAAATAGAGATCAAAAATAAGGAAATTCTTGAAAAATCTAAATTAAAACTATTAGACTTTACATAACCCTCCTCTAAATAATTCTTGATGACATATTCTTTATGTTAATTAGGATTACATGAAATATCTATTGAAACTTATTAAAAATGTATCTTTTCATAAAAAGCAATTAAAAAAAAATAATTTAATCTATATTAAATCTTTCCATTCTTATGAATTAATGTTATAAATCAACAATTTTAATGAAATTACTGTACTAAAATATTTTTTTCTAATAATCAGGATCTCGAGAAACTTAAAAAATTAAAAAATGATTCTCTTGATTGTGATATTGAATAATTAGAATAAGCCACAATTACACTTATTAATTTTGATGGATATCTTAAATTCTTGCTAAATAGAGCTAATTGTTAGATTAAAAAACCATTATTTTATCTTATGTTGCTCATGAGGATGAAAAATTATGAAACACATCTATTAATTAAGTTATTCTGATTTTTAATTATTCTTAAGCTGTAAAATGTTGTTGATCTTTTTAATAATAGAATATTTAATTAAGTAACCTATATAATAGATAGACAGTAATAGAGAAAGACTCTTAATTTTAGGATATTCATGCATTTTGTGAATACATCCTTTTTGATTTTTCCAACTTTAACTAAGAGTAAGAGTTATAAATAGTAATAATTTTAGGCTTTTAAAAATGATACTTTGTTGTGAAGACTATAAAAAATTTTGGAGAAAAGTCATTAATAAAAATAGAATATCTGGACTAAACTCTTTCTGATTCGAATCTATTCAACTGTTTATAATATCAATTGTAAGATTAATTATTTAATATTTGGTATCAAATACCTCAAATGCAAAATAACTTTAATAGAAAAATATATTTTTAATTGTAGAATAAGTATTTTGCAAAGATATTAACTGATCAAACCAAGGAAGAATTTCATATTCATTTATTGACTTGTATACATGCATTAAATATGATTGTTATTATGATTTTTCATTAGGGTTTATTTAAAAGCTAATTAATTTTAGAAGAAAGTTAGAATTAAAAAAAGGAATTAAAAAAGATGAAATCTCTAATGAAAACCCATTTTTAGCTAAATTTTAACTTCATGGTTACAAGACCTTAATCCACTATTTATTAAGCAATCAAATTTGCATTTCAATGAAAAACATAAGCTCAACCTTAGAATATCATATTTTATTATCCTCCATTAGTTTATCAGCAAAAATATCATTCTATAGAGATTTAACTTTCTGTACTTTAATTTATATTATTTGTGAAAGATCTCATTAAGAATATATGAAAATTGGAGAATGATGAAAAAAAGCAGAAGAAGAAGAATTTTTATCAAAGTAACCCTAGAAATAGCAGAATTAAAATAATTTCCAGATCTTTAGTAATATAGCAATTAAATAAAATTTATTGAAAGTGAATTAAGTTTATTAGATGAACTTAATATTAAAAGTGTATCACATTCTTAAAAATGCTTGAATGTTAAAAGGTTTTGATTGAAGAATAATAAATTATTAAGGATGCTGATAGAATTATTCAAAAATGGAGATGACCAACCTTTATTTTCGTTGGCTGCTATACTAATCAATGTGGAAACAACTATTAGCTTCTTTAAAAATATATTTTTCTTATTGTTTCTATTTTCCCTTCTAAGAATAAATGCTGAAATAACATGATCTTCTCCTATTTAAAGTAAAGATCTATTTCAAATAAATGCCATTTAATAGAGATCTTAATTAGCACAGCCCTTTTGCTTCAATAAATTGCAAATGTGCTAGTTTCACTTTCATGTTGTTGTAATTAATCTGAATTATTAATGATTCATTTTTCTTCTTTAATAGATTATTGATTTTACTTTCGACCCGACTTGTAAATTTTTTCTCAGTGAATAAGAGTCAAATATATATTCTAAACTTTTATAATTTAAAAAAAAATTATTTATAAATTTTATATAATCACAAAAATAGTGTATGATCTTCAAAATATATATAAATCTATATGATATACACTCTTGATAGAAGAAGAATTTGGAAAAATTAAAATATTTAATAAATGGATTTAAAGGATATTTTATCATATTAAAGATAGAGAATGATAATAGTTTAAAATTGTATATAGCTAATTTTTTTACAGAAGAAAAAGGCAATGTAAAAAATATCAAGAAATTTAATTAAAAAATAAGGAATTACAATCAAATAAAATTCTTAAGCTAAATTAATAAAATTAGATTAAATTGTAGAAGAATAAATAATCTATTTTAAATTAAGGATGTAATAAATAAATAACAATAAACTAGTGAGTAAAAAAAGTTAAAGAATTAGGATAAGTTTTTGTTATTAAAAAGAGAAAAAAAGAAAAATAAAGTTTTATATCTTGAGCAAATTGAATAAACACTTATGAAGCGATGAAAAGTCAAGTTGTTAGATATCAATAGCCATTAATTAAATAATATAAAATTAAATTAGAAGTTGTATTCATATTAATTTTAATAATAATAGAAAAAATGATTTTTTTTACCTTTATCCTTGCGATTAAATGTTGTCCTTTAATGATAGATGATGCTAATTAAAATATAAATATATATCCAACAAATGGAGAGTATTTCGAATATCCGATAAGCGATTTATTTGAAGGAAACAATCTTATTTATAATTACTATCCTATTATACCAAATATTCAATTAAAAAATGCTTTCACTAAAATTTCACAAATAGACGGATATGGTATATATCAGAATCATAATATTAGAATTTCAATCAATATCCTCAAACCAAACTCATTTTGCAACAATAACCAAAGAAAATTATGTTATACTATATGAATGGAATAATTTTAATATTCAGTAGTATGGATAAAGACTAAGTATCAAAAAAGAATATCAATGTTATAATATCATTATGATTGCTGATATTAATATATTACTTGATTGCTATGCAGAAGATCATTTTTATTTATTAAACCTTATGAATACTAGTTTCAACATAGTTTATTCAATCCAAACAAAAAAGCCAATATCATCAAAAATGTAAGCAATTTATAATGAATCAGAATTGTTTCTAATTTATGCCCAATATTATCAAAATTTATCAGTCCTTACATTATTCTCATCTTAATATGACAATTTAACATCCTACTAAAATGAATTTATTCAAATTGATATTCCGTAAAGAGAAAATCCATATATATATATACTCTTTGGATAATCAATATCATAATTCATCATAACACAGAATTATACTTTTTATGAAACTTCAAACTTTATGTTAAAAAGAGCAGCTCAGTATTTTTAAGTTTATTATGACTACTAAATTTTATCCTAATGTGATTAATTAATCATTTTATCATATGATGTTTAAGACTAATATGAGGCATCTAGGATCTTAGGATGTGTAGATGGTATAATTAACTATATTGGTGGAGGATCCTATGATTTATATCAATCAAAACAATTGATTTAGGTTGTTTTTAATGATGAATTAGTTCTATTTTAATCATTACACTATTTAAAATTGTATACACTATAAGAGAATGAATATTCTCTTGGCTATGTTGTAATTAATAAAGATACTCAAATATATTTTAATCTTAATAATAACATATTATTCACATTTAGCAAATAAATTATAGTCTATTAATTGTTAGCCATACCCACTTTATAAATTAATTTAACAGAACAATAAGTTTAAGGAAATAAATATGATATTACAATTTAAATGAAATATTTGAATTTAACTTAAAAAGGTCTTTGTAAACTCTTTATGTCAATTACAATTTTAGATTAGAATGATCTAAATATCTATCTATAAAGGGTTCTTTCCAATTAAGTAAATTTCCCGATGTATGAATTGACTAATTCTAAAAAAGATATATAATTCTTTGGAGAATTTTCAGGCTAATTGCTGTCCTATAATGTTTATACAAATAATAAGCAGTTTGGATCGTTAAATTAAAAAACATTTTAAAAACAGTTCGAATTCACCAATCAGACATTTTACCTGGCCTAAATAGTAAACATATAATTTCGTTTATTTCCTTATAACACATTCTTTATTGGAATTACTAATGAATAAATATAAATTTTTTTAATAGGAAATTCTCTTCAATCATATGATCTTTGGAAGGCTTTTAATATAAGTATAAAGCCTCAGGCATTATAAGTTGCTTACAGTATTTCTGAAATTTTAATAATAGGACTTAAAGATAATGATAAAATTTACCTTTATTAAATCTATTGTAATTAAATAGAACCTTCGTCCTATAAATTCTAATTTAGAAAGTTTGAAGAATAGTTTTCATTTTTAGTAACATTTAATAATTTGATAACTTTGTTTGAACGTAAAGAAATTTAGATCACAACTTTGAATTTTACAGATCTAGTAATCATAAATGAAATTATGATTAATCAACTATTTAATAGAGACAAATTGCTAAAATTTAATCCTATATAAATAGCTATAAATACTTAATCATTATCATCATGCCTATTTATCAATAATATCAATAATGTCATAATAATAGCTATTGGTCAACATAATCAACCTATACCAGTTTCAATCATAGAGTTTAAATTCTAAATTAAATAAATAAACATTGTTAATCAATAATTAGTTTTATCTTATATTTGCAATTCAAAGTCTGACGTTTGTTTTTAAGTATGGAACTTCCAAAATTTAAGATAACCATTTTTTATGAAAGATATGAAAAGTGTACTTTATAAGAATTTGCTAACAATATTATCAGATAACTTATTTTTTTATGTTCAATTATCAAATTACACAGTTTTAGTTTACAACCCTTACATACCAGAGCATATGAGTTTATATTACTAACTCAATTTATCATCAACTTTTATATGCACATTTTACCTGAATTATTAATCTTATTAATCTTTATTGTATTTTGATAATAGCATATATTCATTATTTGCGAAACAAAATTTTGAGCTTTAAGTAAATTAATCTCTAAACTTCGAACGCTCTTACCCAGTGATGATATATAATTATTCTGTCACTTCTTTATTGAATTAAACTGCTATATAATATACACCTAATCAAAGCTTAATTTACGCTTCAAATTTCACCATGTTCTAACCAAAAACTAAGAAAAACATCATTTTAGAAAAGAAAGATTTAAATTTAAATGATCGGACTTTTACAATTCCTATGAATTTAATCCTTGATAGGTAGACAAGTCTTTGCTATTTTCCTAATAGTTCTTAAAATGATTAATAAGATTAATACTTTTCAAATCATACATGCAATATAAGTAATTTTGGATACTCTTCTGTAAATTAAAATCAAAAAAGCTACAAATTAGTAACTGCAGTAAATAACCAATTTTTTGTTCTGTAAAATAACAGTTATATCTTAATTGTTAATTAGTAACTTGAATATCTTTAATTATACAATTATACTAATTTTAATTTTGATGAGTGCTTGAAATCAACATCTTTTAATTTAACTTTATCATCTATATGTCAAAATGCCAGTGCATAATATTTACTAAGCATTACTTTTGATTTATAAGGAAATGTTTAAGATATAAACTCATTTTTAATTCCTTATACACTTATTAAAATAACTAAAATTAATACTATAGCCTACCTTAATTTTATTTTAGCTACTTCTTACAATTCCTCAATTCAAGAATTGTATTTATTTAACTAATTAAACAGCAGCAGCATGAATTCAATTAATAATAATTATTATATCTAGGATTTTTCAGTGGCTCTATTTAATTCTAGTTAGGATATCAATAAGTAAAATTTAGTTATTCTTACATACATATCGGATGATTATATCTATTATCAATATTTATATTTAAGAAAGAACTCATTTGAATTAGCATCAAATTCTTTCTTCCATCAATAGACAGGTGTACCAGTATTTGGCGTTTAAATTTTGATATTGCAAATAATCAATAATTAAATATTAATCCTTATTACCAGTAGAGAAGGTATCAGTGGATTGTTTGTTTTTCAAGTGTTTTAAGGAGAAGTATTTGATATTATTGCTACTATTCCAAATTATAATTTTGGAAATATATCGCTAATTCACAATTCTATATATTCAAATGGTTTTCTGCTTCAACAGTTTTAATTAGGATATAATTATACTATAGGAGTTTATTAAATCGGTAAATTCTTTGATAACACCAGAGAAGATCCTATCTTGATGATAGGATCATAAAACTCTACATCGCTTGAATATGCTTTTATTGGTAATACGGAACATCAAAATGGTACATGCCTTGCACTCCATAATGATGGGTCAATTTTAAATTATTCTATATCTACTAGATTATTATAATGCCATTATAGGTAACGCAAAACAACAGTTCAAGTGAATATCTTATGCGAAAATGAATTTTCATCTGGATCTTATGAAATAACATTTGTTCTTCCTCCATTAGAGATTAATAGTAGAGGATGGATTTATTCATTAATTATATTAATTACACTTCAACTAATAGGATTCTATTTTTTAGTTAAATATAGAATGAGAAATTTTGGTTATATAAATCCAGAAATAGAGATTTGAAATTATAATTTAATATTTCATTCAAAAATCAAAATAATTATATTATCAAATTTATAATGTTCTTATTGTTAACTATTATATTATTATATGTGTTTCTTGGATAATTCTTGAAAAATTCTTGTTCTTTAATACGAACAAATAATTCCTAATCTTAAGTTTTCTTTTGTTATAATAAGTTTAAATTCTCTTTCTTATAATATTATTTCATTGTATTCAGAAACAGAATTGTGTTTATGTAGAACCTATTAATGTATCAGTATGACTCCTTAAAATAATTTCCCATGATTCAGGTGAATAAATTATTTTATTATGTACTTATAATAAATTTAAAGATGGATGTTCAGATTTATTCAAATATTCTTAAGAGAAAATCAATTTAACTTGTCTAAAGATTCTAATAATTGTATTTTGTTAAATTACAAATTTAGAGGTATACCATTTGATTAAGATTATTAATCTTAGGATCTTAATTAATCCTAAAGGATTTCGACTAATTAAGTTTGAACACCTGAAAAACTATAATTTTATAAAAATGTAAAGACTCTAAATAGAAGAGTTTATGCAAATAATCCACAAGTGATTGGTAAAGTTTTGCAGATTGAATGATTAAACTAGTTTAGGATTGGATAATTATGAAATATCTTAATCTTTACTCTGATTAAATTAAGGTGACAGATTAATTTAAAGATATAGCTGATATTAAAATTTTTCAACCATTATAAAAGGCTCTTTAAGCAATAAGATAAATGTTTAGAAGTATGAAATTGGATTAATAATTCCTAATTTGCAATTAATACTTCTGGAATAACTTTTATAAAATAAGATAATTATTGCTAGGACAATAGCAAAGACAGTGTCTATTAATTATATCGATTTTTTTAGAGATAAAATTGGGTCATTTATGCAAAGAGATGAATTTCTATATGCTTTGAAATATTTCAATATATAATGGTAAGAATCTTTTTCTACTTAAAACTTTAAAGGATTCGGATGCTATTCTATTCTATGAGAATTTAAAAAGGTAATATATGACCATTTAGATAATAAATGATTAAATATATTTTGATAATTTAATATGAATGGAAATCAATTATTGTGTGAGTAGATTTCTCACTATCCATCATTTTGGGATTAAAGATATTTTACATAAACTAACTGTTCAGAATCTTAAGCAAAATTTCCTGTCAATTCATGATTAGAGAAAATTTTGCCACTTTTAGCCAAATAAATAAACTAAGACAAACCTATATGATTTTCCATTCTTTCTAAAACACCAGTTCAACTAGTTGCTTTTTCTTATCCTAAGGTACTTTATTGTAGGCACATAACTTGAGAAGAGATTAATCACTTTATTTCATTAAAGATTTCCTTATTCAATTAATTAAATTATTAAGTAATTTACAGCTGACTTTAATTTATAAATAATATGTATCCTCAAAATTTTCATATTTAATATAATATTTTTACATAAATAGTAAGGTCTCAACAAAATATCTTTCTTTATTAAAGAATTTATAAATAGTGTTGACTTGGATTAAGGTTATTTTAACCAAATCTAAGCATTCTAATACAAAATTATAATAATCAAGCTTTTATTCTTAAAATTTAGATATTTTTGTTAATTCCTACATTTTTTACAAAATTCAATCATTTCATTACTAATTTGTTTAAATACTGATTTTTTTATAGCCTCAACTTTTTTATTTTTAAGGAAAGAAGTCCGAGTCTTTTTTATTAAATTTTTCTTTATTAATATATATTTTTATAATATAAAAAACAACTTTTCCAATTTTTTGTGGCTTACTTTGGAATTTTTCAGAGAATTAGTCAATAAAATAAAAATTTACAGTGTCTATTGTTCCAACATCAAATTCTAAACCTTATCAACCAAATTAAATAAGTATTTATAATTATGTAATGTTTTAATTTTGAAATCTTTAATTGCAGTGATAGTATTCTCAATTCTTGAAACATTCTAAATTTGGCAGATTATAAAATTTATTAGTCAAAATGTATGATTAATTTATCAATTTAACAAGAACAAATTTTGGATAGAAGATTAAATTACAGATTATTTTTACCATTACTGTATTAAAAGATTTCAATTTCATGAGTAATTTCTTACTTTCTCAGTTTTTTTTATAAGGATTGAGACATATCTATATTTACTATACTATTAATTATCTATTTATACCGTTTTACTTCACTTTTCTTTGTGTTATTTTTAAAATTTATTTAAGCTTCATTAATAAAAAATTATATATATATATTTAAATTTTGTTAAAAAAATTTTAAAACTTAGGTTTTAATATTCATTATTTTTTGATTATTTTTTATCAAGAGTTCAATCTCTAAATTCTAAATTATCAATTTTTGATAAGTTTCACGTTTGTATTACATTTTTCAATGATTTAAAGTACATAATCAAATTAAATATTAAAAAAAATTTACATTGTATGTTATTTCTTAAGGGAATAACTAACTTTATAGATGTTCTACTTTTTGAAAACTTTCTTTATGGATCAAAAAAAAAGTAAATTATATTTAATGAGAAAAGATTTATAATATAATTTTGAAGCTTTTATTCTTATATTATCAAACAAAGATGATGGAAAGCAGATTTTTAGAAAAAAGACTTCCAATTAACAGTTAAAAACTATATAATTTAAAAGTCTTATACGACAAGATGATTTTTTGAATAATAAAATTTTGGGTTTTGAAATTATTTGTCAAAACCAGAGTAAAAATAATAATAATTTAAAGAGAAATTTATTAATATCATAAATATCACTAGAACAGATGCATATGAATATGAGACTGATTATAACTGGATTTAATTTATAATGATCAATGCTTGGAGGAGGAAAGGATAAAATAAAATCAAAAATAATCACATTATCTATGCATAAAATTAAATCTAAGAAAATTTGTTTAAGAATTTTAATATAAAAAGATACAAATCAAAGGAAACGAGTAAAAGATAAGAAATATTTAATTTATATAGCCTAATTAATAGAATTAGAAATTTTATACAGAGTACAAATACAATAATATAGCCACACTTCTAACATGAAAACTTATATTTAGATTGAGAACGAGTTAGAATTTTCTTGAAACTCTCTCAAGAATCTATATATTTACTTAAAGCATTTTTTTTATTTTATATGGATAATAATTAACTATCTAATGATTTTGAAATGATTATATTTTCTATTTTAAAGTGTAAAGAGAAGATACTATACAAATATCATTGCTTTGAAGTTTTTAATATTAATATATAAATTTTTATATTATGAAATATATATAAAAATAGATTAATTCGTAACGCCACAGATGCCGAAAGTAGTGAAGGTTTCTTTCAAAAAATTGAATTTGTGTATAAATAACATAATTCTTTCTTATTATTATTGTTTATTATTACTTCTTTAAGTTTATGAAGTTTTATAGTAATAGCTTCCTTTAAGAGTTAGACAAATTTTAACTTTAACGTCAATTGAATTAATAATTTTAGAAGTACTATTCGAATCAATTGCAATTTACAGGCAAACATGGATTTTGATTATTCTATGATGACATTATTCAAAATGAAAATTTTTCTATTTTTATATTTTGTCTGAATTTTCAAGAAATGATTACCTATTGAAAATGTAATAAAGACGAATTAAACGAATAGATTAAGATTGACTATTTTATAATAGCGGTTATGAATGAAACTAATTGTTAATATTAAAGATCAAAATTGATTGAAAGATGAGGTAAATAATGAAAGAATTTAAAGCAAATTACAAGAGAGTATGGTGGAAACAATAATTTAAATGGTATAATGTAGTATTTGATAAATTTGAATTGAAATTAAGGAACCATTTAGAAATCAAAATTTATATAAATAATAATTATTTTGAGATTATATTAATTCAAATTAAAATCTTTCTTTAGTGTTAAATAAAAAAATAGGGGTATAAAGTTGCATGTTGATTGATATAGATTTTATCTATATTAAGAGGTATGTAATTAAAAATAAAAAGATTCAAAAAATAATAATTAATCATTTTGTAATATTAAATGTGATTTTGAGTGTTGATTTAATGTAATATTTTTAAAAAAAAGAAATGATTACCTCTGAGATTAGTGCTGCATCCAACTAATTAAAAAGTAGAGTTGAATAAGAAAGTATTTATGAGGTTTGTTCTAATTTATAAATAAAAAAGTGTAAATATGTTTGGACTGCTGAAGATGTTGAGAAACTAAACGAACAATACGATTGTTAATAGGGAAACTGGAAGTCGATAAGTACTTATTTAAATGGGCCAAGTCCATTAGAATGTATGATGAAATGGTAATAATTGCATCCAGAAAATGTAATAATATTTTATTGATTTTAAGACACTTTCAAGATAATTGTGGTCTCAATAGGAGGATGAATAATTAAAGGAATTAGTATAAAAGTATGGAAAAAAATGGAGTAAGATATGCACAGTTATGAACTGGAGAACTGGAAAACAAGTTCGAGAACGTTATTTAAATCAACTATAGGGACATATTAATAATGAGAAATGGACTGAAGAGGAAGATAAAATTATATTAAGACTTTATAAAAAGTTTGGAACTAAGTGGAGTTATATATCAACTTTCTTAAAAGGTCGACCTGTAATATCCTTTTACTTATTATATAGGAAAATATGGTAAAGAATAGATTTTATGCCAATTTAAAAAGAAGATATTAATCAGATCTTGAAGAATCAGATGAAGATGATCATTAAGAAGATTCTTAAGATTCATTAAATATTACTAAATATAAAAGGAAAAAGAAAAACAAATAATATAAATATATAAATAGCTCTATTAAAATAAAGAAATCGCAACTTAGGACTTTGAAAACTGATGTTTATGAAAGGGTGACTCGATCAAAAGAGAAGACTGAATCTCTAATTAATGTAAAATAAGAAAATTAGGATATAGATGAAGAAAAAAATAAAGTTATTAAAGAGGAATAGATTGGACTTGATATATAATAGAATCCATAAGAATTAATTAATCAATAATTTGATTATTAATAATAATCTTTCTAAAAGTTTCTGATGGAATATGAATAACTTGGACCTAATTAACAATAATTATTATTAGGAACTTATTAATAATAACAATTATTAGGAATAGATAAATAATAATAACAATAATATTAACAATAATAATAACAATAATAATAACAATAATAATAACAATAATGTTAATAATATGGTATTCAAGTTAATTAACAATTATGTTCAAGATGCTTGGGATGTTCAAACTCAATGGGACGATTGTATTCATTAACAGATATTAGTCATTTATTCAAAATGTTTTAATATCACATGTTTATTCAATGTTAACCAAAACTAGAATTCACTAGTTAGCTTAACATTATGTAAAATAATCAAAGTTAATCAAATAAGCAATATAATAATACAAATTTTATATTGCAGTGACATTTCATCTTTGGAACTCATAAGGCCAATGAAAATGTTAAACATAATATATTAAACAAATAAATAGTTGAAACATAAAACAAATATCATTATTCCTGTTTGCCTTCTTTCATATCATAAGTTTACATTAGTTTAATTTGTGGAACTGGAAATTATGTAAGCTTTGCTGCTTTTTCTTCATCTGTCATTCCCTATATTGATGCTTAAACAGAAGCTATATTTTATTATCTCCATTTAGTATATTGTTTCTACATTTCATTATATTCACTTAAAGCAGCAGATAAATATCTTATATGATTTTCATTTAAAATTATTGTTTTTTTTTTATTTGGATTTCTAAATTCTATTTTTCTTTCATAAATTATTTTTTTATCTATGTCCATATTTGATGTTTTAACTTATTCTTCACAAATAGCTAAATCTTTTATTGAACCTTCTTATTTTAGTTTTTATTCTAATTTCATTTTCATCCTTTAAATCAACGGTAATTCTTTTATAGAATATTTACTTATAAATTTAGCTTTAGCTGATTCAATATTCATCATAAATCGTGAATATTTCAAATAAATATAATCACTCTAACTAAAAATAATAAATGAGTTACCATCAATTAAGTTTCCTCTTTTCTATTTTCATAATAACTTTACAATCTCTTTGGTTTTGTTATTTAGAAATATTATTTATCAAATTAATTTTCATCAGTAATTTAAATTTTATTATTTCGATGTAAATGATAAATTCGATAAATTAGTAAACTAATATAAACACTTCTAACAGTCTTAGACCAATGTAAAAATAATTCATAACATTAAGCTTCAAATAAAAAGTCAACAATAGCTTTTTTAAATTCTAATGGAAATACTAAATAATTATTGTAAATTAAATGTAGACTCTTTGCAATAACAAATGCATTCTAACATTAAGTTACTGCAATTCTCAATCCATTTAAAAAGAAAGAGTAATCAAAATTTGTTGGAATTGTTTGACATTATTAAATACATTAGCTAATTAAATCCATCACTTAAACAACTCTATCACTTGAATAAATGCTTTAAATAAATAAAAATACATAAATTACTTAGTTTTATTATACAAAATCATAATTATGACATTTAAAGGTCCTCCATTAGTAACAACTTATGTGATTGCATTAATCATTGCATCAGGATATGATTCTCTTATTTTTAATTCACATAAAAGACCTTTCAAAATTTTTCTATATCCAGGAATATCTTTCCAAGGAATTATATCTTTTTAAATTTTTTATTGTATATGTAAACATAAAGCTTAAACAAAGAAAAAAAATGTTGTGTTTCTTTTAGAAATAATTCTACGCCATTCTTCATCTGATGTTAATGTAACTGCATTAATATTTAAATTTGAAGGTAAATAATTATAAAAGTAACTTTACCAATCAAATAATACAGTAATTTATTCAGTTCTAAAATTCTCTGGTTCATCTAATTAATAATCAGTTCCACGCCATTCTGATAATTCAGGATCATTCGAATTTTGTAAAGCATTTACAAATGCCTCTCTAAATTCTGGAACTTTAAAAAAAGAACTAGCCAGGAATTTCTCTACAAATGCTTTCTCTTTTGGAGACATTGCTTTTAAACATATCTTTTATAAGGTAATATTTAAAGTGTTATAGAGAAACTATTAAAAATGGCAACATATTTAACTCTTAAATTTCAATTACTTTTTATTTAATTATTTGCAATCATCAAAATATCCCATTGAGCCTAAACTTAATTCACCTCGGATACAAACAATCAATAATATTTCATAATATATCTCTCTTATGTTACCCTCTATTTTATCAACAAAATTCAAGAGATTCTCTGCAATTTTTATAAATATTTCTTATCCCTTCATCAAATCATCATAACTCTTATAATAGAATTGTCTTAATTAAGAATCTTTATCACTCTTACTCACAGTTATAAGTAATTGCTAAGCTGTATTCAGCAACTCAGCCATTAATTATTACTTTTAAGAAGTTTAATTGTTAGATAATTTAAACATAATCTAACTCAACTTCTCAAATTAACTTACTACTTCATTGATTTCCTTTATGCTTTAATTAGCTAATATACCTGTTCCAATAGTGCATCCCTTTTCTGTTCTTAATCCAATCATTTATTATTTCATATGGGTAGGAATCTTAATAGAAAAGTCTGACTGCATTTATCCAATCTTATTTCCTCTTAACCATAATCCTTTTGTTATATTACATCTATGAATACTATGATCAGTCATCTATTCCTCCTGATTTTAAAGTAAATAATTTAACGCTATATTTGATTCAGCGAATAAGACTTGATCAATAGCTTCTACATGATAATTGAGAGACTTTACAGATTTCCTAGTAGGTGAATGATCTTCATTTGATTTATTTATACTCCAAATACATACTTATAATGAAGAATTTGAAATCTCATTAATTGGCAGTTCTACAATCAAATGTGGCATTTCTGTGTTCAACCATTGTATTCTAAATAATTCATCTTGTATATAATTATAGGATGCACTTCTCCCTTTTATATAAGCAGGATTATTAAATTTATCTGAATTTTCTGAGAGAAATTGCATCTTACGTGTCACTAATCTAAGATTGAATAAATATTGTTTTTCTTGAATACATGTGTTCATTGTACATATTAAATCTTATGGATTTATTTCTAGTTAAAGAATTTATGCCATAATCATATTAAATGAAATTCTACCTTTTCCTAATTGATAATCAAAAAATTGAGGTCCTGAGATTATTTCATACAAAGATATACGCAATTAAGAGAGTTCTTTATCATCTTCATAGAGTATGAAAAGCAAATACTTTTCTCTCAATTAAATTTCAGTTACTTCTAATTACAATGTTATTTATCTCTTCCACTATTATTATAACTTAGCAATCTTACACCATGCTTTCCTTCTAAATCAAAGTGCTTTGGAGTATCGAATTTATAATATCCACCAATATCAATTTTAAGATAGCATGATTTTGATGGATGATTCAATCTAATATTAGATAATTCACTATTGAACTTCATTGTTCCTATTGAAGAAGTTTTTCCATTTTATTTTTGAGGAGATTTATTATGTTAAATTTAACTTGTACAATGACCCATTAAAGTTTATTATGTAATTTAATAATGCTCTTATAATATGAGAATTGAAAGTCAGATTATATGTATTAACACAACTCAACTAATAAATCTAATTTACACATATTGGGATAAGTTTTTAATTACAATAAATTTTTGATTTATACAATTTATTACATTGAATTCAGTTAATAAGTAATTGATCATGTTCAAAAATATGAATCATCTCCTAATTCTAGATCCTTATTTATGGGAATTCTACATAAAATTAAGTAACAAATGTAATTTTCGAATAGTTATATATATATTTTAGAATTAAAATTTCTGTCCAATAACACTGTAAAATAATTTACAATACTAATTTATTAATCCTATCGACTTATCTTCCATCCCATAGAAAATTACCTCAATTGTGATTGATTTATAATATAATATAATCATTGCTTAGTGACGTCCATTTTTAGGAAGTGAATACTTCTACAATTTACTTCCAACCCGGCTAATTTTGATACAATCGTGTAAGAAATAGCATTTTTTGCAGAAGCATAAGAACATCTTTTCGTCTAATTAGACTTCTATTATTGCTTGATAACATTCTATTTGTAATAGATGATGATTGATTTTGCAGTCGCATACTTAATTTGTAATTTCTGAGCTGCCTAAATTAAAATAAAGTAATTCTTACATTTTTAATGTTAAACCCCTAAATTAAGACTAATTCGGCTAACATTTTTCTGGTTTAAGAAGAACTTTTGATGTATGATCTTTTACTCCTTTTGTAAGCATAATTCATTTGATAAATGAAAATAATCTTGAAAAAATTAAATACAGAATGATTTGAGAATAGTTTTATAGATTAGAATAAAAATTGTGATATCTGAATTTTAGAAATCTTAATAAATCCTAATTAAAAAGTAAAATGTATTTCAACATCAAATTTAGACTAAATGTAATGAGTACTTTGAAGATGAAAATTCAATAAGTTTTTAAATAAATTTCTAAAAATATATATATATATATATAATTTTGGAATAATAAGAAAGATGAATTATTTAACTCCAAAATAATAAAAATGGAGATAAATAGGTCCTTGTATAACTGATTTCACATATGAAAACAATATAGATTGGCCTGTAACATCATGTAAATGGGGACCGATTGTATAAGAAACAAAAGAATATATTAGACAAAAAGTATATTTTGCAATCAAAACAGATGGAATATATGATGAAGTGACAAACATTTGGAAATAGACTCCATGTCAATTAATAGTAGCTACTGTAGGTAATAAAGAAATAATAATTTAGATATTCCTTAAGTGAAATATTAGATTAATCATTAAGTCACTTTCGTATATTAGTAATTACAATTTTATAAGAATCCACATTTAAAGATACGATAAATGATTGTACATCCTGGAGATGTTAATATTATAAAATGTAATACTACTTAGAAATTGATTGCTACTAAAAGTGATAATAGTAATGTATTGGTATGGGATGTTACAAAACATAAGACTTAATAGAATCCGAAAGATCCACATGCAGGTATTCCTGAAATATATTTAATGGGACATTCTTAATAAGGTCATTCAACAGCTTTAGATTGGTCATAAGAATATAAATTAGGTAGTGGTGGGAAAGATTGTAAAATATTATTATGGGATATAAATGATTATTAAACTAGATTATCAACTAGTTCTATTTTTACTAGTAAAAGAGAACTAAGTAATATATGTGGCAATGATTCAATCAAATTAGATAAAAGAACTGTATTGACTGGACATCAAGCTGAAGTTGTAGACATGTCATTTAATAAATTTTAAACAGATCAATTGATATCATGTTGTTAAAATAGATAAATTATTTGTTGGGATTAAAGAATTGATGGAGGAAAATGTTGGAATCTAAATGATGTACATAAAAAAGATATTCATTGTGTAAGTTGGAGTTAACATGATGAAAATTATATTGCAAGTGGTTCATTAGATGGAAGTGTACATATTATTGATATACGAAAACCTATTGGAATTTAAGATTACGTTAAAGAAGTGGATAATCTTTCATAAGTTTATTCACTGTAATTTGGACCTGATAGAAATCATTTGACTATTGGAAGTGAAGAATTGTATTCTGTTAACTTTTAAACCAAAGAAACTACCTTCTGTTATTTTGGTCATAAGTATTTTTCATATTTTTATCATTATCAAGAGGTAGTATCAATGATTTTGATATTAATGATAAAAGTCCATGGACTTATGTAAGCACATGCCAAGAACATGAATATTTTGGAGGAGGATGTTTACATATCTATCGCCTATTAGATTTAGTATATTTAAATGAAGAAGAAGCATTCTAATAATTAAATAATTGATATCCATTTGATAAATCTATCATTTTTTATCAAATTTAATATATCTTATCATCTAATATATAAATTTATTTCTTTCTTTTTTTACAATCATTAATTTTAGTCAGAATAAATTATAAATCCAAACTTTTCTCATTAAATTAAATGCTTTATAAGAAAAATATTATAGAAATACTTAAATATGAGAATTATTTATAAATAATACAAATTCATAAATTAAAACTTAATTCAATATAATTTTTTAATTATTTTTCTATAATGCTTTTGAATTCTATAATCATCTCAAAAAATAAATAACAATTGATAGAATTTAAATAAAATCTTAAACAATCTTACTAGGATACTTAATTCTAATTGGACTTAATTTATTCTTAATTAAAATATTATTTTATTTAATATTACTTGTTCAATATTATTTAATATCTTGAATAATATGCATAGAAATAAAAACTTCATATAATTCTTTAGAAATTGATGGAATAACCAAATAACAATGATAAATAATTAGATTGTTATTATAAAATATTATTATTTAGAAAATTAGTTTTAAAAATATAATAATAAACTTGTTTGTTATTTCTTAATTATTTAATGGTAAAGATATATGAACAAGAATGATAAAAAAGGAAAATTGTTGTTAAAAATATATGTATAAAAATGTTTCTATTAGTTTATTAATAAAATTAGTATTTAATATATTAAATCATAATGTCGAATAAAACTGTTTATCCTTGGTAAAAATATTCAGCAAATCCTCTAATTGTAAAGGATGATGTTGGAAAAGCTAAACCAAATACATATCCAATTCCGAATTGTGCATTTGGTGTTAGAACAGTCCCTGGAAAAGAAGAGTCATTAGGAGAAGTATTATGTCATATGGAGCATTTTGCATCAATGGATATTAGACCAGAGAAGGACTTTAAAAAAACAAATATAATGAGCATTAAACGTAATTTATGTACGGCCAAAGAATTCTAAGAATTCAGATAGTCACATGATATTAGATAAAAGGTTGTATAAGGTAAACCAAGAATCACTGAGACTCCTAAATAGCAAGTATTCGGTAGAAAAAATAGGTATAAAGTTAATTCAAATACAAAGAACTCCATCCCCAATTAAAAATGTTTTAGCTTATGATTATGGTGCAGTAGCTGCTAAAAAACAAGCTGAAGCTTATACATCTAGACCATCAACAGCAAAGAGTAGAATTTCAGTAGAAACTAAATCTAGCAAATTACTCAAAGAAACAATTAAGAAAAATCACTTGATGCAATCCTAACCAGAACAATTAAAAAAACTATCATAATTCGCTAATGTTTAAGCTAAAACTAAAACTAGATATTGAATTATATTTTTTTATTACAATCTTCGAATAAATAATTAATTATTTCAATATATAATTATTTTATTTATCAAATATATTCAAAAAGACATTTTATATCATATCTGATTAACTTAATCTAGTAAAATATTTAATATTTTATTAATATTGGCTTTTTCAATTAAAGAAATAATCTATTTCTATGGAAATTATTCTGTATTGTGTGTGTTTAAGAATGATAAAAATTTTAGAAATATTCTTATTTAAATAATTTTATGTAATAAGCAAAATATCCAAATTTAGATAATGTCTAAGAATAACAATAATCAAATTAACATTAAGAATTATCTTATTAACTTAGCGAATTTTAAGATTAAATTACTCCTAATATTAATGCTTAATCAATTAATAATTAATAGTGGCAATAATATTAACAATACTCATAATATTAAACTAATTAAGTAATACCTTAAATTGATTAACATTAAGTTCAATTATTAATTCCTCAAAAATCAAATCTAATAAAAGATTTAGAATTTTCAAAGTAAAAATACTTTATTAGTGGAATCTTGGGATTATTTATTTTTTGGACGTTTATTTTTTATTTGATTATGTACCTCTTAATATAGTATTTAAAATCCAGAATTGGTTTTCAATTTAACTTTCTATATCCCATTCTCCTTATAATTTCAGCAGCATCAATGATTTTATTAAGTAGATTTGTTATAAAGAGGCAAATTTAGAGTGTATATATAAAGTTTTCTTATTATAGAACTTTAAATGCTTATTAATTTACTTTGGTCTTATATTTAGCTATTTAATGTTTTACCTATTCCTCTTTTGTAGTTTAATGTGGAATGGATTCAATAAAATTGAAAGTAATTTAATAGTAATATTTAAAGTAATGATTCCAATAGCAGTGTGTTCAATCATTGCTTTTTTCGCAAATATTGCATTTAATTTTATAGCCTTAATTTATGTTTTGATAGAATAAACCAAATTAAGAATATATTGTAAACTTAAAAATTATTTTTATAGTCCCTATCATAATAGAAATAATTGTTATTATCTATTTTTCTTTCTATTTAAAAGAAATAATTCTTCTTATCAGTCTTCCATTTTGCTTAATTTATCCAATTTGTTTAATGATTGCATTGAAATAAATACTTTAAGGACGAGTAGAATTATTTTTATTTTTTTAGTTTAATTTAGAGAACAATTAAGTAATTAAGGGAACTATTATCACATTTTATTGTTTATTTGTTTGCTGCAAAAATCAGGAATGAAACTCTAATTCTATTTTACTTATCAAAATTATATATTAACAATAACATATTTTTTCATCTAATTTATAAATAAATCAGAATCCACCTAGTCTCTAAATTAACATTTCAATTTAGGCTCCTTTTTTAATATTTTTTTATTCTAATGTTTCTTTAGGTTGAAGAATTTCTCCTGCATAATTTAGAGTAATTTGTTCTGGGATTATATTTTCAAACATTTCAGCCAATTCTTTTTATAAATCCGAAACCATTGTTTTAGGATCTATTTCGATATTATAAATTTTGTTTTTTTGGGACCAAGTAATGATCACTACAATTAATTAGTTCATTTTCTTTATTCAAAATCTAATATAGATTAAAAAGTACATTTTAAAATAAAATAAATATATTATAATTATTATAAACTAATAAAATAAAAAATACCAATAAATAGAAAAAATCTTTTATTAATAAGAATATACACAAACACATAATAATAAATTTATTGAATATATTTATATGCTGATTTTGTTACCTTCTTTGCTTTAAAGTAGTTTCATTTTAATTTTTTGATTTATTTTACTCTTTTAATTTATTTATCTGATGAAAGGCATCACATCCGTCCTTTTAGTAAATAATTTGTTAATGCTATAGGTGCATGTTGTATTTCCATTGATTATTGATTATTTGTAAATTCCACATCAGCTATTAGCTCAACCCTAACATAACAGTGGTAATAATTGAATCTTAAAAGAAAGAGTAAAAAATTTATTGATTATTTAGTTTTAAACTAAAATAACAAATTCATAGAAATTATATAATTTAATTTGATTATAATAACAACTAGCAATTTTAATTTAATTTTTTTTGTATTTATTCTTCCAATAGATCTAAAATGATTTTCTTATAATTTATTCTCTAAAGTAGAGATCTTTTTTATTTAAATTTGAATAATTAATTAAATTAATCTGTAAAATGTATAAAGATAATAGTTAAAGAAATGTATAATTTTAATTTTCATTAATTTTATAATTTTATAATTTTAAAAATTAAATATAGATATTAATAATAAAATATTAAATAAATAAAAAAAGGGTTGTCAACACGAGGACTTCCCAAGCGGTCCCCCACCTTAGTACTAACCTCGCCTTAAGCCGCTTAACTTCGGAGTTCGAATGGGATCCGGTGCTTTAGGCTTAGTATGGCCGACAACGATATTTCTCAATGATTTAATTATTTATAGATGAAGGTTTAAATATAATTATATAATTTAAATTAATAAACATAATTATCGATATCTAAATCTTTATTTTATGGCAAAGTTTATCAAAGAAAAATAGATTTAAAATAATGATATCATACTCAAATATTGTATATATGAAATCATTATATCTCATATCAGGACTTTTTTTTTAATGATTTACTTAGCTTTATAAGAAAGTCTATAAAATAGAATTACAAATTAAACTAATAAAATAGATAACCCACATATGATTTATCAATAATATCAGCTTTAGCTTTGAACTCATAATAAATTATCAAATTTTGAAGAATTATTTGTAATCCAATTTATGGTTTTTTTTGTTTAGCAACATCTTTTATAGAAGTAAAAAGATTATATAGAATACCTTCTCTGAATCATCTTTAACTGTTTATATATAAAGTAAGGCCAGTTCTATTTGATTTGAGCTTAAATTTTGATTTACGGCCCGAAAACAATATATTAAATATTATTTTTAAGCTTTTATTTGTCTTAGATGTGATCAAATAATTAAATTATATGATATTCTGCAATAAGGTCTTATGCAATAATTGGGAAATGATTGTATTGAATTTAAAAGATAATTATATTTCATAGATAAATTTTTAACATATATGATTGAGAATAAATGGAAATTGATATTCTTTAAATAAATATGAGGTATATCTCTTATATGATATTCTCCATAGTTTATTTTAACAAAATCTATATAATTTAAGAATGCATTAGATTAGATGTTGAAAATATGACTTTTAATAACAAATTTGCATTATTATTATTTGATAATAATAAATGTAAATTTACAAAATCAATAAATTGTATATGATTTTCAAACATAATTGAAATTATAGAGGTTTCTATTGTTTTGATTAATTATTTATTGATATTAAATAAAATCATTATAATTTTTTTTAAAGATAGTAACACAATGACTTGATATCATATTTTTACAAATAATCACTGTTCACCCATCGATTTTTGGGAATAATACCTAATAAATTGAATATAAGTGTACCATTTGGTCTTTTTTGCCATAATAAATAATACATTTTAATGCCTGTTTATTTGATCTATGCAGCCTATCCTATTTTATCTAATTGATCACCATATTCGAATCCACCTTCATTTGGTTACTTGACCTCAGTATTCTTTTGAGATAATTCCGAAATAGAATCCTAAATATTCTCAGAATCCTGTTATTAATTTGGATGGTGGACTTTCTTCTCTTGTGGTATAGTTTATATCATCTATATTATGTCTTTCTACTGTTTTTGTACTTTTGTTAATTCTTGTTTTAACACACTAACTTAATCTGTAAGTTTCTTTATTTATTCTTATTATTATTGCAATACAGTTTATTTTTGTTAACTCGGTACTCCAATGAAATCTTCTAATTAAGGTGGTTCATCATTCTCAATTTGATAAAAATTGGATCCTAAATTTCTGATATTCTACTCGTATTCACTTAAATATTAAGTGATATTAGGAATCTTCTCAGGTTTTTCCCATGTACAATCTCTGATATTATATCCCTACCATTTAACAAGATAGTATTTTTATCCATTGTATTGTTTATAATCGAGAATCTATTCTATGAAATACAAGCCTTTCTTCTTTTTAGACATTTGTTCCCTTTTATTTTAATTAAATTATAATTCTAATTTATATATTTATTAAATTATACATGGCCATTTTATTGTAAGTCAATAATTTATTTAATTTATTTGACTGTCTCTCTTTAACCAAACTTTTAATATAATATATTTATTACAATAAATATTATTAAATCGCATCATAACGAGATTATAATCAAATAATCATTAATTTCTTGAGTATATATTAGGCAACTAAAAACTTTCCTTATCTCTCTTCATTTGCATATATTCATCAATCTCTAAAGTCATTTCTTCAGATTTCAATTTATATCCTTCAAAATCATCATCATTAAACACTAAACTTAAATGTGATTATTTTTAGATTTGAGGTAAAATAGTTTTTTCTCTAATTATATTATCCATATGATCAGATATTGACAATCCTCTTATTTCTTTAGGCTTACTTACCTTTTTAACATTCTTTGGACTAAAATAAAAAAATCATTTACTGACACATTTATGATAACATCTTGATTCTTTTTCTTTTAAGCTGCCATCACTCCAATAACTTTGCATTAATTATTTTATGGAGTTCCAGAATTTGGTGACTACTGTAAATAATTATTGTATATGTTCTTTGAAAATACAATCTTTTTTTTTACAGCCTTCAAAGGTAATGAATTAAAAGCATTTCTAAACAAATTATCTCTTTCTAAGTATTCATCATACATCAACTCTTAAACTATTTATTAGACAGACTTATTTGAAAACTTATGAAGCAATGAATATGACATTATTTTTATTATATTTTTATATACAAATCCTTAAAATTATAAAATTATCATGATTCCTCTTTATTTATTATCTTTAGTACATTATGTATATTGTAACTTACTTTATAATGTTCATATTCCTATAATTTATCAATATCAATAATCGAATCCAAATCCTAAAATCCAGCTTAGGTATTTCCATGATGTTTTATTACTGTTTCTGGTACTTACAAATGCTTAATCAAAGTACTACTTATTATAGGATCTGTTATTTTATCAGATATCATATCTATTTATAATATATCTTTATGAATTTAAATGATAGAACTCTATTTTCCTATTTAATCAAAATGATGTTGTTAATTTGATATACTTTATTTATCACTTGAATAATCAGAAAATGCTTCAAAACTATCTGAACTTATATCAAAAATCTAATTATTACTTGTTCCTTAATTAGTTATCTAAAATTTTAATTACTAACTACTTATTAATAGATGCCTGCTTTTACTTTTTTGCATTTTCTTCTTACAAATTTTGCACATCTCTCTTAATAACTCGTATCATATTTGAATCTTCTTTTAACATTTAGCCATCCACAATTAAATGTTGAATGATACAGATTACAAAAATAGCATTTAATATTCAATCCCTCAGTATTATTATTAAACATAATATCCTCTCTTAATATTTAAAATTTCTCCTAATTTTTATAACTTATCAATTACTTTCTCTATCTATTTTTTTAAACAATTATTAAATTCTTGGTAATTAATATAAAAGTACAAAATGTCATTTGTATCACCTTATTTTAATCTAATTTTCTCTTAAGACTCAGAATTCATCATTTCTATCAAACATTAATTGATGATCTTTCGATTATCAAAATTAAGATTGAATCCCATAAATTCTATATTTACTTTTCCAGCAATTATAATAAATAATCCATTTATCTCAGTTGAAAAGTACTTTACATAATTAATTTAATTACTTTTTATTTAGAATTTTAGCTCAATACTCCTTTTTAACTAATTTCGTTGATTGTAGTTTAAGATAGAAAATTAAAATGTTTCAGTTCCTATTTTATCAAATTCATTTTAATATACTCTAACAACTTCTTTTTCTTTGTATCATTATCTAAACTCAATTAATTTTCTACTGTTAAAAATAATAATGAATAATGATATAGAACAAGTTTAACTTTTAATCCTAACATGTTTGATTTCATGAATAACTTAAAATTATTAAAAGTAATTTCATGTTTGTAAATTTGTTATTGTGATTAAAAATAATTTGTAAATACAAATATAATTATGATTATGTTAGTAATTAAATGTGTTATTATTAATAATTGATTTTTATTGTCTAATTGATCAATTTCAAAAAAAAGCATTAAAAAAGATTTGTAGAAATTCTCTGAGTAATTAAAATCTTCTTAATTGATATTTTTTAATTCTAGTCCCCAGATGCAAGCAAAGTAATGTATCTAAAAAAATACAACAATAATAATTTTTATAATTTAAATTTACCTATTTTATAAAATAAATGTATTACTAATAATTAATAAATAGGATTAAACTTAGCATTTTTTAAATAATTTTAAAATTTCTTGAGAATAAAAGGAAGTTTAAAATAGTAAAGATAAAAATATCATTTATTTTGAGATTAAGTATGTAAATAATTAAGATTACAATATTGAGTAATTAAAAAGAGAATGGTTTCTCTTTTAGAAATTAAGTAAGTAGTTTAATGGATTGAATGAATAATTCTAAAATAAATAGAAATAGGAGAATTGGAAAATATTATGAATTTGATTCTCTAGAATTATAATTAACTAATTACATAGAGTTCTGAAAATGAAAGTAAGGTAAATAGAAATTAAAAATAAGGATTGAAAGGCTAATGATGTTGGATGAAATAATTTTGGAATACCAAAATTTTTCATAGTAAAGGAGAAAAGATTTTTGAGTATATTGTTTAATGTGATTGTGATAGGAACAAAGTTTTTCTAAATTTTTTGGAACATGAGTGTTCTCAGTTTCAAAATCACTAAATTTACTAAGCGATATATGATTATTGTTATCAGGATGAATGCAAATTGATAAAGAGCTGATATTGCATGATTAGAACGAGGGCCAACATACATCATTAGAAGGATATTTTAATGGTTTGTTCATCTCTAATTAAACACTATGTCGCATTTCTGAATTTTAGAAATTAATGAAATACTTTCTTAAGATCTTTCTTGCAAATTTCTAAAATAATAATAAATAATAATTCTGAATAGTTTTATTTCTTATTTAGATGATATATTTACAATGAGTTTATATCAGTTATTGATTCAATATTTTAATAAATAAAATAATAAAATGCTTGATGGCAGAGCAGCAACTACTGGTAATTTTAACAATAAAACAACATCTGTAATTCCATTATCTTAATTACGGAGAATGAAAAATAATAGTTGTGAAATCTTAGATAATCACACTATGATTGAGAAATAAGAATTGTAATATCAAAGATATTAATAGTAAGACATGCCAAATCATAAGAAAGAATCAAAAAGTGGCCTTGTGCTATGAATATTAGAAGAAGAAAAAATTAATCATAATTTGAGAGATTTGCATAAGATGAAGAAGAACGTAGAAGAATTGAAAAAGAAGAAGATGAATATTAATAGAAATAAAAACAAGATGTATTATTGAGAGCAAATAGATTAATTTATGATAATAATCCTGTTATTAGATAATTTTAATAGAAACTGTTATTTTCAGATGTTCTTTAAGAAAGAGATGCTTAATTGTAATTAAATGAATACAAAAAGACTATCAATAAGTAAGTTATTCATTTAATTACTTCAGTATTAAAGAAAAGATGTATTAAGAAGAATAAATAGATATTATGGCAAATTTTGATCATGCATAATAATTGAAAGAGGAATAAATAAAACGAAAAAAATAAGAATAAAAAATAATTCTTAAATAATAACATGATGAAATGATAAATAATCATATTAAATAAATTTAGAATGAGAAAATTGAAGGATAATTAAATAAAGCAAGAGCTTTAAAATTAATTTAAGAGGAAGAGGAAGCTGTAAAAGAAAGAAAACGAAAGAGATATGAAAATATGTTGGAAATTAAGAAAGGAAATGAAGAAATTAAAGAGTTTAAATTATAATAATTACAAAAAGAAAAAGAATAAGAAGAAGAAATTAAATTGCATGCAGAAAAAAAAGATAGGATTATATAAATGAAGAAATAAAGAGAAGAATTAAAATTTAGAGAAAAATAAGAATAAAGATAAAGGTTGATTGATACCTAAATTGCTATTCTAATAAAAAAAGAAGCTGAATAATAATCTTTGATTAATAAATAAATTTAGGATGCAGAATAGAAAGATGAGGAAGTAGAAAAATAGAAATTAATTAAATAAGAAGTTTAAAAAAAAAAGATTGAAGATAGCCGAAATATAATAAAAGAATTTCAACTTAAAGATAAAATAATTAAAGATTAAAATGATAAAGAATTTTAATAATATTGGAAATTAAGAGGTGAAGAATTGAAAAAGTTAGAATAAGAAGATATAAATAATTAGCGAAAAAGAAATTAATCTGTTAAAGATTATTAATTATAGTAAATAGAATAAAAATAAGTAATATCATTATGTTTATATATAGAAAATAAAAGAACAATAAATACTTTAGGATTTTTAAGATGATGAAGAGTTAAAAAGATAAAGAAATATAGAAAATAAAACATTTTTTACTTGGGCTGAGAAAGCAGTAAAAGAGTAGGCAGATTAAGGAAAAAATATTGGTCCATTAATGAAAGAATTGGCTCGAATAAAAGATATTTGAGAGTATTGATTTTTAGATTAGATTTACTAATATTATTTAAATAAATAATAATAAATCCTAAATTAAATTAAATTATATATTATTTGTGTAAAATGATATTAATAATAAAATATTAAATAAATAAAAAAAGGGTTGTCAACACGAGGACTTCCCAAGCGGTCCCCCACCTTAGTACTAACCTCGCCTTAAGCCGCTTAACTTCGGAGTTCGAATGGGATCCGGTGCTTTAGGCTTAGTATGGCCGACAACGATATTTACATATTTCTTAACATAATAAATACCTTATACTTAAACATATATAATTAAAATTAAATTTTTAATTACATCTAACAAATAATATTTCTTTAAAATTCTATTTCTTAAAAATAATTATTATTATCTTTGTAAAAATAGAAAATAAAAAACATATCTATAGATAAATTATTATCATTTTATTATTTTCTAAATAATAATAATAATAATAATTTAAACAAAATACTATTTATATTTATTAGATTAGCTATTTTATATATATAGAAAATGAATACATCATGTAAATATATAGATTAATTATAATCAAAGATATATAAATAGACTTATATCCGAAATAGATTTTTTTAGCTAGAAATTAAAAAAATAATATTTATAATAAATATGAATTTATTACAACCACCAAATTAAGACAATGAAGAAACACCTATAGTTGTCTAATATCAAGAGCTAAATAAAAATTATACTATAGGAATTCCTAAAAATATGCTTGTTGCAGATTTAGTATTAGAACTGGCAGAGGTTGTTGAGAGATAACCATTGTCTTTGATTTTATACAAAGATTAATAACTTTTGGATGTAAATAAACAACTATCAGCCTATGATATTTAAGATAAGGGATAAGTGCTTGAAAGTTGCAAAAATTGGTGGTTCTTGTAATTGAATGAATATTTTGAAAATTTTGTAAAAGATTATTGTTAAAGGAATTATAAGCTTTAAATGAGTGATTATAATATTTAATAAAATCAATTATTAAAAAGATGTGCTATTCTTATTTACACAAATTAAGTTTTCCATTTTAATTCCAATAAAATTTTTATATTTTTTAGAAGATTGGAGATTAGCAATAAATTAAAAGAGATTAATATTAATGAATGATTTAAATTAGTTAGAACAAGTTTGATAATGAAAATAGTAATATTATAAAAATTATATAAATTAAATATGATCGAATAACCAGATATATTTAATGATGATTAAGCATATAAAAAATATTTAGAAATAAAAGAATAGACAGAAAAAGAAAAGAAAGCAAGAGTAGATAAAATTTTGGATGATTATTGTTATCGCTAATTAAATTTGCCAGCTTCTGAATATAGAAGTTAATGGACTGATTTAATTTATAGGCCATAACATTATCCTGTAGAATTAGTTCATCCAGAAAGAGTTCATTATACATCTTAATTTGTTGGTTTTAATCAATAATCAAATTATTAATAAAAAAGATAAAAGGCTATGAGCAGAGTGCCTTAATAAGTTTAATATTATTATCCTCCTTCAAATCCATTTTTATAAAATGCTTAACAAAGTCTAAATTAATAATAGTTATTACCAAGTTTGAGTTTATAACAAGGAAATTTAGGTTATAATTAATAATTAATGACATAATCTACTCCTTAAATAGTTTATTAGAATGATGCAAAATCAGATTTTTTAAGAAAATGTGATAATTTATAGAATAGAATGGATTATAATATCAGAAATGTTGATAAATTTTACTAATATTATTGAAAAAAGTATTAATAATGTATTAATTCACACTGGTATAAAATATTTTAATATTGCATTAATAAACCTTTTTTTATAATCTCCAGGATTCACAATGGTAGGAACCTGTAAATATTATTTAAGATGAAAATAATACCATTCCCCCTTTTAATAGATATTTCAAATAATGTTCAGTTTCTTTATCCCAAGTATAGAATCTTAAATAGTCAATTATACCCATTCTAAGTTTTTTCTATTTTTAATCTATTATTAATAGCAAAGAATAATCAATAACATTTTGTTTGTTTAAGAATTTACAATCGATCTAAATATATATATAATTATGAAACTTAGAATGCTCTATCATTATATCTATAATTTTCTTTAAGAATAGGAATAGGTTCTGAATTTCTGTCAATTCTAAAATTGGTATCTAATAACACTCCTTTTTTTTTTTTTTCTAATCTATTAGTTTCACTTCCTTTAAGATCATAAACTAAAAGATTTGATGGATCACCCATTCCAAAATAGAGATTTTCCATAACTAAAAAATATTCAGTTTAACCTCTATCTCTGATTTCAAACATTCCAAAGATCTTACTTAATAAAGAAGGTTTAGATTCATAAAAATGTCTATACATATGTTTAAAATAATCTAAAGCAAATTATTTAAACATCATGAATTCTTTATCTTATTCTAACTTTTTAAATACAAATAATTCATCATTAGATTTATAAAACTTAGACTAAGATTTACCTCCAGAAGCACTCCAAATATTAGTAGAAGAGATAGATTTAATGAATTATGCAAGTGTTATACCAGCTAATTATCTTAATGCTTCAAATTATGTTGGAAAATAGATTAAAACTTCTATCCACTTATTCTTTCTAGCTTGAGTTGTTGGTACAAATTATTATTGATTAGTTAATGGTAATGATTTATCTAATTAAGCTTCATCAAATTAAGAGGATAAATTCATTTGGAATTATTAGAATTATTATTATTAAAATTATTATTGTTATTACAAAATTAAAGTATTAGATTTATCATTCTTTTTTTCAACATCATAATTTATTTTCAAAATAAATATATCCTTATTATCTTATTTTTAATATATTTATTAATTGATATTATTATTACCTAAATCAACACTCATGTATCTAACATTTTCTACTTCTTATTTCTATTCTTTTGGTGATAGTAATTATTAGAAAAACATTTTAGCTTGCTCAGATGATTTTTATGTTGTCTCAATCATTCCAAAATCTTAAGTTTATAATGAAAGCAATTACTTTCTTTTTAATAAATTTCATTCATATATTTCGGATGATTGAGTGTAAATGATAAATACGATAATGGTTGATTTTCATATATTGGAACAAATTCCTATATAAATTTATTAATAGAATAATTACATAAATCATTTAACTTTTAACTAATTTCTATTATTCTGCAAGAAATGAACTAATGTTCCATTCTTTTTAAAAATTAATGTTTTAATTGATTTCAAAAGTGGGAATAAAATTATTAGCTTATACAACATTTATATTATCTAAATCTTTATTCGAATCATGATGAGTCTTATGAATAGATTAATTTAATGATTGATTAGCATCTACTAAATTAATTACATTATTATTATTATTATTATGAATTTCAGATCCATTTCTTCTATGATTTCTAATAAATAATGGAGATTATTATGTATCTAATTCAGGAGAATAAAGAGTTGGTATAATCAAATCTGTTAAATCAGCTTTTACTGAATTATGTCTGTGATTGATTTCATCAATTTCTTAAAAGGAATGTTTTTATCCAGAAATTAGATTATGTTCTTCTAATTCTTAATTTGAATGATATTGTTTAGCATCACTTAAATTATTACCAGAATCCACTTTTTCTAATTCATATGTAGTTTTAATGGTAATTGTATTATTATTTAATATTGAATCTTGATTCTTTAAATTAACAGCAGCATTTTGAATAATATTTTTGAAATCTGGATTTAACTCTTTTTTTTTCTTATGTTCTGAAATACTTTACATTATATTTTTATATTAAAGTCCAAAATCTTAAGATTGTTTGAGTACTTAAAATATTGAACTATATTAAGTCTCAGACAAAATCTTTTCACATTCTTCCTTTAATTATTTAATTGATTTTATTAATAAATCGATCTCTCCCTTAGCTAAAGATTTAGGTATTAAATTAATAAGTGTAATTCCAAATGTATTTAATTTATTCATTAATTCATCTCTAAGCTATCTAATATAATTCTATTCCCATATCTTCAAATAATCACCTAATGAATTATCTGAAAAATTCAACAATGTTGTTTAATATACATCAAACTCTCCAACCATTACTTTCATTTGATATCCATAATATGAATACACTCTTTATACTTAAGTGTGATTACATGAACTTGAATTCTAATAATGATTTTGCATTATATTATGTGTTAAGAATAATTATTATAAGAATCTTAAAAATGAATACTCTAAATATTTTTAGCTTAAAATTACTCTATCTGTTAATTGTTACATACACAAATTACATTCGAAATAGGTTTCAATCTATATTTTTTCATTTGAATGATTCTACTTTATAATACTTGGCAAATCTTTTAATAAAAATGTCCTATTCTCATCATTCTATTGAATTTATGATTCTTCCTTTTATAATACTATTTATTTTATCTAATTCATTTAACCATCCACACTAAATTTTACATATCTGCCTGCATTATAATATATAGAAACATGACTATTTCTTGGTAATTTACAATATTCACATCTGAATTACAAATTCGCTACTTTCAAAATAATAAAAGCACCTATAGACATATCATCATTTGAATGATAATATGCTTTTGGTTTCTCTGTAGGCATATTACACATATCAGCAAAAAAATCAACTACCTTATCTTTTTAAGGTGGAAACTCTTTTTAATAAGCCAATAATGCATTCATATCTTTTATATCATTAAAATTATGAATATCTGCTCTTGCATAATTTATTTTCACATATGCTAAATCTGGTTTTATTACTTCTTTAAGATTCACCTTTTCAAATAAAAATTTTGTAAAATCACCAACGCACAAATTAAATTACTTATTTTATCTTAATTTCTATTCACAAAGTATAATATGTCTTTCTACATCAAAATGCTTTCCTAATCTCATACAACCTACTATACACTATTTCAATTTCTATAATAAATCTTCTTAAGGACCTGATAGCATTATTGTTACACCATTTTTACCATCCTTTGTTTCTATAAACATTAATGTATTATCTTTTCCAAGTTAATCTTATTTATCAAGATTTGGCCTTGGAAAATTGCGAAAAAATATTTTCTCACAATTTCCAGTCACCTATGTCTCTTTTTGAATATAACCATCTAATTTATCAAGACGTACAAATTTAGATCCTGTACATTTAGCTATTTTTCTTAATTGATGTATTTTCACATTTTAAACAACTGTTATATTAAATTTACAACAAATATCTAAAGCAACTTTACTGACTGATTTTTCAACTATTATTATTGTAGGTTTAAAATGCTCTTTTATTTTCTCAATATAATCTTAAAGTACTCTCTTTTCTTTCATAATGAAATCATCAAATTATTGAGTTTCTTCAATGAAATCTAAATTCCCATGAATAATTAAAAGACGAGGTTTTATTAACTCTGTTTGCATTCTTTTCAATGCTATGTTTTTTCTTATAACAATTCCTGGAAAATAGCAAGTTAGAGAATAATCTTTGTAGGGGAGCAATTTAGTTTTTACATAACAAGTAATATCTAAAGGATCAGAATTTAGAGAAGAAAACTAAATGTCTTCTACAGCTCGTTTAACAAAATCGTAAGTTATTGATTTAAGACCTTCAAAATGATTATCATGATTTCTTTAAGGTTGAATAAAAATCTTTAAACTATGATCACAGATATTTTCCATTTGTTGATAACATTTTTCTTTTAGTAGGGATAATTAGGATTTCAGTAATTCTGATTCTTTATTCTTATTTTATTCTTCAGGTGGAAAATAACTTTGTATACTGACCTAAACTATTTCAGGATTGAATTCTTAATCATTATTCAAATTATCTTCCTATTCTTCAGTAATTTAAGTAGTTTGCGATCTAGAGATGGTATATGATTGATCATCTAATTTATGTATTGATTCTCTTCTTGACAAATTCAATGGTCCCTTATCTATAGAGACACTAACAACTCTGTTTTCAAATGTATTATCTAATTTGTATCCTTATGCTTTCAACAATTTTAATACTTAATCATAACATACACCACACAATCTTACTTTTTTTTCTGTATTTTATGTAAAATGAGAACCATCAATAAAGTTACTGCTGCAACTATTCTATAAAATAATTTATATTACTCTGAGCAAAAGACTAAACCACATTTACGACAATGATGCTTAGTTCTGAAAAGATAATAGAATTGTCTATCACAATGTTCACACTTAGTCACCTTACTTTCTTATTTCCATTTGTCTCTAGATAAAAGTACATTAGATAATTGTTAATCCATGTATAATTTGATTTATTAATTAATTATAATTTAATGTAGTCTTTTAATCCCTCTCCAGTTGACAAAGACAAGAAAATTAAAATTATGGATGAATTAATTAAGACTAATTAAAAACATATAGATCATCTAAAACAAACAATCACATAATTAAAAAAAGTATTAAAAGATATCAATAAATATAGTAATTATAATTTGAATAGAAAAGAAACTAAGATCTTGAAAAGGATAATACTACCATAAAGGATTAAATTAAAAAACTTCTTTCTAAACCTACATTTCATACTTAATTCACATAAACATCATCCGAAATTAATCATCGAGATTAGCAACATTTATCTATCAAAGAAGTATAATAAATTCACAATACCTCTGAAAATATATAAAAATCTGATATTGACCATACATAACCTAAGTAAAACATAATTAATTAAATATCTCCTTCAAAATAAGAAATCAAGAAAATCCCTAAACTTGATCTTAAAATTGATATCAATTCAGCTCTTTAACGATAATAGAGTGGACCTATTAGTAGTGTTAAAAAATCATAAACTTATTTACATGGTTTAACTAACGTCAAATTGATTGATGCTATAAAGGAAAGAATACCTGAAAAATAAAATAGGATTGTAATATATTTTAATTTAAAGATATTTCAAGGCTTCTTAAATTACAGGAGATAGAGCGGGAAATCAAATGAGAAAGTCTTTACTATTCAATTTTTAAAATAATAAATCAATTATTATTAATGATTGTGAAAATTAGGAAGATTAAGAAATACACAGAAGTAGAAATTCAGATGGAAAAAAATAATAGTAGTTTATTGAATCCATTGAAGAATATAGAGTTGAAACTTTGGAAGTATCTGCCTTATAATTACCTGCCTATAATTTATATGAAAAATTTTATATTCTGGGTTGTGAAAAAAAGGAATTTTTAGAGTTTGATAATGATCCCAATATTAAAGAAGGTATTCTACCTGCTAATATTTTATTTAAAAGTGATTCCACAAAAACGTATATTTCATTCACTTTATTAGACCTGTCTATGAAGATATTATTAATGGATTTGTGTATCCATTTGGTAATCAAGTTGAAAAAATCAAAGTTAATGATTCATTTCGAAAATTAAAAGAGTATCTAAAATTCATTATTTCAGAATTATGTATTCAGGTAATAAATACGAATTATTGGACAAATTCTCTTTATTTACCATTAAAAATTAAGAAAATACCGATGATCTCTAAGAGCATGTCAATTAAAATTTATTGAATTAAGCAAATCCTGAAAAGTTACTCTATGGAATTTGTCTATCTGTTTACGATTTTATTGAAACTACTCCTGATCATATTAAATTAACATTTGAAAATAGAAAAAAAAGAATTTTTTGGAAATACAAAAAAACTTATTGTTTTATAACTTTCTTTCCATTTTATGAATTATTCTAAGATCTATTAATCTCAATTATAAGTAATAAAGTATGTATATTATTTAATAGATTTAATTAAAATCAATAGAACTGATAGGTATTTAAAGAAATATTCAGCAGAATACGAAGTTCTTAAAGATGTAGATGGTTAGTAAATTATACTTGTATATATAAAATATTATTAAAATATTAGGAGTTTTAAGATGAATTAACTAAATTTTTAAATTTAATTTAATCAATTAAACCAATGTTAGGACATTAATAATTAGAAATCTAAACTTTAGCAGGTACTCTTAAATATAGAATTCCTAATTAATTATAATTAGATGTAGAATTAAGAATTTGGAGTGCCAATGTTACTTTATAAATTTTAAATTTTAAAGAAATCTTAACAATATTTTTAGCAATGATATCTGAAATCTCAATTATTTTTGTTTGTGAGAAAAGCAATATCTTAACATCAATTATGTATTAAATTTTAGAATTATCAGCCATTTTTTCCATCATTTATTCCGTCCTTTAGAATGGACACATGGAATCATTTATAATGTACCTGAATAATTAACAACTATGATTCAATCACCAGTTCCAATCATTATTGGAGTCAATCTTATAGAAAGTGATTTCAATATATTGGGTCTTTCTGAAAATTGTGAAAATCATTTATTTGTATTTTTGGATCGAGATAAAGAAAATAAATTTATCGCCAAACCAACAAATGTAATGAAAGATATAGTTACTCCTTCATTTGGAGGATTTCTATCATAAATTGATACTATTATTAAAAATTAAACCAATATACGTAATCCTAGGTAATTATACCTTTTATATTTTTATTAGTCCAAGTATTAGATAAACTTCAAATAAACATGAAGATAAAAAAGTAATTAAATTTTATTTTGATGATCAAGATCAAAGTAAAAGCAAATAAGTACTTGAAATCTTTAAAAAAATAATTAATTAATATATCATTTCTAAATTACCATAATCAAATTAAGATGGACTTAAAGTTAATATTTAAATATTTATAATAGAATTAACAAAATGTGAATTTATAATTTATTGAGCATTACTTACTCTCTGAATCTGATCTTAAGGATAAAAAATTTATTTAGAATCTATTTAAGACATAACATTTCTAATATTTTATATAACAACATTATTTGTGATTAGAATTGAATTTATATTTATTTATATTATACACTTATTTTTAATATTTAAGATAATAAAGTATCAATTAAATAAAAATGAATAGAAAAGATAATATAGTAAATTAGGACAATCTTCAAAAACATTATGAATAAAAGATCAATCAATATTAAGAAATTATTGAAAGTTAAGATAAAAAAATAAATGAATTATAATAATAGATTGAATAACAAAAGTAACAGTTAAAGGAATTAGGAATAAAGGAAGAGTAGCGCAATAATTAGGAAGAGAAATTAGAAAAGTATAAGAAAAACATATAATTCCTTCTAAATAGAATTTCTTGGTAAATAACAGATTAAAGTATGAATGAGTTAACATAATCTATTATAAATTAGCATTATGGTTAATATCTTGCTCAGTAAAATGAAATTCTTTTTAATTCAGCCTATTAAGATTTAATTGTAGGATAAAATGTAGTTAATTAAGAAATATTTGAAGTTTTTTATATAATTGGAATTGAAAAGTCGTATACTAATACAAAGTAGTATAATTCAAAAATTTAGTATAAATATTATAAAAAAGAAAATTGAAATAATTACTTATAAAAATTAATGTCTATTGAAGAAATTATTGAAACATTTGCTTGTCCAAATGGAAATAATGTATAATAAATAATTGATGATGATGTTGAAGATGAAATTTAGAGGTAGATTTAATTAATAATTTAGAATAATTTGTTAAAGTAAAGTACCTTTTTAGAATTTTTACATGTTCAATATTAAGGGAGATGATTTACAATCTGAAAATCCATTAAATGTTAAACTTCTATAATAATTCAATCATTCCAGATAATTATTCGGATACTGTCTAAAAATAGATGATTTTTTAGTTGAGGATTAAAATGGAAAAGCTTCCATTTATATGAGTTTCGACAAGATTTTATGTTTTGTAACTTATTTTCCAATTTAAAGTTTGTTTAAAAAATTATTCGAATAAATTTTATGTAATAATAATGTAAATTTATTTATAGTTATAATTAAAGTAACAAGATAAAACAGTTTTAGAGTAAAAGAGAAACAGAAAAAATTTAACGAAATTGATGGAGTAGGAATAATCAAAGTAAAGTGAAGAATTTATAATAGTTAATCGAAAAGCTCCTAAATGCATTTATGTTGAAAAGTTCCTCATATTCTCTAACAGAAAATAATTAACATATCGAAATCAATTTTGCAAAAGAACTAGCTGATTAAAATCTTGATGAATAGATGAAATAGTTTTTTTAATCTTCTATAATTTCATACACAGTTCCTAGTAAGGAGGATTTATTTTTTGAGACTAAAAAACTAGAAGCACATATTGTACTAACCCTTTTTACATTTGAATAATTTTATAAGATATTTATGGAAATTTTGAAAGAAGGAAAAATTATATTTTGTTGTTAGAATTAGAATTTATTAACTTCAATAACATCATTTTTCCATACAAGTTTATTTCCTTTTAAATGGTTTCATCAAATTATTTTTAATCTACCAATTGATTCTTTAGCTCTTTTAGAATTTAACCAGCCCATAATTTTTGGAGTTAATATGCAATATTAATAATTAAGATTTTAAAGAAATATCTTAATAGCAAACAAAATACATGATATAACATATGTGGATATCAATGAGAGACATAGGTTAATTAATATAATTGAGAAAAATTAAAAGGTATAACTTAACTGGGTTGATCAAAAGAAAGAGCTTGAAAGATATTTTTAGGATAAAAATGGTTCACTTTCATTTACACCTAATAATGAATAAGAAAATAATGCAAAAAAGTTTCTTAAGAATCTGTAAGAAATCATTATGGTAAATTTGATCAATAAGGTTGTTCCAAAGAGAGAGGAAGATTTTATTATAAAACAGAATAAAAAATTAAACGATCACTTTATATCTCATCGTATTAAAAAAATAATTTAGAAAACATATTAAGATTAATTGGATTAAAAATTTATCCTTAATTATATTATACTTTCTGTGTATTTTACAGAGTTTCTAAGATTTTAATACATAAAATGATAAAATAAATGTAAGAATAATTTATAAATAAATATATATATATTAATTAATAATGAGTTAAGAAAAAGATTTCTAATATGATATCCACGATGTCTAAAATATTAAGACTGCCTTCTTAGATTTACATTAATAGGAAAGCACAGGATTCAAATTGGGATTTGGGACAGCAATTTTATCATATTTTGTTTTTAGAAGATTCACATACTTAAGAACAGGACCAAGGTATATCATAATTTAAATACAATAGATTCATCGGATCAATGATATTGGGTTCGTAAATCTATGGATTTTATACACACAAATCAAGAGCCTATTATGACTATGTTGCTCAATAAGTAAATTTGCATGCATCAGAAGCAATAAATCAATGTTTAGGACATTGATCTATATAATAATAATAATAAAACACATAACAAAATATATTATTTGTTGGGAATCATAATAAAAATTCAAAATCTGAATTTTTAACTCCATCTCCAAAATAAGCATATCCAAATGTATAGTCATTATTATAACTCAAATATCCTGGCCATATTAAATTTCTAATTGTAATCTAAACAATAAATGATAATTTAACTTTACATTTCTTTTAGTGGAATCAGTCTGAACTGACCATTAATTATATGGGGTGTCATCAATTAAAGAATCTAAGAAATCAGATCTATAGAGTGCTTCATCTCGAGCTAATAAAGATATCAAATATTTTAAACCTATTAGATCTTATTTATCTTTTCTTATTGGTGATCTGAAGTGTTAATAATTCTTCAATTCCGCAGTCACTCCTTTAAATGTAGTCTTGATTAATTCATGAGTTGGTGTTAATCTATATGATCCAACTGGAATTGAGGCACATTAGAATTCAATTGATTAAACTACATATGATAATCTCTCTAATTCTGAGAAATTTTTAGCCGGCAGTTACGAAGGAATTTCTAATGAGTCTTCAAAATTAATCTCTTCATCTGTTCTAAATACTATGTGCTCATGTTATCCAGTAAATGGATCTCTCAAAACTTCAGCTCTTTAAGCAAATTCTTCATTATATTTAGGTAATTCAGCAAAATGATAATTATTGGAACTTATTAATTATAGATCATTATTACCTCCAAAAGAATTTCTTTAATGGAAATTAATACTGTCCTTTATATTGAATTCCTAGTGCTATGTAATAATCTTTTTCTATTCCTTCTACTCTTCCCCAAAATAAGACTTCATCAAAAACATAATGTTCTTAGATTTTCAGTATTGCTAATTGTAATCTCATTCTATTTTTAAGAATAAAATAAGTACCTTTCTTCAAGATTAAGAGTCTAACCTATTTACTATATAAATTTCAAATCATTAAATGAGATATTCATTATATAAATTAATGATTAAATTAAAGAGGGAGTATTTTAGAAATTCAATTCAAAAATAGGCCAGAGAAGATATTTTCAAAAAGAAAAGAATTGTTACAAATAACAATCCCCATTATGAAAGCAATCCAGTAAATGAGAGTATAATATTTATTTTTGAATTGAAGAGTTGAATGAATTATTTGAATCCGAATTGACAATATTTGATATAGCCCAAAAGTTAGAATAATTATATGAGGAATACAAATTATTTCCTGAACGAAATAACTTGGTAACATTTACAAAAACTAAATTTAGGTTCTTTCTTAAATCAAAATATTAAGTATGAAAGTGGCTACAATGAAGATACAGGAACACATAAATAATTTCTACAATTCCATCAAAAGTAAGCAATCTATCTAAGTAAGACAACATTTTGGTTGAATTGATTAAATATTGTTCCCCAAATTATGCAGATGATGTCAATACTGTTGAACTAACAAACAATAGTTTATGGATTTTAATCAATTTAACATTAGCAGATGGTTGTGTTGATTATTTATTGGATTATGGGAATGGTAATTTCTTTGAATAAATCAACTTTCTCATTAAATCAAAATATGAAGTCATTGTACATAGAGTTTTTGAATTGATATTTAACATGACAGTTGAAGAATAAGCTTGTGATCGAATTCTTCTTGATACCAAATTTGATGAAGCATTCCTCCATCGATTGAAAAGACAAAATTCAGAGATGATCATGAATCTTGCAGCCTCGATTATTAAAAACTTTTGTAATAATTTTAGAAATGAACATATGCCAAAAATCTTAGATTTTATATTTTATTGCATTAGATTTGAAAGTGTAAATGGATTAAGTTTCATTATTACTGAAGAATATTGTGCTTAATTCCTAATACTTTACAGAGGTCTTTGTATCAAATTATTTACTCATCCAAATCATTCTATTAATTTCATCAACTATTTATCAGCACATTCATCAAATGAAGTTCTTGATGTAATTAACATGAATTATGATAGTTATTGCTTGAATATCCAGTTGTGGATGAATTAATGAGAATTAAGAATTCTAATCATTAGGTGAAAGTCTATTCTACTTTCTCAAATTTAGCAACACATTAACCTTTTCATAATGAATTGAGAATACTGTTTTAAGGGATATATGAATAGTATGAGAAATCAGATCTGAAAATGAAATTGGAATTAGGATATTTTGTTTCTACTTATATTATTAATTGTGATCCTACATTTTATGGAGATCTAATTAATAATGGAGTGATAAATCTATTAGTAGACTTCTTTAGAGAGATTTATGATCCAAAAGCAATCTATTTGGCATTGTAAGCTATGCTTAACCTCTTCATTAATGAGAATTCCAAATAAATATTTGAGTAACTTGGGGGTTTCAAACATTTAGAAAAACTCAAATAAAATGATAACATAATTGAATTGGCATCTAGATTAAATTGAATCTATAATTAATAGTTATAATTTATTAATGTCTAGACAAGAGTTTAAAAATTGTTAATCATAACAATCAGCTCAATCATTCAGATAGGAATCAGAATACTCATAGTACCAAAAAGTAGTTTTAGGAGATGGTGTATTTTATCTCTGAATAATTAGATTCAATATATTAAGGAGAATGGTAAAATAATAAAAGACATGGTAAAGGGATTCAAATATTTCCAAATGGTAAATAAAGAAATCTAAAAAAGGAATAATTTTTGAGGGAGTTTGGGAAGATCACAGAATAGTTGGGAAAGTTATAAAGATTGATGGCGAGATTATAGATTGTGTTATAGAAAATAATTAAATAGTGAATAGTTCAAAAAGCATTATAGAAGAAGACTTGGAGCATTTGTTAAATGAGAGATAGGATAAAATTTACACTTCAGAAAAGATCAAATAACTAATAGGAAATTTAAACTTTTAACGCTTAATTAAAGATGAAATAGAATATGAAGGGTAAGTAGTGGATGATATGAAACATGGTTTAGGAGTTGCAATATTGTTAGATGGTAAAAAATGATGATTAAATAAAATTAGGTTCAGTTTATGAAGGTCAGTGGAAGAATAACAAATAGCATGGATATGGTAAGAAAACATATTAGAATGGGGATATATTTAGTGGGTATTGGTATGAAGGTGAGATTTATGGTTATGGAGAATATCATTATTAATAAGGTGCAACTTATGTTGGATATTGGAAGAATAGTTTAAAACATATTTATGGAAAGGAATCATGGATAGATGGAGCATCTTATGAAGGGGAATATTATGAAGGGAAGAAGAATGGAAAAGGTAAGTTGGTTTTTTAAGATGGATCATATTATGAAGGGGAGTTTGAGATGGATGATATACATGGATATGGATAATATCATTGGATTGATGGAAGATAATATGTAGGTGATTGGGTATACAATAAAATGTGGGGTATAGGAAAGACAACTTGGGCAGATGGAAGATCATATGAAGGAGGGTAATGAAGTAGATTTATAATAGATATTTGGATGATAAGAAATAAGGATTGGGGACATTTATTTGGAATGATGGTAGAAAATATATAGGAGAATGGAAGTAGGGAAAATAGCATGGGATTGGATTATATTAGGCACCCTCTGGTGAATATAGATATGGAGAATGGGCTGAAGGAAAAAGAGTAAGATGGTTAGACATAAAGGAAGATAAAGAAATAATTGATGCTTTTTTACATAAGAACACTGAAATTGATCATAGGAATGCATCATTTTATAACAGCCATATTTCTGATTCATCTTTAAATGGAAGTGATAGATCTCATGGCAAAAAAGTTTATTAATTAACGTTGTCAGATAGTAAATATTAAATGAATGATTAGAGAGTATTTATATAGGAGAATTATTTAAATAGAAGAGAGAAGGATGGGGTAAATTGATATGGAAAGATGGTAAGGATAGTCTTAATAATTATTAGGCTCAATATATGATGGAGAATGGAAAGATGATGAATGTAATGGCTTTGGAAGATATATTAGTTGCGAAGGGGATGTATATGAAGGAGAATGGAAACATGATAAAGCTAATGGACATGGTATATTTACGAACAATGATGGTGTTATATATGAAGGTAATTGGAAGAATGATAAATAAAATGGATATGGCAAATAGAAATGGCCTGATGGACTATATTATGAAGGGTAATTTCTGGAGGGTAAGAAATAAGGATTTGGAAAGATGATATATCCTGATGGATCTTATTATTAAGGGACTTTTGTAAATAACTAAATAGATGGTGAAGGTTTGCATGTTAATATTGATGGAACTAGATATGAAGGTTCATTTAAAAATGGTATGAAACATGGGAGAGGAACTTTGATAAGTCCAGATGGAAATATATTCATTGGAAAGTAAATTGAAAATTATGTAAGTTTAGTTTTGAATAAGACAAATAAATTGGAGAAGGAAGAGTGGAATATCATAATGGTAAACTATTTTTGGGAGAATGGGTGAATGGAGAACGTCATGGAAAAGGCAAATATATTTATAAAGATGGAAGAGTCGTTGAATGTATGTGGTATAAAGGGATGAAGATAGAAAAATGATAATATATATATATATTATATATTATATTATATATATATATATTACAAGTTTGTTTGCTACTCAAAAAAAGATTTGTATTAATATTTAATATCATGATGATCACTAGAAGAAAATATTAAAGGATTGTTGTAGAAGATTAAAAGCCTGATTTGAATGTGATTAGGGTAGCTAATAAAGCTCAATTATCAAGCCAAGTCAGAAAAGCTTTATGGCTATTGTAAGGTAATCGTAGAGAAGATTAACCCCCTGTTTAAGATACAATTTACATCACAGCTATTGAAAATGCCATCTCAAAAGCTGTTATTATTGCTGAAGTGGTTAGAAGAAGAATTGCTGGACTCTATCAAATAAATAAAATTTAGGCTGTCTAGATTAATGAAGAATATGATCCATTAGAAGAAGGATTAGTGAAAGTCAAAATTACTAAGAATTTGGCTTCACTTTAAATCAAATTAACCAAAACACCAACAGAATAAGACAGAAAAGAGCCTGGATTCCTTGTATATAATATTTTAAATTATTTTAGGAACCATTACCTGCTGATTAAGTTTAACCAACTAGAGAAAGAAATGATAGATAAAGAAGTGGAAGCAGAAGACCAAGAAATGACAGCTAAAGAAATAATAATAGAGACAGAAGAGATAACAGAGATAACAGAGATAACAGAGACAATAGAGATAACAGAGATAGAAGAGATAACAGAGATAGAAGAGATAATAGAGATAGAAGAGATGATAGAGATTATAAAAGAGACGATAGAGATAATAGAAGAGATAATAGAGATAACAGAGAAGAAAGAGATACAAGAAGAGACAATAGAAGAGATAATAGAGATAACAGAGATAACAGAGATAATAGAGATAATAGAGACAATAGAGATAATAGAGATAATAGAGATAGTAGAAGAGAGAACAGAAGAGATGACAATAGAGATGAAAAAAGAAGAAACAATAATCCTAAGAATGAAGACAATACCGAAAGACCTACAACATAAAAAGTTAGAGGTGCTCCAAGACCTTAATAATAAAATTGAGTATTAATAACATAGAAATATAAAGAGATATTAAATAGCTTCTTATATATTCTCATTATTTAAAATATACAATGATGCACGTCATATTATCACAGCCAATCCCATCTATTTATTTCTTTATCATTTTTACTATATACATCCTTAGCGATTATCTAATCAAATAATCCTTCTAAAGTTTGTTACATAGCTTCTTATGTCACTTTTGATTTGATCTAAGAATTTCCATATCTATTATTTATTGTTGATTCCAAATTTCAAATACTCCATCAGACCAAATCTATAGACTTTTAAAACGTTATAACTTATCATTTGCTTGAATTTCTTCCACTTTCACATCTAGAAGTGCTATTATAATTTGTTCCTCCTGACTTGATGTTTGATTTTATTTATATTTTTAATATCCTAATGCTCTCCTTGCAGGTAAATGATCTTTCCTTTAACTAAATTTTATACCATTTCTTCTTGGACTCAAAATAAAACCTACAGCTTATTCAATTCTTCTTTTATCCTTCTCATCATCTGGTTTATGGTCTTTACTCAATTCATATGGAGCATTATCTCTACATAGTATTGCACTTAAATTTCCAGCATTAGCTAAATAAACTGTTTTCCCAACTATTAAAGCAACATTTGCTGTGCATCCTGCTTGTGATTCTATGAAAATTTATATTATTTTAAGTCCATACCTTCATTATTTTCTTTAATTTTTTTTAATTCTTCTTGGCCTTCTGGCTTAAAAAGTAATTGATCTATATTCAAAAAGGTATCAATTAAAGCTTGCTTATAGTCTTTTTTTAAGTAATTTTTGTTTGCCAATAATTATTCCACAAAATGTTTCTATGCAAAGATAGCTACTTCCTTGCCATCATTTCCTTCAAATATAGCAAATAAAGAAACTCCTGGTTCAATATCCAAATTAGAGATATAAGTATCTTCCATAGTTTTCCTACAACCTTATGAATTTAAAGAGCTACCTTGCATTTTAGTTGCTGAGAAAATAAATTATTTATTCTCTCCTTTAACTGTTTATTTTTCAAGTTTTGGTGTTGCAAGATAGAGTCCCATTAAATTTAATTTAATATTTTTGATTAATCATTATCGATTCTAGTCCTATTGTTCTATCCAATAATTATTCAAATTTTACTCATTAATATAGAAACCTTCTTATTTTTATTCAAATTCATACCTGTCTTTCAAATGAGACATAATTTGTTTTTGTTACAATATATTCTTTAGATTATATTTAAATTTATTTTCAATTTTACACTTTTATAAGATCATTGATTATTTTATAAATGCGCATTAATCAGCCTAATTACATTTTTAATTAATTCATAAAACTTCTCATAAATTGTATAATTTTGTAATTACTATCAGAATTAAAAAATTAAATAATTTATATATTTTATAAATCAACAACAGACTCAAATCAATTATTTTTATCAAAATGTGATTGAGTAAAAACTCTGTAATTGTCATTAATTCAAATTTACCCACCAAATTATTTTACAATTAATAATAGTAATTGCATTTCTCCATTTAGGATGTACCTAGGTTTTTACAGTAAATTATACAATTAATTTATTACTTTAAAAATAGTATGCACTTCCGAATTCTTGTTTTTTCTCGATAATATAATTTAAAGATGAATTTTAGATTACTATAAGGGAAGAAGTTACAACACTAAATATGAAGTTATATTAATGTTAATTTGAAAGTAATAATTTCAATTTAGTAAATCTGAGAACAGACAAGGAAAAGAAATTTTACAATTTCTGTTGAAATTGTATAGGTAATCTGTTTGTATTACAATTTGCATAGCAATTAAAAAGATACTCAATAGTTCGAGAACTTTATTCTTATTATTTATAAATTAATGAAAAAAAAATTGTTTACAAAAGGATTGAAATCCAATGTCGAAAAATACATTTTTGAAATCAAATTTGTTAATCTCATAGCTTCTTCAAGTCTTGTATCGAATGGTCTGTAGCTTTAATGATTTCTCCAGCTAATTTGGATATTAAACTGAATGATCTGTTAGTATTATTAATCGTTGTAAATCCACACCTCTAGTTGGACTTGTATTGTATATTCTATAAAATGACATTGCATCTATGTTGACTAATAACAGTCTTGGCAGCAGCGTAGTTTATTTTAAGTTGTTTAGCAGCCTATTTTTAGATTTTATTATTACATGCTTTATTTTGATTCCTTAGTGGAACACTAACTTAACAAGGTTCTGTCTTTTTATTTTTGAGACTTTCTCATAGGGTCTTTTAGTAGAAGAATCTTTTTTCATTAAAATTTTAGATTTAAATTTATTTCAATTTTTAGCTAATGGCTAGAAGGTTTTAGTGCTACATTTATAAATATATTACGCATGATTTAGAAAAATATATTTTTTAGCTATAAGAATTATTTTTAGAATTAATAAAAAATATTAATGAGTTTAAACATAATTTTATTTTGTTCCTAAATAAAAGAAGCAAGGATTTAATAATATTATGATTAATGTGATTATTAATAATAAAAAATCCAAAAAAAAATTAAGAAATGTTTCATTGAAAAATTAGTAGTATAATATATTTTTAGATATTTAAAAATGATTTAATAAATGAAAAAAATGAATGAATATGGTTGATTAGTTAGTTTTCAACAAATAAGTTAATTTGATGAAGGCAAATGAGTATTTAAATTGTAAAAAGCAATTTAGGTAAAATTTAAGTTACTTTAAAAGAAATATAATAAATTAATATATAATATAAGAATATAATAAAAAAAAATGAATATTCTAGTATTAATATATATTGGAATAAGTTATGGGGATACGCAAGTAAAAGAGTATGGATAATGTTTGGATGAAACCTTGGCGTAATCTCCAATATAGTTAAAGCCACCATTTGGACATATTGGTTGATATGTTTATTAATAAAGCTAGAACTAAAATTGGAATTTGAGTTTTTGGAGGCTAGAGATTTATAAATAAAACATACTGGATATGAATTAGTATGTTAAGGAGCATTTGGTTTTGTGAAGCATAATAATAAAATATTCAATGCTTATCAAGTAAAATTTAAATCTCCATCAGAACATTCATTGTCAGAAAACGATTATTTTTATCCAATAGAAATGCAAATATTTTTAATATCATAATAAAAGTTTAGAATAGGATTTAGCGTATTCTTTCGCTTAAATAAAGATCATACAGAAAATGGATTATTAGCGAAGTTTGGATTTGGTAAAAACATAATAAAGGAACTTTAGCCAGGAGATTTCTACATAGTTCCTGAGGCTATAGATTTAGGAGTATTGTTTGAAGACACAGGTAATAAATTGTTTAGATGATATTAATAGATAAATTTTTAGTATATTAGGGAAGTGATACATTTCCACCTTGTGGATAGATGGTATGGTTAACTTAATTTAAGATATATGAAATGTCTTAAAATTAAGCAATTGACTTTCCAGAACTCTTACTTTATTTAGTAAGAGAATAGAAAGAGATGAAGAGACCAATATATGCAAATTTTGATCCAGCATTGTTTATTATAACAGATGGCGAAATGAATACCAAATAAGATTTGAAAACTTAGAGAACAAGAAATTAAGTTGATAAAAAGGTATGAGTACAAATCCAAATAGCTTGTTAAAGATAATTTTTATATCTATGGAGCAAGTGAAGGCTTAGAAATAGATGGATTTGTTTTTACTGCATCAGGATAGTCAGGAGGTAAAATAGTAAGAACTGAAGATTTCTTTATTATTAAATTAAAACCAGAAGCAAAAGATGTATAATCAGATTTTGAAGAAATAGAAAATTAATAATAATCATAATCATAATCATAATCATAATCATAATCATAATCATAATCATAATCATAATCATAATCATAATCATAAATAGAAAATAATTAAAATGAATAACCTATTGATGTTTAAGAAAATAGTATTCCTGAAGATTTTGAAGAGGCTGATTATCAAAATGAAAATGAAACAAAAGAACCTCAAGAATTAAGTGGTCAGGATAATACAAATATTGGAAGAGAATCTGATAGAAAAAGCAAATTGGATTTACATTCCAGAATCAAAGAAAGACAGGCAAGTAAAAGTAAAGATTCAATTAATTAATATAATGAAAATATGATAAAAGAAAAATAAGAATAATAAAAATAAGAATAATAAGAAGAAGATGATATTATTACAGAAATAGATGAATTTAAAAATTGGCCAAGATTATGTTAAACAGGGAAATCATAATCACCAATTGTACTTGATTTAAAAAATCTAATGAAACAACCTATCAAAGAACCTATATTATCATATTATGTTGTACCTAAAGAACTTTATTTAAGCAATGATGGATATTAACTTAAATTAATTAGTGATCCTGGAGGTTTTGGAGCATTAAGTTGGAATGGTAAAATATACTAAGCTCTTGAATTGAATTTTCATACTCCTTCAGAACATACTATAGGAGAAAATTAATTTAGAATGAATTGTGAAATATAAATCATGCACAAATCTTAGGATGGTGATATCTTATATTTGGTTCTCTTTTTACATAATACATATCCAAATGAAACTAATGAATTTTTAGAATCAATAGGATTACCATCATCTAAAAGTATAAATTATAGAGCTGTTGAAAAAGGAGAACTTATTTAAATCAATAAAGATATTAAACTTGCTGATTTAGTAAGAGATATATCTGAATTTGTCTATTATTCAGGTTCTTTAACTGTTCCACCTTGTGTTGAAAATATTTAATACATTATTAGAAGAAGTAGACTCCCAATTTCCCTTACTTAACTTGAAAATTTGTAGCGTTTAATCGGAAAAAAAGAAAACTTTAGACCTGTTCAAAATCTTAATGGAAGAAATATATACACCAATTGAATAACAAGAATATTAAATATTTTATATATTTACATCAATATCTTTAATTCTTATCATTCAATTTGAATAATAAACTATCTCAAAAACTAATTTTATTTCTCTTTTCTATTCAAATATAGGTTATCCTAAATTTAATTTTAATTTTAATTCTTATATTTCAAATTTGAATGTTCTACTTCTACCAAAAAACATAAAAATTATCAAACAACCACAGATTTTTATAAATCTAATGTAAAAATTAAGAGATTAATTAATTAAAACAAGAGATTTATAGTATTAGTAAAGACTGGATTTAATTAATTAATACTAATATTTATGATGAATCATATATAATAAAAAGTTTTAGAAATTAGTTTGATACTAAAATTTTCAAATTGTTAATAATCTTTCAATATTCTACTAAAATAAAAATTATTGCAATTAATTTATTCAAAAATTTTAATGTTGAAGATAGAATATAACATGATGACAACATTAAGATTACTCTATTCTAATAGTGTTAAAAGTACCTTAAAGATTATTTCAAATAAGAAGAGCATTTTTTATTTGTTTAGAATTCAATAGATATTTTACAATTAATTTTACTAATTGAAACGAAAAATTCCTATTTTAATTTTGAGCAAAAATCAAAAACATTTAATTCATAATTTAAATAATAAAGTTTAAAAAATTCAAAGATAATATAGCATATAACACAATTTCTAATACCTGACAAATGAAAAATAATTTTAAATAAAGTAATAAAGAAATTAATAATTATTGTTTTAAGTTAAGAAGTTAAATAGAAAGATATTTAAAAGACTAAATTTGATTGACTAAAATTTATTTTTATGATGATGAATTAAAGTCAAGCCAATCATGTTGAAATTCTATTTTAATTTCCATCTTAAAGATTCAATTTTAGAAATGCACATTAATTGAAATCATAGTTTTACTATTATTATTTTTTAATAATTTATATATGAAACAACAAACCTATTGTTAAACACATGCTGGATTTGCACACTAATTCATAATTTTGAAATAAGGTTCAGTAAAATTAGCTTGTGGAGAATGCATTTATTCTTTATAAGACAATTCAAAAAAGGTCGATTTTGGATAAATCATTTCTATATAGAAAGTAGATTCAAATATTTATTTTAGGCTTTAAGTTCTCCTGATACTCTAATACAAAAATTGACAGCTTAGGATAAATTTAGTAATTTATTTTAAAACCTTACAAATCTAACAGGAGATGAATTAAAATAAGAACTTACAAATTTTGAAAAATCATTAAGACAGCTTCAAGCTTATATTGATGAAGTAATATTAAAAGCAAAAGAACAAGTTGATTTCATTATCTAGACAAGAGTGAACATAAAAAATGATCTAATTTAAGTACTCAAAATATAGTAATTATACATTTTAGAAAATTAAATATCCGCAATTCATAAAATTATTGGAAGAATTAGGTAGCTCACAATAAGAAGGATAATATGATATTTATCAATAGATAGAATAAAAATTATCTTTGCATTTAGATGAATTAAATAATGGAAATACTAATGGATTAAATGGATATTTAGATGAAATACTTGTAAAGTATAAAAATTAATTGTAAGAATCTTTGAAAAACAACTTTTAAATAGAATATTTAAAATAATATTCAGATGCATGTTTAAATGAATATAAAGATTTATTTTCTAGAATAAGAAAAAGTTATATGTTAGGTTTCATAGAGATGACCTCGAATCTAATATCAGATGATTATCTGTAAAATTTGATTTAGATAATAATGGAAAAAAATCCTAAGCCTATCAATTAACTTAAATTAATATATTAAGGAACAAAAGATGGTTTAAATTCTAATTCTTTCTGGAATAAAGTTAACAATAAATCAAATTTAATAATGATTTTTAAAACTAATAAAGATGTAATTTTTGGAGGATACTCACCATGTAAATGGTAATAAAACCTTAATAATTATGTTGAAGATCCTACTAATTCATCATTTATTTTTTCTTAAAAAGATTAATAAATTTATCCAATTAAAGATTAGAAAAAAAAGTTTGCTATTTATTGTTCTTAAAATTATGGTCCTACATTTGGAAGTGGCTTTGATATTTAAATTGGTCCTAGCTTTTAATCTGGCTAATGTAAACTTGGATAAGCATATCATGTTGAATAATAAAATTTTAATCCTAATTAATTTTTTGGGAATCCAATTCCTAACATAGTAGAATGTGAAATATATGAGATTTTATGAATTGATATATTTTTACATTGAAAAACATAGATAATTTATTTATATCTTATATCTACTTTTACTAATATTAGGTGAAAAGAATAGAAATAAATCAATATTCATCTAAAATTGTGATTTTTGAATTGAATATATGAACACATGGATATAAATCTAAACTTGTATCTATTTTCATTTTCTAACACTAAATAAACAATTTACCCATAAAACTTAATTAGTTTATAATTTTTTCCAAATAATTTTTTTATCACATATGCTTATTTCAACAACAATTATATCATTATTTGAAAATTTAAATGACTGTTCAATATTATTGATATCCTTTTCAAGATGAGAATACGTCCATCCAGAATTTTCTATAAGATAAGTTCTAAGTTAAAAAGAACTTAATACCCATGCCCTATCTTTCCAAGATTTAAATCATATTTTTATTATAAAATAATTGATTTATGACAAACTCCTATACAAACCCATTTATGCTTTTATATCTAAAAAGCAAACTTTGATATTATATTTTAAGGGATTTCTGGTTCACAAAATATTAATCCAAAAGAATCAGGTCCCCCTTTAATTGTTTTACCATCATTTTCAATTTTAATCCTCTTCAATTTATTTAATTTTTGTTTAGAGAAGAATATTTTAATTTTTTCAGTACGATTTTAATAATTGATTTTTTATTACAAATCACTATTCAAAGTAATTTCTTATTTAAGAGTTTCTTTTCTGTATACTAATTAATTTAATTAATCAATATTTTAATTATTATTATTCTCTTATACCCAAAATTATTTAAAACTTTTGCAATCCTTTTTCAATATTTCTAATTATAACATTAATTCATTTAATTTAGGTGATAATTAGATTTCAATCATGTCTATTTTCATTAATTTAATAATTAACAAATTTAAGTCTGTAATAGTAGCATCTGTTAGATTCATATTTTAGTTAATTAATAATGGAATAATCAAATCATCTAGATTTTTAGCAAATTGTTTTATTTCTATAATTTACCTAGTGAAAATCTTGTGAGTTATCATTTTTTATTCGATCCATTCTGATATTTTAGACAATGGCATTAATTGTTTTAAATGTTCAGCATGAAAATCGATAACACAAAATTGACAATATGGTTTTATTCGATTACAATTATAAAATTTACAGCATCCCAATATTGGACTATATTCATGACCTTCGAATAAGCATTGCTATTGATTTTAAATCATATTATAATTTCAATATATATAATTCTTAGTAATTATAAAATTATTTGTATTAGAAATTTAGTACAGAAATAATTATAATTAAAATTGATCAAATCTATATATAATTATATTATTTTCCCCTTTAAATAATAAATACTAAGTATATTCTTATATTTCAAACTTTTCCATAAATCATAATTACCAAAAAACCATTTTCATTTGAAGATTTTGATTTTATTTTTATGTATTGTAAAAAGTATAGAAAGATTATCACAATGACTGAAGTTTATAAATTAATAATTAAAATAGTATTCTTATATTTCTCAACAAATAAAACAAATATAAAACACAAATTTCAATTGAAATGTCAAAATATTATATTAAGACATGTCACATTTGATTTTAATCATTTTACTATAATCATAATCTGTATATATATTAAGATAAATTCAAAACTATTGAAATTAGTTAATATTTAAATATATTTTATTTTTTATTTATTTAATATTTATTAAAAAACTTATTTTTAAATAATTAGAATAACTTGAACCTCTTTTTCCAACATTGTATGATTCGAAATATCAGAATACAATAAGAGAAATATCTAATGATTATTAACATTTAGCATTTAAGAGAAATAACAAAATTATTTTAATAAAATGTGCAAACATATATTCTCAATAAATTTTACAAATGCATAAATTAATTCTCAAAATTTTCTAAAGATTCTTAAAATTTTGCATACTAATTATCTACAAACAGATGTGCAATAAAAAATATTAAAATAAAAAATTATCCTACTATAATTATTAGAGTTCCTACTTTCTCTGAAAATTTATGATTTCGATAATCAAAATAGATTGCATTTAACTTAAATTCATCAATATGGAATGTTAACGGAATGGTTGGTATGTGATTTAAAAACTAAATCTATTTAATACAGGTTCCAATTTCCCTTTTCCCGTTATAGAATTAATTTAACAAGCTATAATGGAATATTATCAATGTTTTTAATAACTAAAATATATCTATAAAATCTAATAAAGTTAAAAGAGGATTAAAAAATACAGGTAGATTTTTAAAATTAATCTCATGTATTCAGATTTCAGAATTTAATAGTGGAGCATTATTGAAGATGTGGCATATTTTATCAAAGAAACTGTTAAGAAAAATAACATTTGATCAACTAGGAGTTAATACTTACAATAAATTGGAAGATACAATATTTTAAGAGTAAAATGATATTTTTATCTTATTAAATGAAGAAGAAGATTAGAAACCTGTTATATATTCTTTAAATTTAGTATAAAAAGTAGAATTAAGTCCGGAGGTTTTCAGATTATTAGTTATACATCTTCCTAAATATTCAGTTGAAATAAATATGGCAATGTGATTTTAATATTTTATAAAAAACACTATTTCAATATTTTTATTATGAACTTAACTAATTAATCAATTTTATTGACAATTTTAACTAGTTAAGATATTTTATTTTTAATTGTTATAAATTATAGTATTACATTTATAGCAAATGGTTTCTATTTATTTGTTTATCAATTGAGAGAATAAGAATATTGCTAAAACTATTACATTTGTTATTAAATAAAAAAANCTCTTTTTCCAACATTGTATGATTCGAAATATCAGAATACAATAAGAGAAATATCTAATGATTATTAACATTTAGCATTTAAGAGAAATAACAAAATTATTTTAATAAAATGTGCAAACATATATTCTCAATAAATTTTACAAATGCATAAATTAATTCTCAAAATTTTCTAAAGATTCTTAAAATTTTGCATACTAATTATCTACAAACAGATGTGCAATAAAAAATATTAAAATAAAAAATTATCCTACTATAATTATTAGAGTTCCTACTTTCTCTGAAAATTTATGATTTCGATAATCAAAATAGATTGCATTTAACTTAAATTCATCAATATGGAATGTTAACGGAATGGTTGGTATGTGATTTAAAAACTAAATCTATTTAATACAGGTTCCAATTTCCCTTTTCCCGTTATAGAATTAATTTAACAAGCTATAATGGAATATTATCAATGTTTTTAATAACTAAAATATATCTATAAAATCTAATAAAGTTAAAAGAGGATTAAAAAATACAGGTAGATTTTTAAAATTAATCTCATGTATTCAGATTTCAGAATTTAATAGTGGAGCATTATTGAAGATGTGGCATATTTTATCAAAGAAACTGTTAAGAAAAATAACATTTGATCAACTAGGAGTTAATACTTACAATAAATTGGAAGATACAATATTTTAAGAGTAAAATGATATTTTTATCTTATTAAATGAAGAAGAAGATTAGAAACCTGTTATATATTCTTTAAATTTAGTATAAAAAGTAGAATTAAGTCCGGAGGTTTTCAGATTATTAGTTATACATCTTCCTAAATATTCAGTTGAAATAAATATGGCAATGTGATTTTAATATTTTATAAAAAACACTATTTCAATATTTTTATTATGAACTTAACTAATTAATCAATTTTATTGACAATTTTAACTAGTTAAGATATTTTATTTTTAATTGTTATAAATTATAGTATTACATTTATAGCAAATGGTTTCTATTTATTTGTTTATCAATTGAGAGAATAAGAATATTGCTAAAACTATTACATTTGTTATTAAATAAAAAAATATTTTGGTAGAATAAAAAATGTGATGGTAGCAGTTGATAATAATGAATGGAGTAATTCTTAAAAGATAATACCTTCGAGAAAAATATGTACTCGATTATTAATTGTAATAGTTTCTAAAAAGAATCTGCAAGTTCAGCTAGAAAAGGATATTTACGGGAAATAAATGTAGGGTATCTTTAGTATAGAATCATATTTGTAATTATTCAAAAAGGACAATACCTTTACGTTCCTTATCTTCCAGAAAAGATTATTAGTACTGATTTTAATACCACTCTCACTACTTATGAATTATATTAGTTAAATTGAAATTCTGATAGACACTATTAATAACTTAATAAATATAAATAATTTAGCTTTAAAATAGAAATACTCATTAATGAAATGGATCGAATTTATAAAAGGAATAACTTTTTTTATTTGAATCCCAAAAAACCAAAAATTCTGCATTATTTGTAACTGTTCCATATACATCGTAAGTATGGCAAGCTATTTCTTAAATAATTTTCAAAGTTTAATTCCATCGATAATATTTTAATATATAGATATTATGCTTATGTCTAATAAAAAGAAGATTAGCTATATTATAAAAACAGATAGGAAAGTTTATTTCATCTTCATCCATATTTGTTTTCAAATCAAAGGTTTTCTCAATTTTTTTAAATGTTTAATCCATCATTTCATAAAATTAGATATAGTTTTCTTTAGCTGATACCCATAATAAAGTCTAATCATTTAAAAATTATAATTTATTTCCTTATTACTTTTCAGTAAATGTTTAAGAATAACCCCATTTTTCTTATTCATTATCCATTTTTTTCCAAATAATAATTGTTTTCTTACTGTCACATGAAGCAAAAAATGACTCATCATTTGAAAAAGTTAAAGCTCTTATACTACCTAAGTGATTATCTAAATTTTATGAATGTTTTAGTTCAGAATTTTCCAAATCAGCTTTCCAAATAATGATTGTGTAATCATTACTTCCAGATATTAATATATCTTCATTTTTGTTTAACATTAGACAAGTTATAGAGTTTTGATGTTTTTGATCTTATTTTTTGTAATTCCATTTTTCATTATTTTCTAATTTCCAACAAATTATATAAAGATCATCAGAACCAGAAATAAAATATTGGTTCTTTTTACTATAAACCAAGCAATTCACAGTATCTAAATGAATCATAAAAGTTCCCCTTCTTTTTAAAAAATTTTCACTTTAAATATTATTAGCATTAAAATCCCAAATCTTTATATTATTACCTGCTGTTGATACCATAATAGTTTAATCATTGTTAAAAGCGATTGCAAGACAAATTTCAGACTGTTAAATTTATTTAGATATTTCCATCCTCCTTTTCTCATCATTTATGTAAAATAATATATCTACATATTTTCTATCTTGTGTATATTCATCTTCGTCAAATTTAATAAATTATATATCTTCAAAATCCAATTATGTTATCTTATTTGAATCTATCTTCAATTAATTTGGAATATTTTCTAAATTTTTTTATTATTCTATTATTTTTTCGCTGTTATAATCATATTCATATAAAAAATCATTAAATGGTTCTAAATATTCATTAAATTTTTTTGTAAACTTTTTTTGTATTCTCTTTAATTTCTCACTATAATTTGATGTTAAAGTCTAACTTATGTTTTTTTTTTCAATCAAGGTCTATATTTCAAATATGAAGTCATAAATATCCTCTTAATTTATTACAGATTTAATTTCATTAATCCATTCTTTACCATATTCATTCAAAACTTTCAATTTATTGATGACAATATTTTATAATTCGTTAAGGAGTTTTTCAAAATTTTCCAATTGTTAAGAAATGTTCTCGTAAATTACTTAATTTTATAAATTCAAATTGTCTTCTATAATTTGTTTAGCATGTTTAATGCTAATTTTAGAATTCATGTCTTCTGAACATTCCTTACAATAATAATTTAATTATTAATTTACTACTTCTTAGACAAAATAAAAAGCAACTTTATCTGAATGCTTACAACATTTAAATTATTGATTTTAAGCTTTTAATCTATTCGATTGTGACATAATTTTTGAATAAAAATATAAATAATATAATTTTCAAAACATCAAATGATTTATTCAATTATTTACAGAAAGAAGAAAATTAAAATTCAGAAAAATATAATAATTCTTTTGATCATCATTCAAATAGTTGTTTGATTATATAATATTAAATAATTTAAAAAAAATAATCCTCTTTATTATTTTTTATAATAGTATATAAATTTTATCAAAGTTTATCTAATTATTATATATATTACCAACTTTCGTTTTATTTACTTATAATTAGGAAAAAATAATTATTATTGTGTTCTTTAATCTCTCTAAATTATTTTGGGGTTGATAAAGAACAGATAATTTATTATTTCTAATTTCCATTTATATTCTATTAAAATCATTTATTTTTTATTAATATATCTTCATTATTAAAAATACCCTTAAGATTTTTATATTTTTATTTTCATATCTAATTTATATTTTAAAAATTTTGGAATTTAAGGTCTTGTATTTAAATTATATTTTACATGAATATTTTTTGATTCACTTGAAAGTGATTGCTTAATTAATGGTTGGTCGATATCAATTAGGGTTGCTAAATGTAGAGATTATAAATTTATAGGCTAATTACACAAGTTAATTTTAATTCTGCTTTTTTCAATTAGATTCTTAACCATTAAATATTATTTTTAAATAAAACCCCATTATTGAATATATTTATATCACATAACATCCCCATAAAATATATCTAATCATTTAAAAATCTAATAAGATGATGAGAATTTTTATAAGGGACAATCATCAATTTAAAAAGACAATAAATTATTAATGCAAATATTATTTAGAGTATTAAAAATATTCTACTGCATTTGAAAAAGAAATAATATATAAAATAGAGAAACCTTTAAATTTATATCAAGTAACTTTTATTGAATATAATTATATATTTATTTCTATTTTACTTCATTTATTATCTCGTAAATGTCAACCTCAAAAACGCTTTAAGTTAAGCAAAAGATCTTTATAGTTTGTAACAAATTATTTAAATAATGAAATATAAGATGATAAATTTCATAAAAATAAATAATTTATACACTTCAACTTTCATAATGTGCCAATAAGTTTCAAAAGTATTACTTCCTACAATTAATTCACATAAAAGTAATATTTTATCTTTGATAATATTTTAAACTATCATTTTTAAATTCTTTATCAAATTAATCTGAAAATTCTATTGTTATTAGCAATTTATGTTTAACAAAATCTGGTTTTATTTAATTTATATGGCATAAATGATAAAATTAGAATACCTGGATTTTAGTTGAAAAATTGCCAATTTATAAAAAGCTAAATTTTTAATGTATTCAATAAATATTTTTACATTACAAAGATAGAAATATATTTACTTAGTAAGCAACAATAGATATAATCTACTTCATCTTTATGGATTATATTAGAAAAAAGAATCAAAATTCCTACCTATGACAAAATTAATTTTTCTGATGATATCAATAATTCAAGAATTAAACAAATTTTTCGATTTCCCCTTCAATATTGATCTCAATTAATTAAATTATCTTATGCAATATGCAATTCAATTTGTTAAATTAAATTTAGAAAAAAGTTATAAGAACTTACAATAAATTTTAAATATCAATTATTTATCTACTTCAAAATATTAATGAAGTTATAATTGCTTAGATTAAATGAAGTTATTTGTTTGAGATAAAAAACAATCTTCAGAAATTTTAAGTTGCTTAATAACACTTTTTCAATCAACTACAAGATATTTGATTCTAAAACAACAAATGTTTAAATGATTTTTATTGGTTAAATTTACTTTATAACATTTATCAAATAATAACATACTCCTATTTTATATTTTTAAAATTAATCAAAAATGAGCAAAATTTTATCCTTAAATTTAAGTTAAACAAAGAATAAGTTATATTTATTTAATTTTTTTTAAATATACATAATATTAATCTAAAATTTTTTAATAGTACTAACGGCAAAAATTTCCCACATATATTATCTTTAGACCATTAATTTTCTTAATTCTAATACTTTATAAGCTTAAGTTATTAGATAAGTTCTTATATTGCCAAATCTAATTCTAAACTTAAATTAGAATTTTGTTAAACTTTCAAATAATTCAGCTAAAAATGAATGCTTTATAATTAAACTAGAAAAACGGCAAATCCTTTTCCTAATCAATTTACTCACTCATTTTTCATAAAATAGGCAAATACTATGTCAATAAGCATTTATGCTATAAATAAGGTATTTAAATTTTAATAATTATATAATATGACCATAAAAAATCCTAAATAAATTTGATTATTAGTTTACGTTAGAATTATTTAGTATTTCAAGAGGTAGATTTTGAAATTATTTTCAATTTTCAATTTTTTTTTTGGAGGATTTTTTAGAAGCTCTTGATGATTATAAAGGGAAAATAATTTGTAAATGCTCTACTTTCAAATAGAAATGTTTCAAATTCTTGACCGATTATGCCTACTAATTGGGATTATTGATATCTTTTGGATTAAATATTAGATGAATGATTAAATAAAAAAATAAATTAAAATTAAATAGCCATTATTATCTTTTAAAAAACAGTTTTATTTCTTAATATTTTAAAGAATAACATTATATTCTAAATAGTCAGTTTCCTCAATTAATAATAATAGGAAATGTTGATAACTTTTAGACTAAATAATTATGCAAAAAATTATATAAATAAAAATAATTTTATAGCTACCTTACTTATAGTATTTTATTGATTATTAATTAAGAAAAATGAGAAATAACCAAATAAAATTAAGACAACCTTTTCAAAATGTAGAAGAAAAAACAAGTAAATTGTGTAATAATAGTTAAATCATAAAATGAAAATAATGTAGAATTTGACTATGTATATATTTTCTTTTAAGTAATTTTTAGGAGAAAGCTCTAGAATTAAAGGTGATCCTGTTTAATTTAATAAATAATATTGTGTAATAATATAATTATTAATGAAATTTTTAAATAAAATTAAAGAGATAGATATTTTTGGTGTTTCAATTCCACTTTTAACATAGGCAAACAATTAAAAATTTTAAAGCACAATGGGTGGAATATTATCAATTTTATTAGGAAGCATAAGTCTAGCTTACTTTTTATATGTTATTGTGTAATGGAGTAACAATTTAATTCCCCCAAATATCAGTTCTAAATAAAAAACAATCAGTTATACAGAATTCTCATTTTCAAAGCCGTTAATATCAATAAGTTTATAAGATTTGACCATGGATATTGATCCTTTTAGGAAAGCTAACAATATTATTACTCCTCTTTTGTATACAATAATAAATTCAACTATAATAAAAGATCCTGTTGCATTATTTAGCACTCCTGAGTTTCCTTATCTAATATCATTATCCAATGGTTCTTTAGTACTTAATAATTTAGATTCAAGTGTTACTGATAAGGAATATTTACATATGAAATAATACTTAATTGTATTAACCAAATGTTCAAATAGTACATTATTAGAAGGAGGTTATTGTGCTGATGATAATACTATTAAAGAATATTTATCAAAATTTCATGGGCTTTTATTTTTAACCATTAGTTTGGGTCAAATAAATTAAAAAACAAGAGAATTAGAAGTTTTCAATAAGTAATATTATACTAGTTTTGATACAAAAAATCCAATATACTCTTAAATTATGCTAAAATAATAAGAAACAATTATTGATGATGGAATTTTATTTAATAATTATCAAAGATACAATACTTTGAACAATTATGAAATGATTAACTAATAAATAGATAATACTTTTGCTTCAAGGGTTTTTACATATATGTCTGAAAGTCCTTTAAATTTAGATAATTATGGTTGTTATTTATTTAGAATAGATAATATATCAATGGTGGAAGAAGTTACGATGCCAAAATTAGGTTAAATTCTAGCTTAAATAGGATCTATTATATAATTACTATTTTTATTAAAATATGCAGCATTATATTATAATAGCCAATTACTTGAAGATGAATTGTTTCATGATATAATATCAATGTATTATCCAGATATAAAAGGATACTCACTTAAAAGCTTTATATAAAAATAACTATTTTAAGAATAGAATAACCAAAAAATACCATCAATTCAAGATATGAATTACATTCATAAAGCCTTACTTTAAAGTGCTCGGCAAAAATGTAGACTTAATAATATTATATATGAAATATCTAGAATACAGTTTATCATTTAACAATAATTTGGAAATCATATTTTAACAGCTAGTCATTAATTAGGACAAAAATTTGAAGGTTGTCATTTTGGCTTGGAAAGTGAAAAAGAAACAAAAAGATTCTTGGTCAAACCAATAGATTCGATTGATTTACAATAACCAATGACTAATAAAGAGCCTATAGAATTGCTTTTAAAATAGACTTGATAAATATAAATAATAAAAATAAATAATAATTAATCAAACTGATTTTAAATGATTTAACATAATATAAAATTTATCAATTGTTCGAAAATGAGGGAATATTATATTTATCTTATTGATTGTTGTATTATATTAATCCTTAATTATTTTTGGCTTTAGCAATAAGCTCTAGATTTGTTTGATAAACTAATTTCTGAAAAATTGTTTTGAAACTTTTAATCTATTAAATTCAAAGCAGGTTCCTTATTTTTAAAATTGATAATAGTTGCATTACAAATAGGTTAATATCCAGACCTATCAATTTTAAATATAATTTTTCAAGTCATCTTTTCCTATTATAATTGATTATTATAATTGATTATTATTCTTGGTTAATTAATTTAAAATTCAAATTCGCTGATAAATATTGACAAAATATTTTTTCATTAATTCTTGCTAAAAGTCTTTTATATGAATCTAAATTTTAGAATAACTTTTATTTAAATATATTAAAAAATAAAAATAATCCAACTTCAAGTAATGGAGGATAGATTTTTCAATAAATTTATCATTTCTACAAATACTATTATAAAATATACGTATTTTGATAAGTTTGACTGGTTAAAGAAAAAAATTTAGGAACATGATATTATGTAGGTTTTATTATAATAAAAATTTCATTTTTAATTATTTAATATCTATCAAATTATTTATATATATTTATTTGTGATAAATCACTTAAATGAACAAATCCATTCTTTAAATATCTAAAAATGGAAGAAATTAGAAATTATAAACAATTTAAAAAAAAATTCATTATTATAGCTAATATTGTTCCCTGATTAAGTCATCGGTAGAGTCAAAATATTTTTTTAAACACAAATGGATCAAAATTTATGAATTATTGAAGAATAAATAATATGATTGGAAAGTGATTGCAGAGTTAAGATAAAAAATGAATTATTTCAAAAAATGGAAGTTGAATTATAATATTTTTGAAATAAGTACAGAATTTATGAAACAGATAAAATTTTAATAAAGTAAAAAATTTTAATATTTTCAAAGGTAATGACATAGTAATAAAAAGAAGACCTACAGAGAAATTTAAACCTTGTGATTATTCACAGTTAAGAAATAATTAAAAATTTGAAGATTCAACTGCAGGAAATAAATTGTAATAAATTTTGATTGCATATTCAATAGTTATTAATAGCTTAACATTAGTATTGAAAAAAGTTATACATATGGCTTGGAATTTTTATAATAAGTTGATAAAAGAACTGGATATGACTCTTTTTACAAAGGTTATACTTAAATTTAAATAATAGGGATTGAATTATTGAATATGGGAAGATAAATAGAGGCTATTGAAAAATTTGAAGAAGCAATTAAAGTTTATCCTAATAATTCTTTGTTTTATGAAAGAAAGGGTTTACCAATAAATTTATAATTAGGTTTTGCTTTATTGGAGATGCAAGATCTGGAAGGAGCTCAAAAATAATTTGATATTGCAATTTCTCTTAACCCTAACTATTCAAATCACTATAGCAATAAAGGTTTAATATGTTGAATCATTCAAAATAGCAAATGTTTTACTTATGAAGAACAATATTGAAGAAGCAATAAAATTATATGATATTTCTATTTAAAAAGGCAAATGTGATTCACTTTGTTATAGCAATAAAGGTATAGCACTAAATAAACATGTAGGTGTTGCCTTATTCTTCAGAAATCGATTGGAAGAAGCTATAGAATGTTTTGATTAGGCTATCAATGTTGGTTTAAAAGAATATGAAAAATTAGAGAAATAAGGTAAAACTTAATTTAATTTTTTAGCTTAATTTTTACATTAAAATGAACAATTAGGATTGGCTGAGTTTGTTAACTAATTAGCTAAATAAAAGTTTAAATCTGATCTTAATACTACTTATAATTTTAAAGGTTGAATTTATTTTTAATCAGGACTGGCATTAATGATGATGGGTTAATCTTAAAAAGCCTTAGAAAATATCAATATAGCTTTATAGCTGTCTCTAAATAATCCATTAAATCATCTACATAGAGGTTTATTATAAAACTAATTTAAGCATAATTGTTAATATTTTAGGGCTGCTATTAATAAGCTTTAGAATCAATAGATTCTGGGATAGAAATAAATCCAGAAAATTCAGATTATTATAATATTAAATGTTAAATGTCTTACTAATATTATAGCAATGGTTTTATTATTTCTAGGTTAAAAAGAAGGAGCTCTAAAAAATATGGAAATAGCCATCCAAAAAAACCCTGAAAGATTTGAATTTTTCACTGCTAAAGGCGAGTTATTTTTCTAATAAATTAGCATCAATTTTACTCTAAATGTAAAGATTTGAAGAAGCTTTAGAATAAAGTAATTTTTCAACTTAAATAAATCCTGAATTCAATCTTGGCTATAAAATAAAAGGTTGATTTGAATTAATACTGAAATTAGCTGATGCTCTAATAATGATGAATCGATATATAGAAGCTTTAGAAGTTCTTAAAATTAGTATATAATTAAACAGAGAAGATGTTGTATCTTATAACAATATTGGTTTATTTTAAATTAATTTTATTAGCTATGGTCTTAAGCAGATTAAATCGTTGTGAAGAAGCTTTAATTTATATTGATACATCTATTCATATCAATCCAACATTATCAATTCTTTATCTTAATAAAGGTATTGATTCTAAATACTTTAAAAAGGGTTAATTTTATTAAATCTTAATCGTCTTGAAGAAGCTTTAGATTGTATTAATTAATCTCTTATAATGGATCCATAATAAAATACTCTCTCTACCACAAAAGGTGAAAATTTTACTTATTTATAGCTTTGATCTTAACAATTATGGGTCATTATGAACAAGCTCTCTAAGAATTAAATAAAATTCCAGCAAGTGATGAAAATAATAAAGTTTCAGGCAAGATTTATAAAATGAATTAGTTTTCTGCTTATTTTAATAAAAAAAATATTAAGAAGCCTTAATTCTTGTGGATCTAGCTATTAACAAAAATCCAGGTGATTCTAATAATTATCATTCCAAAGGTTATTACGATTATATAATATAGGATAAATATTATCATGTTTATACAAATGGAAAGAAGCATTGTTTTATTTTGATATAGCAATATAATTTAATCCTGAAAATAACCTCATATTTTAAAATAAAGGTTGAAATTAGATAATAATTATAGCCAATGCTTTAGAAATGTTAAATCGTTCTTAAGAAGCATTAGATCTTTTAAATTTTCTAATTAAGAATAATCCTAAAAAATATGTTCTATATTACTAAAGAGGTAAAAATGATGTTAAAATAAAAGCTGCTACTCTATCAAAATTGAAGTTCCATGAGGAAGCGATGAAAGATTTGAATTTTGGTATTGAATTGAATCCTTATGACCACAAACTTTATTGTTTAAAAGGTTTAATAAATTTAATTTAACAGCATTGACTCTATTAAAATTAAATTTCTTATAAAAAGCATTAGAAACATTAGATTAAGCAATATAGAAAAACCCTGAAATCTATGAATGCTATTATATTAAGGGTAATTATAATTTTTAATTTATTAGCTATTTGCTTAAATATGTTGAAGAGGTTTTAAGAAGCAATACATTATTGTGATTATTCAATTTAAAGAAATTCTAATCTTTGGATATCCTACTATCTAAAAGGCACTTAACTTATACTAATATGATAGCAATTACTCTATATAATTTGAAAAATTATGAAGAAGCTTTGAATTGTATTAATTGTTCTATTCAAAACAATCCAGAAGAATTTAAAATCTTTTTAATCAAATGTTATAACATAATTTGATTTTATAGCAAAAATACTAAGAGCAACCCACAAGTATAAAGATGCTCTAATGAGTTTAGAGGATGCTATTAAAATAAATCCATTATCAGATGATGCCTATAATCAAAAATGTAAATTCTTTATTAAATTTAGGCTTTGTTTTAGTTCTGATGGGGCGTTTAGAAGAAGCGCTGGAAAATATTGAAACTGCTATTAAAAACTCACCTGAAAGCTCTGTTTTATTTAATAATAAAGGTATAATTGTAATTTGTTGAAAAGGTTGTATTTTACACTTCTTAGGGCGCTCCGTCGAAGCATCCTTAAATTTAGACCATGCCATAAAATTAAGCCCTTAAATTTCTATTTTTTAAAAACATAAATGTATATTCATTTATTATTTTGTAGAATATTTAGAATCATAATAATGCACATCTAATAATTATTAGCAAATATTAGAGCATTTATAATTACTAATTGATATAAATGAACCAATTTAAAATATCTATCCTATCGACAATTACTATCTTGAAATGCAAGATCAATTTAATTTTGCTTTAGATTTCTAAATTTTTAATTTAGATTGCAAATGATTTAAAATCATAAAATTATAATATTAAAAACATTTACGTTTCAACCTCTCTATCCATCCAAATTCTCTACTTGTTGTTTATTATTCATTAAAAATTTTTTTTTTTGGCAGTCACATGATAGTGTGAGCTCTTTCCATGTTGTTCTTGAATCTGTTCCACAGATTTTGTTTTCAAATGATTCCAAATTTTTCAGATTTAAATTTTAGTTCTTGGTTTATGAAATGCTTTTTTAAATCTATTTTTGATTGTTTAATAATAGTATCAATTAGCTTGGATAAAAATTCTTTTGTAATTAGATGAGTATTTTAAATTGTTTCTGAAGAATTAAGATTTATTTGATTCTTAAATCCAGTATATAATTAATTGTATTATTAGTCTAATTCTCATAAATTACTAAATTAAAGATCTCCTCCTATTCATTATTTGCATGATTTATATATTGATTTTATATTTCAAAATATTAAATTTGTTATTAAACTTTGTAAATTATCAATAGTAAAAATAAAAATATTCCATCTTTCCACTTTAAGTTTTTTGAAGTGGAATAACTTACAAATTTATAGGTTTTTAAGTAAGTATAATGTAAGATGTTTATGAAAATTTAGAAACTTGACTTCAAAATTAATAGAAAAATTGTTTTCTGAGCGATAAATAAAAGAACATGTAATCATTTTCTTAGATTTGGCCTAAGTATTATTAATAATAATTGGAAAAGAATAAAAACCAACAGGACGAAAATTATATTCAAGAAGTAAATAAAAGTATTGATTCAAATGAGGTAGAGAGTCGGATGATAATAATTAGAAAAAAACTAGATTCCCTTAGAAAATATCTATGAAAAGAAAGAGATAGATATGTAGCATTTTGATAATTTTAGGAAAGAACTGTAGTTAGAAAAGGTGAAGGAAATTTTGATTTGGGGACGCAATTCAAGCTATTAATTCAAGCAAGTCATTGATAGAATCAATAGGTCTGATTTTTATGTTAATTGATGTAAATTTAAAATATTAACTATATAATTTATAGTGAATAATTATCAATAATTGAAATATAATAGTTGCTTTTTCAAATATAATAAGAATTTTTATTTTGAAGTTATCAGGATTAAAACAAAGGATTTTAGACAGGTTTCAAAAATTTAACTTGCATAAAAGAAGAATGAGTTTTCAAATAATTTTTTGATATATATATATTTTCGTATCAATGAGATGAAAAGAATTTATTACTCTTGTTATTAATATTTTTAGCCATCAATGCATATTAGTTTTGGATCATCTTAAAAGTGGATAAGAGAATAATATATGAGAAAAAATTGCTTTTATGTATAACAGGATAAAAAATTCTGTGCAGATTAAAAATAGAATTGTGAAGGATCAAGTTAATTTATTAAAGCGAATTATAAATTTAGATAATAATAATATATTTTATAAGATATTTTTATGAAACAATTATCATAAATTAAGTCAATTCCTAATTTTAATATCAATTAACATTAACATACCAATAAATTTTAGTTTGAGTTGAAGTTGATGGAGAATTGGATTTTGTCCCACTTTTGGTGGAAAATTTGATTTATTAATGAATACATGAAATTAGAAAATACTTGAAGTATAATAGATTAAGTATTAATAATATTGATTATTAATAAAAGAACAAGACTTATAATCCATGACATAATTTTTGGAGATTTCTCATTAGATATTAAGAATAAGGAACAGATTTAAAATAGATTATAATGAGATTTTGATGTAATCCTAAAAGGATTTTTTAGTAGCTTTGACATAAATAAAGCTCATGTTAATTGTTTCAAAAATTTTTATTTAGAGATAATTTTATTCTTTATAATCTATTCAAGCAAAAATGCTTTAATTCCGCTCCATCATTTTATAAATTTACCCTTCACAATTAATTTTTTTTTATTCCATTATTTAGTGTATTTATATTATACTCAAATTGATATAAATTTCTGAGATAATCCTTTAAAAATATAAAAGTAGATGTTTAAGATGGAATTTCTTAGCCTATTGTTTTATTGCTGTCTCAATTCCTAGGCATTTGAGTAGAGAAGAAACACCATTTTTGTTGAAATATTTTGTTCACAAAGCCACTGTATCATTCCATTTAGTTAATGAAAATTTAATTGTAGATATTATATTAAAAAATATTAATATATTTTTTGTTCGTCTAAATAAAATCAATTAAAAAATTTTCAAATAAAATCAGAGGATATGGATCGTTTGAATAAGAGTGTCTTATGGCTCATCGTTATTTAGAAAAGGAGAATAAGGAATTAATATTAAATTAAAGTTAGTATTTTAGTTTTTTAAGGAATATAAATTTTTTTTTTAACAATTTTAAAGATTTAAGAGCGTATTTTAATATAATATATGATTAATCGTATATTTCAGACCACACATAAAAACGTTAAGGCCAAGAAATCAAATGCTACCCATAGTGAAAATGATGAGTTTTCAGTTTAGTTTTATTAATTTTGAGTTTAGTTTGATTAATTTTCAGTTTGGTTGGATGAATTCTGAGTGTAGATGGTTGAATCTTAAGTTTAGGTGGGTTAATTTTCAGTTTGGTTGGATGAATTTTGAGTGTGGATGGTTGAATTTTAAGTTTAGGTGGGTTAGCCTTGAGTTTAGGTCGATGAATTTTGAGTTTAGGTGGTTTAATTTTCATTTTAGGTGGCTGGATTTTCGGATGTAGATTGGTTTTCAGTTTAGGAGGATGGATTTTCCGTTTAGTTTATTTAGTTGGATTGATTCTCAGTTTAGGTGGATGAGTTTGATGAGTTTTGAGTTTAGATGGATGAGCATTTAGGGCAACCTTCTTTAGCAAAATTATTGATTTAACATTCTTCTTCACATGTAGCGCATGTGTTTTTTCCTTCAGCTTTAATACATTCAATTTAATTGGTTTCTCCTGTTACAGGATCATATTAAGTTTATATTAACAATCTTCTTCCTCCTGCATAAAATGTTGATAATACAGATGTAACTCGAATTGTGACTGCTTGCCATACAATTTCAGCTCTTAGTTAGATTATAACTTATCCCTTAGTTGCATTATTCATATTAATAGGTTTTGCTTTCTTATATAATCCATTGCCTGTGTACCAGACTTCAGTTTCAACTAAATAATAACCAGTCATCCCAGATCTTGTTATAACTTATTGTAAAACAAATTGATCATTTAAATGGAGGTCTGGGGCAGTTGTAAGAGGAATTGAGCAAGAAGAGTCGGAACACCATTTTAAGGAAGTATCAGCTGTGGCTATACAAGGTTAATCTATCATGCATTGAAAAGTTGAAAATGAAGTAAATGGTTTAAAAGCGGTATCAATTCCAACACCAGTTTCTTTTTCAATTGTAACAGAGAATTCAAAATAAAAAGTATATTATAATTAATCTACAATAGCAGCATAATATCCAATTGCAAAATATCCTTTGTAGATAAATTAATCAGAATTTGATGTCTCTTGTAATCTTTTTTTTATATCTGTTTGAGGGATTGTAAAGTGGTAAAACCTCCATTTTCTTTAAGAATTGTTTGATGAAGTTATTGGTAAATCAGTTATTTAAATTGGGTTAGAGTATTAATTAGAACTAAATTTCCATAATTTAAGATCAAGACAAGTATTTTCTTCTGGGTTTCCATCTTCTTAAACTAAACCAAAGTACATTGGATCATTAAACAGTTTCTCGTCTGAATATCTCAAGGTCACCTTTACATCAGCTTGGTTCACAAATTACACATCTCCTGTAAATGCCGCTAAAGATGCACCTGTTCCATCTGGATTGTTTGCTGTTCCAAACTTCTAGAAATATTTGTAGCATTTTGGGTCATTTATGCTAAGTCTCTCCCCTACAACAATCATAAGCATGACTAACACAAATAGAATTGATTTCATATATTCTGAATTAAATTAATGAAAGGGTAAAAAAAATTTTCTTACATCATAAACTACCATAATCTTTAAAATAACAAGATTTTTGATACCTACCATAATCTTTTAGAAGAACAGGGTTTGAGTTTGCCCACTTGTAGGTATGTCTTAGCAGTCACAGAATGTTGAATTTTTCTACATGTCTGATATATTGTAATTTGAACAAAAAAAAATTTGAAAAATATGGGTTTGGCCCACTAGTAGGTTTAATTTTTAATTCAGCAGTCACATTATGTTGAATTCTCTACACAGGGTTTGGGTTTGGGTTTGGGG